AATTTGACCCTAACTCCCGCTGGAGGCGATTCCTCATTCGGCTTGAAAGCTTACTCGACGAATAAGAATCTGTTTCTAAGGCTGAGTTGCACCACCTAACTTTGACGATACCAATGTTTTGTGTAAGGAGTTTAAAAGATTTTTGACGATTGTTAAAGTTTAAATAAGATGGTGCAATCCAGCCTAAGTATTTCGTTATATCAGTTGTTATTTCAGGAAGCCAATCCTAATAAACCAAATTCAACTTTAACAATTACTGTCAGAATTCAAAATTCAAGGCCCCAAAGTCTGTCAAAACAAGTCTGAAACCTGAATTAAACGAGTTCATCGGATGGAACGTAAACTCGCAATTAACAGGCAAACGTTATAATTAGTTGGGCATTAAAATGAGGTTCATAATTGAGCCCAAACTTACTTCTATCTTGCCTTTAGCAGAGTCACGCTATGCTAAAGGTTGGAAGTTTCCAGTGTTACACGAAACTTTGTAGGCTAAAGATTCCTTAAAATATTTAACAATTTCGTCTCAAAAGGTCTTAAAAAGCGCTTTATCAAAGTACGTGTTAGTTGCAATGAGGCTTTTGATAAAGATTTTTGGCTTTCAATTATTTAACCCTACTACTGCTACGGGACAATAATGTAGGCCAGTACTGAGAAAAAGTAGCACAAGCAACTCAATCACTTTCGCTCGTAGCTAGCAAACATGCTATGTGCTCGTAATCAAAATTAAATAAAGGCACACAGTTACATAAAAATCAGACTGAGAAACTAAGATAGAAGGACATACAAGCTTACAAGATTTATTATAAAATCATCATCATTACATTTAGAAAGTACGAGTAGATTTAAGTTCATAAGATAACAACAGATTTGAAATGACAAGTTTCCAAGATGCCAACTTCTATTAACTACAATGCTAACGCAACTGTAGCCAACAAGCTATTTTACCCGCCGCTTTTCTTAACCCAATGTGCATTGTGCTAAATTGTGCCAAATCCCTGAATTTCCTTGCGACAATTGAGCATGGCCGGCACCGTTTGCAGCTATTGAACAGGGATCATTTTACGTCACCGACTACAATACAATTTAGAAGCCGTGCACACTTGCGTTCCAATGCCGTTCCAACGAAATACCCGTTTCATTGTTCTAGATTCTGGACTCTAGACATTTGACGCAAAAGGTATTAATATTGAATGCTAACTTTGCGTCTGTGCGGCTTCGGTTGCTATCTGCAACTGTGCTGTTCTTGCACTGCTTTAGTAGTTAGTTTAGGACAATGCAGCGTATTGTTTAGTGAAGCAAGCGCTTGATTTGAATATTTTTTGTTTCATAGTTAATCCATCGAAATAGATGGATTTACTAACGAAATATTGGTACCAAAAACATTATTCTTTAGTTCGTTAACATTATCGCAAGAAACAACTATAATTATGGACGTGCCTGATGCCAAGCCGAATACAAAAACATCAGACAGAAAAAATAATTGCGTTTACGTTGACTGTCAAAATTTAAAACAAATTAAGCCATGATCGATAAGCCGTGTAGACAATGGAAACCAGCGGCATCGTGACAGCCACCACCTGTCACGGCAATCGAGTCAGCACCTCGAACGCCGCGGATATAATTGTCGGCGGAATTAACATTTTCGCCTTCCGCTGGACGAATTAAAATTTCGGAAGTGGAACTGTTCCGGGCACTTTGAATCGTGTGATTAATGGCTCCGAAAAGTTTATCTTTAATTTGCTTACTTCGCTTTTTGAATCGGCATTCACTTCCTTTTCGCTGTCGGATCGATGGGCTGGCGATTTGCACGCGCCATTTCGGGCCGTTCGTCAATCGTTGATACGCAATTGGAATTTTTGGGTGCATCACTGTAATCTTTGTGGGTGAAACTTTTTTTTAATTTCATGGAGTTTTGCAGCGTATGCGAAGTTTATTTTTGGTGTGGAGATGATTTTTGTCAAACAAAATTGATCTTTGTGAAATTAAAAAGAAATATGAAGGTACTCAGAGAATGGGCACTAGATTTTCCTATTTGAAATACATTTCAGTTTTATTTAAACTTGTGAACTGTCGAATTTAACTAAATATTAACATTTTCATTTCAACTACCAATGTTTAAACTATTTCCAAACTACTCTAAAATCTGCATCAATCATAAACTTATCCAATTATTTATTCAGCTGACTAGTCGGGATACTGAAACGGCAAATATTTGAACAAGTAAATGACAAAAATAAAAACATCGTTATATTGCAAAACAAATAGAAACATTGTTGAAAATAATGATTTCACTAACAAGAATTCCTTTTCAAAACAAATGAACCCAGATTGAGATTAGATCATTATACAGCAATAATATAATCAAATAAATAGAACAAAACGAAAAAATCTTGTGAAAAAGACATTTTCGAGCACAGCTCATAAAAATTCAGACTTGAAATAACAGGCCTACCTGCAGTAATCACTTCGGATAGAACAGTATTCCGTGAGCTTGTAAATTTTTCCCCAAGCTGAAAAACACTGTAACCTCTGACATTAAAGTCGAGTTTGCTCTACAAGATCCAGATGACGTGACGCATAAAATTCGGTAGACAGTACCATAACGGTTTAATTTATTAACTTGATGATTTTCAACTTTCCTGCTCTGCATGAATAAGAAGGTTGAATGACAAATTTTTGCGTCGTTTTCAAAAGTTTAGGGAGGCGATTTAGTTGAAGCACGGCTCTTTGAGAGCCGATATAACAAATCATGGTATTGTTATCTTTGGGTTACTTATCTTCCATAGTTTCATACATTTTTTAAATGTATTTGGAAATTATAAACCTTCAAGCAGGTCCTACGCTGCCCCGCATCCTTCACCAGATCGTCGGTCCACCAAGTGGGAAGCCTGCCCACTAGTGTGGGTCACTCTACTAGTATGGAAAAAAATAAAAGTTGGTGAATCAAATTCTAATAGTAATATTATGTTGTAGTGTACTATAAAAAGTAGTTTTAGCTAAAAAACGGATATTTAAACATACATCTTCAGCCCGCGCATGCGCTTCAAAATTTTAGGTTTTTCAAAAAAACACGCATTACTAAATGGCATTGTTTTTTATTATAAATTATTTAAAATACTATTGAAACAATGCAAATATTTAGTGAAAGACATATATTAACGTTTAAAACAAAAAACTTAAACCAATACATATAATAGGTTATCAAAAAAAATTTTTATTTTTGTACAAAAAATCCAGCTTACTGTTATTTCGGCATAACTTTCCTAGAAGCAAGTTTTGCATGAATCATGCCATTCCTTGTTTTTTTTATCACATGCCGATATTGCAGCTTCTGTCACTATCCTTACACATAGTTCAATCGCCTGTGTATGTCAAGGCAGCCTAATATACAACATCCTATCGTCACCTTTTTTCTCTATTATCTGAATAAGTTCGTCATTGGTATGATTACTTAGAATAGGTGGATCAAAGTTGGTATCTTGCCAGTTTTTTAGATCAATGTAACATTTAGCATCAAAATTAAGTTTAGCACTTCAAAAGTACGTGGTAATTTTCCCGTTTGTAGGTGAACTACGCGTTTTTAGAATTTTTCTAGCTGCAAGATTCTCTTATATGCTTTCCGGAAAAGAAACACTAATATCAGTATCACTACTCGTTGATAACATTAATTCTTGTTCTGGCATTTTGGGTGAGTTGTTATCGTTCTTCAGACAGATATTTTGTTGAAGCTTGCTTTCGTACAATCTTTTTTTGTAAACTTTTTGTTCGATTGCGATCAATACGGCCGATTCTCATTTTTCTCTCACCCTGTTGATTAATCAAAAAGTTGTGTTCTTCTTTAGGGACTGTAATTTCTCTGGTACAATTGCACTGACTTATTAACTTACATTTGCATGAACAAATATCGATCAAAGTTTCGCTTAACTGCAAGAACTCAGATTTTTTCTCAGCTGACAGAATGATAAGCTTTCAGGAGCTGAATGACTCTTGTATGCGAGACTACAGTAATTGATGCCTTTTGCCATTCTCCTTCAACTTTCTCGGTTACAATTTCTGCAATTTCGGGACACGGGGGCTCTTAGTTACTGCTATTTTAAAATTTTACCTGTAGTCTATTCCACTCGTAACATTTCATGACATCCTGGTGTGTTGGTAACTCGTTTTCTTTTATATCTTCTATAGTTACTAATATAGGGCACTTGTATGACTGTCTATTATCTGACATGATAGAAAAATTTAACTTCCAAAGCATAAAACAAAAATTACAAAATTTACAATTTCACATGATTTCAGAAGAAACTAGCCTGAATGTACTTACCTACCTCAAAAAATTGTCTTTTAATAAACAACACGGTTTCTAACAGAAGTAACGTGTATTTCAATGGATACTAATTAAAACATTAAACTATACCCAACTTCAAACGTGTAACTTAGGGTGTAAAAGTTGATACTGAAACTTTTTTTTTTTTTTCAAAACTTCAATGACGTTGCGCGGGCTGTTCCACTTAAAATAATTCAATAATATTTTAAAGGGTTTATAATGATACCTAACTACAATGTAATGTGTGACGATCGGGAGACACAATAAAACAGTTAGATGTGCGCACTGTAGGTTTATTCGTAGTTGAATGAAGATTATCCTAAGCTTATATACTAGTGGTTTATGCCTAATATGGGGGAAGGATGCGTACACACTACACCTCCCCCCTTTTTTTGAAGAAAAAAAAATGATAGTTTTTTTTTTGATTAAAAAAATTATACAATACAATAAAAATTTTGATTTTAAATTAGAATTCAAACCAAATTAAATTTTGTAAATTCCAAATATGTATGTTTATAGACACACTACTAATATTTCATTAATATGATTGAAATTATATTGATAAAATACATTTTCAAATTGGCTCAATTCATTAAATTTTAAAATGCAAATGAAATTGATAAAATACTCTATAGATGTAATAAAAAGCTGTCTCAGTTGAACATTACGATTTTTAGAAATGATAAGATCTGAATTTTANCCCGCGCCCGCCGCGCCCGCCGCCGTGCGCTGGGACACCACCTGGAGCTCCGTCGTGGCCGCCGGCGCTGCCGCCGCCGCCGCGCCCGGGCAGCCCGCGGGAGGTCGGTCGCCCGCTGATTTATATTGTTGAAGTATCTCTAGTTATTGATTAGACTGGTTCAATTAAAAAAATCTATGATGTCGCGTTGCGTCGATGTTGGGAGAATGGAAAATGTTAATACGAAACGCTCGAACGCATCTTTGCACAGTAGATTGCAAATACGTCGTTTCACAGCGAATCAGCCGCCAACTGAAGCCTGGTCCGTGAGCACGTAGAATTTAATGACCCCAAGCTACCCATCCTTATCGCTCGCGCGTAATTATGTTGCTATTGCGCTCGCACACTCACTGCGGGCGCCCGTCGCACAGTCGCGATAGCAATATACGGACCAGACTTTACATATCTCGCAATTTATTTTAAATTAAAATTATTTTCAATTTTTAATTCAATTCTTTATTGCTATTTCTCGTCTATTTCGGCCGTTTCGGATGTTGAACTAGTTGAACAAAAATCGATAACCGCGTCGCCCGATGCAGGAGCGGCGCCGCTGCCGCCCATCGGGTCGGACGTGCGGCGGCGCGCGGAGGCGGAGCGCGAGCGCGCGGCGGACCAGTCGCTGTTCTACTTCAACGGCGACGCGCCGCCCGCGCCCGCCTGGCGCGCGCCCTCCGCACCCGCGCCGTCGCCCGCGCCGCGCGACCGCCCCGCCTACTCGCCCGTGCAGCCCGACTACCGCAACGACTTCGGTGAGTCACCCTTCGCCCGCTTCGACCTACGAACTCGCAGATTATCGCTCGTATTCACAAATGCTTGCATAAGTGAAGCAACAAATCGAACGCACAGCGTTGAATAGCGCTCTGTGATTAGTTCGTGTACCACTGTACTGTGCGTCCACGCGCACTGTGAGATCACCTCATAGTAATGTTTGTGAATACAGTTTGCCTATGATCTTGCGGTGCGAAAATAATGTGTGAACACACTGTAAAATGAGAATCGACGAATGTTTTCAGACGACAACTCCGGCATGAACGCATACGGATCCCTGTGGACGGGCCCGGGCTCGAGCGCGTGGGCGTGGGGCGGCGGCTTCGCGGGCGTGCGGCCCCCGCCCGGGTTCGCGGCGCCGCCGCCCGCGCCGCGCGCCTACGACCCGTTCCGCTCGCTGGCCGCCATCTGGGCGCCGGGCGCGCTGGACTGGCGCGCCGACCCCGAGCCGGCCGCCGCCGCGCCCGCGCCGCCCGACCCCGCCGCCGCCGCCGCCGACGCGCACGCATCTAGTCTCGACGCCCCGCCGTCTCGCTCGGTCGTCCCTAAGACTGAATAAACTTACGTTTCTGAGCATGCTGCCATTTTATTTCTGATACCATCTCGTGAAAAATAGTGATGTTAATTGTTAACCCTCGATCGCTCAATGGTAGTATAGTAACCACATTATTTTAAACTATTGCCTTGTGTCAAGGTCTAAAAACAAGGATTTTTTAAAACTTGCATATCCGATTACCACTCTTCCTTACTGTATCTCTCTCACACCAGCCCCATCTACAATCACTAAATGCTATCACGTTTCTATTACCAATATTATGTTTTTTTAAACATTCAGGATTTTTTCTACTGTAACTGCAAAAATGTATGTTTTCTTTGCCATTTTTTGATAGTGAAAAAACCTACACTAAAAAGTAGAATAATAATTACTAATTACCTACTTATTTATTAGGACGAATTATTAATATTTATGTAGGTATACCATGATTGATACTTTTGGAGTCGGTGCAGGCAAACTTTACATGTTTCATAATCTTGGCACCGACTCCAGAAGTATCAATCATGGTATACCTACATAAATATTAATAATTCGTCCTAATAAATAAGTAGGTAATTAGTAATTATTATTCTACTTTTCAACCGACTTCAAAAAAGGAGGAGGTTCTCAATTCGACCCGTATGTTTTTTTAGTGTAGGTTTTTTGGAGTCGGTTTTTTTTTTTATAAAATTTAACTTATTTCTTGCTTTTTAGTTAACTAATTATTACCTTGATGTTACCACTGAAGGTAGGCAGTACATTGAGACCATATTCTTAATGTATATTATAAAAAAGTTCATCCCCAATTTTCCACCCTTGGGGGTGAAATATTTTCTTCAAATTCGCATGAAACCACCCTTTTGATAATACCTATTCAACAAAAAAGTAATCGTTCTAATTGGTTTATAATCGGCGGAGATATTGCGTATAAAAAGTTCATCCCCAATTTTCTACCCTTGGGGGTTGTTTTTTTTATTATTAAATTTAAATGGGACCACCCTTGAGGTATTACCTATACGCTGAAAAAAGATTTGTTCAAATCGGTTCATAATTGGCGGAGTTATCGCGTAACAAACATAAAAAAAAAAAAAAAAAAACGGGTCGAATTGAGAACCTCCTCCTTATTTTGAAGTCGGTTGAAAATAGGACTTTACTTTCATAATATTACTTACTTGTGTAACATGAAATAGGTATATCCAAATTTCAAACTTTTAATTTCAAGAATTTACAGCAAATCAGTAAAATATTGTTTTTTTTTTTATATAACTAGGTTGTCTTTATTGCTCCATTTGATTTATATCAAATACAAAATTGTGAGTATGCACTTATTCTTACTTACAGTTGCCTATCATAAAAGGTTATATAAAAATAAAATACAAATTGTTATATTTAGAGACTGATTTATTTTATATTTACATCTTTGAACACATGAGTAGTCATATCATTACCTTTAAATACAATAAGCTACTTTCTTTCCTTACAACTTAATATCAAAGTCAAATTTGCAATGTTGACAATAGATACAAGAACGAGAATCTTGGAACATTTAAAACAATGTTCAATATTCCTTACATTGGTTTCAGTTACACTTCTAATCACATCAGATAGCATAAGTGAATAAGAGAGTGAGATCCAAATTTCAGTACTGGTGACTCAATACCTGTACTTCGTAGAGTAATCCTTGGGAGATACTACCAAACCTCTGCCCTTGCGTGCACCTCTGTAAACAGTTTCTATGATATCTATCATCTCTTGTTTGTCCTCGAGCGGCCAGTTGATCTTGTTGTTGTTGCCCGTGCCCAGATCAATCATGATGTGCTTGTTACGGAAGAAGAACATTACTGTGCAGGGGTCATATAACTCGTACCTGTGAAATAATAATAATTACTTAATTACTCAAGTGGAATTCAATGTCAATTGGAGTAAATTCATCTATTAGGAATTTCTGAAGATATCTACAATACATCGTATAATAAATCGTATCCAAAATTATACTATAATTATCCCCTATATTAGCCCAACATGATGCGTAGGTGCTAAGTCATACATTTTGTTGAAGTCAGGAACTTCCGTAATGTCAACTAGGTAAATGACAGCAAAATTTTTCACTTTCTCTGCTATGCTGTACAGAACCTCGTCCATCTTCATGCAGGTGGGGTCCCAGTCGTGGCCGAAACGGATCACCTGCAAAGTATTTCGAGTATTAAGTTTACGCCAATGAAGGAATTTCCAGAACCTTAAAATTTAGAATGTTCTCTCTTATCTCATAACCTCGAAATATACTTACGACCACTCGATCTTCTTCCGAAAGGATTGCTTGGTCGACTTGCCAACCATTATGTAGATGTCCCAGCATGTAACTCATTTTGAATTTCTATTAAACTGAGACTAGAAACAAATAAAAACAAGCCAATAGCTCCACAACACAGCACACAAATCGCAGTCGCACAACACAACAAAGTGAAATGTCATTAATGTCAGATTGACGTCAGCTGTCAAATCAACAAAACTTTTTTTTCAATATGGCTTTGTGTCTAAGACATAAAGTTGTCTAGGACCAAGTTCATAATTTTGTGAATGTATTTTGTGTAATCAGCGCCAGTAAATTTCTGAACGTAGACGGAAGTCGGACTTTTGGGCGGGAAAGGAAAAACGTTAGCTTTTTTTATTTTCCAATCAAGTGAAAACGTGCTTAGGTGTGGGTAAATAAAATTAAATAGTGCAATTATAATTGTAATTACTATGTACTATGTTCTGTGGGACTTATAGATATTCTAATTATTGGGGGTAGATTTCGATTTTTTGCAGACATTTTATTCTACTATTTGTGGCTTAATCCATTAATATCAGTAGGACGGATACCAAAACAAAGGAAACTCATAATATTTTACAAAGCAACCAAACCTTACGATGCCGGTAAGTCTAAATAAACTTAGAATAACTTAAAATGGCAAAAATTTTAACATGCTATTTTTTTCAGCTATCCCAAATAATACCTTTTTTACCAACTTTTAAATGTTTTCTGTGTGTTCTATTCTATTCTTTACTATAATATTTAATATCAATTAAAATGTAGGTAAGAGAAGAGTTAAATGGTTTTTCCTAAATCGCTTTCCACTTGATGACAAAAAGAAGACGCAAGACATAGAAGATAGAGTAAGTAGGTACCCAAAAAATAAATTATTAAGTGGTAGCTAGGTAGTAATTGCGCCATGATCTTAGAAACCCATAAATTAGGTCAGCGCTTTATCGACAAGCAACAGCAAACTATTAATAGTCCAAGTCATTGTAACTAAGTCAATGGAAAATCAGACATGAAATATGTTTTTTCAGAATATTAATTTACTTAAGGTAAAAGTTATAATGTAGAGTTGATAAATGTGATTAGGTACATGTATGTTGTTTATTGTTTATCAGCTATCATCGCGGTTCCGTTGTTTATCGCAGCGCTTCACTCCAGCGCGGGGCGGGGGGGCGCTGGCACCTCGCCACCGGATCGCGGTCACACACCTGTAATGTGTGACGTTCGGGAGACACAATAAAACAGTTAGATGTGCGCACTGTAGGTTTAATTGTCCGAATGAAGATTATCCTAAGCTTATATACTAGTGGTTTATGCCTAATATGGGGAAAGGATGCGTACACACTACACCTCCCCCCTTTTTTTTTGAGAAAAAACATTATAGTTTTTTTTTATTTGATTAAAAAAATTATACAATACAATAATAATTTAGATTTTAAATTATAATTCAAACCAAATAAAATTTTGTAAATTCCAAATATGTATGTTTATAGACACAATACTAATATTTCATTAATATGATTGAAATTATATTGATAAAATACATTTTCAAATTGGCTCAATTAATTAAATTTTAAAATGCAAATGAAATAGATAAAATACTCTATAGATGTAATAAAAAGCTGTCTCAGTTGAACATTACGATTTTTAGAAATGATAAACTTTGAATTTTACATTGTTGGAGTAGAATGGTATATTTAAAATATTGATTTTGAACATTATTAGGTTACTGTTTTGTAATAATAATATCAAGATTTTAACAGATTGCTAAATAATTTCATCACAATATCAGCCAATAAAAATTAAAAGCCTGCTGCTTTTGAACCTGAACTGAATTTCCAATAAAATAGTAAAATAATCAAGTTGAAATATAGGCAATTACAATTAAAACAATTATTGTAGAGACTGTATAAAGTATACAATATAAAAAAGTTAGTACATTATTTCATTACTAAGTGATTTTGTATAAATTTTCAATTTAAAAAATATACTAAAATGATTATGTACCTATGTTATGATATAACTTTAATTCCAAATTAATGTTACATAACAATTACATTTTTTATGGTTGGAAAAAATTATAACTTTTTCTAAATACACTTTGCCAAAAATTGTACATTGGTTATTTTAATAATTTAGAATTTTAGAATAATTTCGTTATTAACTGATAAACCAAATCTTATATTGAATTGCACATTTATGTAATTTAAATCAAATTAATAATTAAATACAAATAAACATTGAAATTCACAGTAAAAATAAGAAATAATTTCACATGAACAATTAGGTTATCATTCATTAACTGAACAGTCATTTCAATTTATAATTTTGATTAACATAGTTACAATATTATTATTTTTATTAGGCTACAAAAAACCATTATTTTATTATAAAGAATATTATTAATCACTATGCTTAACTAAATAAGACGAAGACGAATCATTAAATTTTTACAAAAGTTAGTAACAATGTTATTGGTACCTACTCAAAATTTAAAGAATCATAAAATATAAAATATATAAATATATCTTATTTAAGAGTTTTATGATCCCATTTTTTTTTTCAATTAAATTGTAAAATAATCCCAATGTAGGTATAAGTTATAATTATTTTGTTGTAAAAATACTTAACTACAAAATTGATAAAGACATTTTAAATAGTTTAAGTAGTGTTTGATTTTATAGATATTTAAAAAAAATAAGGGAATGAAATGGCAGAAACATTCCTTTTCAAATTAATACTCTTCTTTATGATATTAGTTACTTCATATTCATATTGATTTGCATCACATTTCCTCATAAAATTTCACACTCAATAAGCCTTATCCTTATCAGATATCCGTTACATACTCATAGTTCATAAGTCATAAGTTTATTCATAGTCATTGTCTTATAAGATAATTTTTAGCACGGTCATTTGACTCGTAGCTTATAAATAAGTCTTCATTAGGTACCTATTATGTATTATCATTTTGTCAATATTCGTTACACAATATTTTCACTGGGCCGGCCCCTTTATTTTTATAAACATTCATAATATTTGGTACAGTTTTTTATTTTATTTATAGTCGACTTTTAATTATATTTTATTAGACATTTAGTCATTTGCTATGCATAGTCTTATAATTTATAGGGACATGTTTTAAGATCTTTATTTATTTATTTTGATCTCCAACTATTTTCACGGAGAGAAGCTCGTCTGCACCATGATCAAATGAAGGATCTGTACCCTACACTGTACCTTGTACCATTTATTTATCTTTATAAATTATTTATTATTTTACTAACGGGNACAGTTCTAACCTAACCTAAACCAATAATTATGAATAGGACCGATTCGTTTCTGGAACTTGATTGAATGATTATAAATAACTTGAAAAAATCGAACTGCCTAAGGCGGGAATTGAACCCACGACCTTCCGCTTGCCGGGCGACTGCTCTTCCAACTGATTCGTTTCTGGAACTTGACTGAATGAATGGAGCGGGACTTAAGTATACGTGCTAATGCCAACAAACTTGAACTTTAATATATTGTTAGAGAAAGAAATCTAAACAAAAAAGATATGACTTTGAATAATAGTGTAAAATATGGTTATGTTTAGAAAATCTAGGAGAACAAATAAAAGTGTAATAGATGTTTATTGCTAATGAGATTATGATAAGTTGAATGATTCGGAATTATGAACATTAGAGATAGAGTAGTTAGGAATTGTGATTGTTAGGATGAAAAATTTTAGGAAGAACATTTTCGGACTTCCAATTTTCGGAGTTGAAAATTTAGGTGAACTTTGGTGCACCCACTTATCAATGTTATTATTCGTTTCAAGTTTCGTTCTAGATACGTCGCGTCGTCGGTCTCGGTAGCAAAATAATGCAGATGCGTTAACACGTGTCGATGTATGTGGGAATGGAATGCAGCAATGCATCACCTACTACGTACTTAATACCAATTTTAAAAGTTATTATGTTATGTAGGAAATATAACTTAATAATGTCATTTAATTATATTCAATTTAATATTGATATGCAATTAAGATTTACTTGAATACTTACGTGATTATTACAAATGATTTCTTTGTAATGAAGAGAAAAAAAAATGATTGAATATTTCATTGGCTCTACTTTCAAAATCAACGTAAACTAAGAAAAGATATTTTTATAAAATCTTGGAAAACAAATAACTGATACCAAAAGTTTTAAAACAATGTTTCAAAATATTTTGCGATGACGAAACAAGTCATTTCAATTAAATACTGAACTACCTACTTGAAAATTCTATGACTACTCAAAATGTAGATAGGCATCTGATAATATTAGAATAATAATTTAAAATGTAAAATAAAAATGTCATTAATATTCAACAAATCTGTTTTAAAAATAGAGTATTCTCAGCCAATTCTGTAAATTAATTATTAAAAGTTTTGCATACAGAAATACAGTACAAACAGCGAACTTAATGTTGTATGGCATTATCAACCAGTCAACCATTGGTCTGTTATTTATAAGTTATATTTAATTTAAATCGACAAAAATAGAATTATGTACAACATTGAAATGTTATAATCGAAATTGGAAAATTTGATATCTTCCGAGAAAAAAAAAACTTTATTCGAGGTTAATTTAGAAACATTGTGTATAAGTATTTGTTCAATGTTACTAAGTCGTATCAATTTAAAACTTTTGGAAAGTTATGAATAATTTGCGTAAATATTTTTGAAGGTTCTAAGTTCTTACTAAACAATAAATTTTTATTCTGCTGTTAAAATAAAAAGACATTATGATCGCTATCAGATCAAGTTTCGACTTTTTAATAAGCTCACATTATAATTATCTGCGCTAAATTCAGTGCCAAAAAAATAATTATGTTTATGGGTAACCACATCCAAATGAAATAAAAATATTGACCATTAAAAAAATCAAAGAAGTTACTAAAAACTAAGGATAACATTTTTAAATTTTTCAACAATAAGATTATGCAATGTAGTGAATACTTTATTAATTTATTTAATTTTTATTGAATCATGCTTATGATTGTTGTTAAAATGTTTCAGTTACGTGAAAATGATCAAAGAAATAAAATTTAAATTAATTATTAGATTCGCAGGATAAATTGGTATGATTCGATATTAATATGGAGAATGTAGTACATTTTATGAAATTAATGTCTCGTAATTAAATTATTAGTTAAAGTTATTAATACAACTTACCTTTATCGACTGCATGAAGTATCATTAAGTACCTATGAATTTTTAAAAGTTTTAATTACCAGCAATATAAAGTTGAACTTTTCTTTAGGTATATTCAAAATCGTACACTTTTTATAATAAATTATTATCAAGGTAAATCTAATAAAATTGTGTTACCAAGCTTTGTACTATTATGTATGTAAAAGATTTCACATAGTTAATTATAAAAATAAATTGCATTATGGTGGCCATTAGGTATTTTCCATAAAATTATAAACGATATTTTAAAATGTCAATAGAAAATCTCCACGTATTATGTATGACAATATTTACTGCAATATTAATTTAATTAAAAATGATTCGTCTACGTTATTATGAATAAGTACATACGTCAAAAAAGTTATTATACTTTTATATGACCTTAATTACAAAGATAAATGATTTTCAATAATTATGTATAGTGGCCACTTATACGAAGTTAAGAATATTAATTAAAATAATAAAAGGTTAAACATATTGGTCACGTGTACGTGTTCCAAACTTCTATCTTGTTGTCTTCACAACCCGGCGCCAATCCATCATCACGCACCTCCTGCATCTCCCGGCAGCTAAATATCCTCTCACGTCAGCCAATGTCCTCCAGCACCATCGTCACCCGGCAGCTACGCCCAGCACAGTTTCAAAATTTCTTCATTTATAGGTATAACGCGGCTTCCATCTTACGCCATCCAAAATTTGGTTTCCATAATTCACCATAATGTTCACTTCATATTTGATTTGTAGACGAAAGTCTTTTGTAATTCGGTCCGTTCACATTTTAAATTTTATTCGCGAATTCACTTTTTATTTATTTAATGATTTATTGATTGCGCAGCGCTGCCCGTAGGCAGCACTGGCAGGGTCGCCATGTAATGTGTGACGTTCGGGAGACACAATAAAACAGTTAGATGTGCGCACTGTAGGTTTAATTGTCCGAATGAAGATTATCCTAAGCTTATATACTAGTGGTTTATGCCTAATATGGGGAAAGGATGCGTACACACTACACACCAAAACATACGGATTTCTCGGGAAAAAATAACGAGCACTTGCAGAGCCCGACGCCTCGCCGCGTCCGTCGCGCGCCGCATCAAATATTCTAGCGATATCGATTTCCAGATATTAGCGAAGGTTCTGCCGTGGTTCGTGGTCGGTGGCCGCTGGTGCGGCGCGGCGGTGGTGGCGGGAGGTCCTCGGTCGCCAGCCCGCACTGCCAGCGGGCTCCTCGCTAGTCCCGCGGCACGCGCTCCCGTGTCACGGCCACTGGACTGGAAGAAACGAGTCTGCGAAGTGATTTAGGTGAGCATGTTTTGTAATGTTTTGAAAGGAAAGTGCACATTCAGCATGACAATCTGTTTTCGTTATGCTTTATGAACCGTGAATCAAAAAAGCGCTGCGTTGTGACTTGTACATAATTGTATCTAAAAGAATCTTGTAAATTGTAAATAACTCCAATTGTTTTTGTAACATAGCGATCTTTTTTGTTTGTTGACGTTTACTTTTTATTAACATTGATGACACGAGCAACAAAACTTGTGCAGTTTTATCTAATTAATGTGTCTCGTCTCGTACTAAATGGAAATGGCCGGCTGCTCCCCGATTACCGAAGCCCGAACTTATCTTGAAGACTTTTCGCATTTAAATTGACTTAACTGGGAATTGAACTTCTATGCGCTCAAGCTTGGCGGATTTAACTGCTTCACTCCATCGGAGCGTAACACTGCAATGTCGAGTTTTAAAACATGTACCAAGTGTATTGTTTTTGCACAGAATTGTAGGTGACACTTTGGCGAGCATCGTTGCAGAAGGATTGGATGGATTAGATTCTCGGAAATCAATTTGTGATCTTAAAATGCGATGAACGGCTTCCAGGTCCCATGTTAGGAAGTAACCACGTGACTATGACTATGACTATGTATTCGCTGCGTTCAAATAACTACTAATATGATATTAATTTATTTGAATGCAATAGAGTGAGCTGACGCTCTCGTTTGGTGACGCACGCGGTCAGTAGGTACCTACTTACTTAGCTACAGACTGACCCACTGAGTCAGGTTTATGAAAATTGCTCACGCTTTGAAATATTTAAAATAGTACTTTGATTAGGTCAAACATAGACAATTATGAGGTCAAATAATTAGATGGGGGAAAATAAATCTGCTACATCCATGTCTACCGACAAACATGGTGCACTAACTATTGGTAGCTTCATACATTTTCTCACAAAGAATAAAAATTATTAAACTTAGGTAACTCTCTCAAAAATAAAATATAGATATAACCAGTGAATGCCAGTGATTAACAAGCTATCAGCTATACAGTCAGGCGAATCAGTCAGCTGAGCTAGACCCAATCTCCCCCGCAGAGAGACCCTAATTAATGAAGTAATCCGTCAATGGCGGCGAGGACGCTGACCCGCTCCGGCTCTCTCTGCGAAGACTAAGTAGCGCAAAAACACATGAAACGGGTTGCCTTATTACATTACGTTTACAATACGACGTGTATTATGTTAATCTTATGATCATTTAAGATTTATCTCAACGCTTTACTAGGTATAAGTTCTATATGTACGGTTATTTTTAAGAGAAATCTACCGCCTATATTTAATTTTATAATTGTAACCCCACCGATAAACATTCTCTATGTTTTAAATACTATAAATTCTGTAAAATAAAGTCCTACTAACTATGGATGTGACAGACTGCTTGCGTGTGTGGGGTGATACGGTGTATAAGGTTCTATTTCATAGAAATGCGCAAGTGACAAATGTAGAGTCGGTTTACTACACGGTAAAGTACAGGTGAATCTAATAAATTAGATGTATGTAATGTAGGTACGATAATTTATATTAATTACTATTAAAAGTAGAGCACTATATTTGTAGAAGTAGTTTTATGAGTACTGATTGTATAACACCACACCATAACATTTGTGTGAGCTGTTCATCTCCATGGCGGGGCCATCATTCATCTCCATCGCATTGTATGCGAAAATACTTGAAGACCGGTTCGCTCGAAACATTAGGAGAGAGTAGCAAACTGATTTTTAAGTTCACCTTGTGTAGTTATATCAAAGCGCGAGCTAGTTCAAAATCAAAATCAAAAATATTTATTCAGTTTAGACCACAAGTGGCACTTATGAACGTCAATAGAAAATAATAAAAAAAGAAAAGGTAACCCTTATTCAAAACTAGAATTTTGAAGCAAAACCTGAGGATTTTGATAAGCTTCGTTAAAGTTCTAAGTCGAATCGAGTTTTTAGCTAGGTGCTTTATATTAATGTGTTTTGAGATGTACATGTTTGTTGGTGTCGTTACCAGAAGTAACCTGTGGATATTTGCAGAGCTGCGTGCTGATGGAGGCGGTGTACCCGGCGTCGGCGTCGGCGCTGGCGCGCGGGCGGCGCCTGCGCAGGCCGCACCCGCGCGCGCGCACGCGCACCGTGCCCGTCACCTTCGCCGAGATCAAGGTGATGCCCCATGACTGCACTACTTACTGCACACAAGTACTACCACATCGCTGATGCTTTAAGTTTAGGTTAGCCTAGTAGACCGGAGGAGAGATTTTATCCGTCACCATTGGACCTGCAGCTGCGGTATTTTTGTCAGAAGAAAATAGAATAGTTTTCTTGCAGTGCAACTCAAATGATAGATACAAACCGAACCTAGTATACTGTGCTACTTTACCTAGTTAGTAAAGCTTCAGTGTGAGCTTGTTTGTACGCTTTTGTAGGTAGGTAATTTATGATGCGCTATGGACGGAGAAATAATAAAACGTGAACAACTACCTAGGGGATACTTACTCGTGGTACTTATCCATTTTTAAATTTTAACACTGGAATCTCAAATCAGATTTATCAAATTAATCATAATGATGTCAAGGTCTTACCAGGTGTGCAAATTAATAATGATATTGCCATTTGAGATGGAAGTCAAGGCCGACTGCTCGATTGAGTACTCTTAGTGCAATCAATTAAAATTGAAGGTTGGCGAAAATATAATCGACATTATGGTTTTAATAACTTTTATAAACGTCGACATCATTTCAAGGAGTTTGGGCGTAAGCGATGTTAATTACTTACGTTTACGAATTATTGTAGCTCTCCCTAACGTTTTGTGGGGCGCATCTTGATTATGTTATTATAAGCGCTTACGCGTCCAAGCTTACAATCGATCAACATCCGACGGCCTAAAATAGATGCTACTGAAGGTTAACAACTAAATTAACTACTAAATGCGTAATGACTTTAGGTAGATCATGTTCCAGACAGACAGTTCGCGTACATACTTCTATCTATGAGTATTACAATCGATTTATTGGAAAACAACGAACCACTTGTAATTTTTACAAGTAAAGTTGTAGAGAAAAAGAGAGAGTAGGTACATACCATGAGTTCCTGTCGTGTTCTGCGCCCGATCTAATATAGGTAAAGGCAGACCCTGGCTGGATGCTGTTTTTAAAAAATAAATGGACTTTGGAATGGAAACAGAGTTCCTTTTTTGCGACTGAATGGGTCATGTTTCTGAAGTTGATACTGAAATATGACCTAATGACGTTGATGATTGAAGGTCCTTATTATTTAGTAGGGATAGTGTAGCATATGCGAAAATAAATTTGGTTTCTTTGCTCATGTGATTGTAGCGCCTAGAGTGGGTGCATGTAGGCATAGAAAAAGTAACAGAACTAGTTCAACAACTTTCCGGGCTTATTGACATAATTATTATTTAAATGTTTACATCGTGTTCTCTCAATACCTTCCTCAGGAGGTGGACGAGGAGAACGAGGAGGCTTGCCCGGAGGCGGCGGCGGCGGCGGCGGCGGAGGAGCGGCGGCGGCGGCCCGACGTGCTGGACGAGCGCCTGGCGCGCCAGTTCGCCGAGTTCCGGCGCCGCCGCCCGCGCGCCGCCGCGCTGCGCGAGCGCGAGCCCGACGACGCGCCCGCGCCCGCGCCCGCCTCCGCCTCCGCGCCTGACGTGTCCCGCGCCGCACCCGCCACCTGAGAGCGGAGCGCGAGCTTGTTCCCATGGACAATTGTTGCTTGTACTCGAAGACGTCACACGCCCGATATTGATGGGAGGAAACTCCTTATTCAATTTGCAAACTGCATAGAAATTAGATAAAAGGTCTGCAAACGTGTTCTGCCGTCCAAGACAAGACTTAAATTTATATTACCTAAAATCTCCTGGATGACGTGTGTGTCGCTATCTTGTAGGTCACTATCCAAAGTTTGTTTGCTAATAGGGTAAGCCAGGCAATAATCACAGACTGAACTAAAATTAATTCAAGATGATACCTAGTTACCTACTCGCCTTTTGCTAGGTGTAAAGCTGCTTGGAGTGTACAGCTGAACACCAAAGACGGCACCTTATTGGGATTACAAACATAATATACTATGTATGTAGGTATTTACTTACTTAAAAAATTATGTGGAATGTTAATAATATTGGTGCATCTAAATTCTTTTATCGCCTGTTATTTAAAAAGTTGCTTTGCCTAGATAGGCTACAAAACACAGGGACTGACGAATTGTATTTTTTTTTAGTTTTAAGTGTAAATGTAGATTTAATTAATCTTGTAATCGTGTAGGAAACAATAACGTAGAGCGTTTGTTAACTGATTTATTTTACATTTAATGTGTTCCACGTGAAACTACTTGAAGTTGTAATGGTATTTGCGATTTGTTGTTGAAATTAAATAAGCGATTTCTTAAAAATCTTAATGATATCTACAAAGACTAACTAGATACTCATTGAAAGAGCCAATACTCACTGTCAGCGAGGAAATATAAGTGAAGACTAGGCTTAATAAAATCTTAGAGGATTTCAGTAAAACGTCCATCGTGTTCGACGACTTCATTTATTTATTAATGGCTTGTACAATAATTTAAATAACACTCTCAATCACTCGTCCTCGGACACATCAATAAATAGACATGGCTATGTACAACTAACTCTTAACATACTTACGGCTAACTATAAAATAGTTATAACAAACAATATATCTGACGTTTAACAATATATTCTATACATATTGTATACGGGGCGGGGCGTCGCACTACGTGTAACAGTTGTATACTACGAAGATCAATACAATACATCAGACGGCAGTTTCCAAGCTTATAATATAGGTATTATTCATAATGTACCTACTAATACTAATACTGCAAGTATAATATACTCGTACCTACCTACAGGTAAAAAATATTTGTAAATGCTTTATTCCTATTTATTATTACGAGGCATTAAGACTCCGTAAAAAATACTCTTGAGAACATGATCAATAAACTCTTTGTACTTCATAAAAAAACAAAGTAGAGAGTAGAGTTAAATATTTGAGTTTCAGACAGCTAATTTGATTTAGATGTTTCTGAGAAGGGTCTTGTTTTGGCACTTCGTAGTACGTACTAAGAAAATTATAATATTTAAGTCTCATAGTTGAGCATATCATTGTAGTAATTTAATTAAAATCACTGTTAATATTCTTATTATAGTTCCTATTGAGTGATTCTATGCCGTCGTACTTGACTGCTGGCAAAGGGTTATGCCCACTTAGTATGGGACCTTTGGCCTGAGGTGGACAGACATTACAGCATGTAATTTGTTATTTATTAAATAGTCTATACCAGTAAGAAACAGAATATAAATATCATTTTGTATCCAAGTCCTTAAAAAAATTTTTTTTGCTTAAGACTAGAAAGGTTAGAAGCAAATTAAACACCATTTTTTTATTATTATTATTTTAATGTGACTCATGGGTCAATAAAATATTGTCTAAGAACTAGGCAGGTGGAAATACATGTTCCTGATACCTTTCCCAGCTCAAAAACCACAAAATTGTCATAACATGAGCACAGCAACCTACTATTATTCGGCCAATATCAGGGCAAATGAATCCTCGTCCCATCATGTGTTTGTTGGGGCTCCACAGCATGTGTAGCAGCTCGATCAGCTCACTGCCACTTAAGGATGACATATTTGGTCAGATCCCCGCAGCTGAAACAAAGAAATTAATTATGGTATCATTCAAAATTCATTCTTTAAGATATTGAGATGTGATGTCAATTTTTATCTATCAGTAAGAAGTATTTGTATAGAAAAAAATATACACTTTGTTCAAATATATCAAGCCAATGTCTTTAATAAAATATAATGAAAATAATTATAAAAAAACTTACTTGACGAGGTGAAATCTGTTCCATTATTACATTATTTTCGAATATGTGATTCTCTTTCCGTGTTAATATGCAGTCTATAGAACGTATTTGTAACAAAGACAATCCACGTTAACTGTGACCAGTGCTAGTGGTTGCTTCTTCATTTGAAATATTATTTGTCCTTGATTGGTGCAGAGCCACACCGTGGCCACGGTCCAACATGAGTGACAACATACACTGCTGTTATCAATCTAAAAAAAAAGTTTTATTAGGATTATGGTAATCTACGGTAAAGGTAGTTGATCAAATACATTGTAAAAGGTATTCAACAAGTCCACACGCTCATTCAATAACTTACCAGCTGAGGAGTCATCCACTGACATTATAACCAACTGAACTTAATAAGCTCTAGGCTATGTCGCCTCCTCTGCATCATGTCAGCTATACAATTGATACATATCATAGGTTCCTCATGAGGTTGAGGAATTGCTAGTTGCATTATCCAAAATCGGGCTGGGGTTAACATTGGGGCTCGGGTCGGAGTCCATACGTAAGCCGTGGTCGGCGTTTAGGCAAGGTTCGATGTCCGAAAGTGAGCCATTGGTCATTGGTTGAGTGAGATTCGTAGTTCGAGAGTATGCCAGGGTCATCGGGAAGGGAAGCATCGAGGACCATGGTCAAAAAAATAAAGACGTCAAAAGGGAAACTTATACAACACTCTTCTGCTTTTATTTTGGCAAAGACTTGGTTTTGAGAACTAAACAACACTCACGATGAAAAATACAAAACAAAGCGAATGACAGATAACAGCTGTGACAATATTTTCAGTGTTGCCATGCTAATAATGTGGAGATGAATAAAAATAATCGATATAAAAATCGATTGTATTTTTGATGACTCGAAATAAGGTGTATAACAAGGTGTGTGTAAAATAAGGTTTCATTTAGTTATTTAAATATTTTTGGTAGTGTTATTAGAATATTAAAAAGGTTTTATAAATGTCATTTTAAATGAATACGTATTTAAAAAAATAATAATTGTCATAGTCAAACAACAATCGATATAAATCGATTCTTACCGATAAGATTCATTTTGGCAACACTGAAATGAGTGTTAAAGACAGGAAGTTGTAATTATCACATAAAGTACTATTTAAATTGGATTTTTATAAAGGCAAATTGATACAAAGTTACACTAAGTGAATACTTTAAAAATTAATTAAAAAATTTTGGCAAATTCATATTTTCATTAGCAGCTTGTCCACGCCAGGCCAGAAATGAACATTGTCCTTTAGTGAAAGTATTTGTTTCTAATTAGCTTACGTGACTAATTAATGGCACCAGCGAGACGACGTAGTGCAGGTCCCCACCCCTCCTCTCCTAAGTATCAATCATGTACATCATATAAAATTTATCTCTTTGTAGCAACGATCAAGATCCTTAAAGCTATTGTTATACTGGTAATCGAATACTGTGTTCTTTCGTAGTTATTCACAGATAAAGCATATTATTCAGCAGCATGGACAAATGTAGTTTATAAATAACAACAATACAATTTAATCTTTGTCAAAAATATACACTACATATCACCTATTGTAGACGTACACAGTACGGCCGGTACACACACTATGTTTAATATAGCGTAACGAGTGTAATCGTATTCTTAAACAGATCCTTGTCGTATAATTGTCTAAATAAATAGTTTATTTCGTTACAATATTTTATATTTTTATCCTTTTCTACTAAATAAACGTCTCGCGGACCGTTTAATACTGTACAAATTACATTTATCTTATTTATTTGTCAACTTCGTTTCCTACGTTCGCCGCCATTCTTCTCGAACAGTTCGGCGGTAGACGGCTCCGAGCGCGGCGCGCGGCGGATGACTACTGGACGGCTCCACGGGCGCTCGCACGCCGCGCACCGGCCGGGGAGGGAGGCTTCAGTCTTCGCGGGGCCCGGCGCCGGGCCGGGGCGCGGCCGGTCAGCGCGCGTCCGCCTCGTCCGGCGCCTGCTCCGGCTCCGCCGCCGACGGGATCGTCTGCAGGTGGCGCGGCGCCGGCAGCGCGGGCGCGCCCGGCGACAGCGGCGGCTCGTCCGCCGACACCGCCGGCTGGCGCGTCAGCCGCGGCCGCGCGCCCGCCGCCCCCGGCGGCGGCGGCGGCGGCGGCGAGCGCGTCGGCGGCCGGCAGCAGGCGGCGGCAGGCGCACGTGGCGCCGTGCTGGCCGCGCGACGAGCGCTCGTTGAGGCTGTTGGTGTTGGCGGGCGTCTGGCGGTTGCTGAAGTTGGACGAGTGCCGGCAGCGGCCGATGCCGCGCGTGACGCGCGACTCCTCGATGGCCTTGCAGACGAGCGCGCAGTCCTTCTTGAACTGCTTGGTCAGGATCGCGTACAGGAACGGGTTGCAGCACGAGTTGAGCGGCAGCACGAACACGGTGAACACCTTGGCCTCCTCGAGCGACACGAGCTGCGCGCCGAACGCGGCCGTGAGCGCGAAGAACGCGATCGGCGACCAGCACAGGAAGTCGGTGAACACGAGCAGCGCCATGCGCTTGGCGATGCGCGAGTCGTTGGAGTTCCAGGCCTGCGAGCCGCGGATGGCGCAGTACATCTTGAGGTAGCAGCCGAGCAGCACCAGGAAGGCCACGCCGTTGATGGCCAGCAGCGCCACCACGTAGCCGAGCGCCAGCGGCGTGCCGGTCTCGAAGGGCAGGCACACGGCGAACTTGCGGTAGTCGGACACGCCCAGCAGCGGCAGCGCGGCGGCCACCAGCGAGAAGGCCCAGCCCACGGCCATGACGGCGGCGGCGTGGCGCAGCGACAGGCGCTTGTTGAGGTGCATGGCGTGCGTGATGGCGTAGTTGCGCTCCAGCGTGATGACGGCCAGCGTGTACACCGACAGCTCGCTGGACAGCACGCCCAGGAAGCCGGCCAGCCGGCAGCCGCCCGACATCTGCCACGCGATGGCGTGCGCGCGGAACTCGCCCAGCGTGCCCGCGTCCACCACCGCCAGGAACCCTGCGAACGCAACGACGGGAGTGAGTCCGAGTCGTCAGGGAGCGGGTACCCGAGAGGCTCGACGAGGCGGCGCACCGAGGTAGACGCCCATGAAGAAGTCGGCGGCGGCGAGGTTGGTGACGAGGAAGCGCGGCACGTCGACGCGGCTGCGCGCGCACAGCAGCACGAACACCACGGTGCCGTTGCCCAGCAGCGCCAGCAGGAACACGGCCCACACGCCGCAGCGCAGCGTCCACCAGTCGAACAGGTCCACGCACGGCAGGAAGGGGCCTGGCCACACAGTGATTGTATTATTTACGAGGATGTAGCGAGCATGATTTTCAATTTATTTTTTAACATAACCTCAATCCGATTATAACCTCACTGCTTGAACGGACTTATTATTCTCCGTTAACTAACTAGGTGAGTTACCGTTAATGTAGTGCCTAATCTTTGCCTCATTAACGGACTAGTGGAGTTTCCGGAATAGTAGGTAAGTAATTGTATTAAGCTGCCTTAGACGTACAAGATTTATTACGATTGTTATAATGGACACCTGTTGAAGTGGAGCTACGAAAAGTTTCCTTTCGTAAACTCATCAATCTCGATCTACTTCGGAACTAATTTCAGTGCGTGCTCAGTGTAAAACACATCCATTTTTTGTAAAAAAAATACAGTGAATAATGAATAGTGGATACTGACCAGGCAGCGGCAGGCAGTGCACGCGGCGCGGCGCGTCGAGGCGCGCGTCGGCCGGGCCCGCGCCGCCCGCGCCCCAGCCCGCCAGCGCCGAGCTCGCCCCCGACGCGTTCACTGCGAGCAGGAACATCACGATATAAGGGTTAACATTAACCATCTTGAGTGATTACACTCAGCTACAGCAGTGCATCATCCAAAAACTTTAAGGATACACAATATCATAAATGTAGAAGTGTTGCGTTTCAGTACATGAATTTCGAAATCGTTTCGACTGTATGTTGCAGATTAAAAACATTGTCCTTTTATTCAGTACCTAGTTAGCTGCCAAATAACTAGGTTACTTGAAATAATTAACTTAACATTAGGTACTTCTTAGTAAGTAATTATATCATTAATTTTCATTCATCAAAGTTTTATACACCTTCCTTCTCGTTCTCCAAGCACAATATTAACCGATTCATAGTTCGAAGTTGACGTTCGAACTTGGAAAGTGTAAGTTGATCTAACAAAGATTAGGGCCCAGGTGTTCGCAGATTGTTGTTGTTTCGAAACTTCATCAGGACTACGACTTCTTCGTAAACTCAGGGGACATAGCTTCACTATCAATTTGCTAAAAATATCAGGTATAGTTTTTAGAGATGATTTACTTTTCGTCGTAGTTGTCGTAGCGTAGCCTCCACAACTACTACTGGATGGAGCAGCTACTCTCTCTCCAGACAGTGCTACGAAAGTCCCGTAGTTAGAAAGAAATTATCCATAAATCTATGTTTGCTACGGTCCGTAGCACATTGGGGTAGTCCGTAGCCTACGGACTACCCCAATGTGCTACGAATTTTCGATATTTGCTACGAGATAGATTGCTAGGAGTACCGGTCAGTGACTACGAACTTTTCCAATGCTGCATTATAAAACTATGAGTGCTTATAAAACCATAAAATAAAGTTATGAGTAGTTTGAGGTAAAATTGTTGAGTATTTACAAACTCTGATTATTATGTAGCTCGTAATGTTTGTGAACATTTCTTTGGCGAAATATACTCACACAGATGCGGCCAGATGTCGGTGAGGTTGGCCCAGGCGGCGGGGTCGAGGCTCTGCGGCGGCAGCAGCACCAGGTCGCTCAGGCCCTCCTCCTCCGCGCCCTCCGCCGCCTCCTCCATCAGCGGCATGAACTCGCAGCAGTGGTACGCGTACGAGAGCACCAGCGTCTACGGAAAATATTCATAACTTACTTACTACTAATAAAGTTACCTTTGGTTATAAAAACTTTAATTAGTCTTTTCCTTTGGCAGCCGTCTTGCGGCTCCAAGCTAAAAATATTTTTTCTCTCTGTTATACCTATCTCATAGATCGTAGTCTCCTGTGCTATAATTATTTTTCTGCACAATGTCGGCGTTAAACGCGATATGTAATTTTGATTTCGCCAAACGTACGCAAGGTTCTGGAATGGACCTACCGGGAATCGCAGCGTGTGACGTCCACCCACAAGGTGGACCGACGACATCGTAAAGGTAGCAGGGAAGCGCTGGACGCAAGCTGCTACCAATAGATCAACATGGAAAGCATTGGGGGAGGCCTATGTTCAGCAGTGGACGTCCTATGGTTGAAATGATGATGATGAAACATCCGGCAAATGCTACGAAACAAAATAGCTCTTTTATTAAAAGGACTGTAAAGCTGACTGTAATAAAGAACTTGATCGTTATAATAAATAAATATTTTTAGCCCACGTTTTTTCATTTCGATAATGTAGTAACAACGATAAAAAGTGATTGAAAGTTTAAGATAGGTAGCAATTTCTCAGTGGATAGAATATAAAGGCTATTAATTCTGGAGCCCTGCTTGATTAATGGCAATCGTTTCACAACGCTCGAGTGATCCCTATTTTTTTATCTCTATTTTTTCTTTCCCTGAACCTTCTTAAAACTGAGATGTCGTGCTACTAAGTACCTATAGATTTTGAAAATTATACAATATTTTCTGCCCATTTTTTCAGCATCAACCTTAATGAAAGTAGAGCATGTTATGCAATTGGGAAGTGTAAAACACCTTGAGGTGCAGCAGGGAACACGTCGCTAGTGCAGCTCCGCTCAGTACCTGTATCCGCGGCAGCAGCTCGGGCGGGTGGAAGCGGCGCAGCTGCGGGTTGTTGTGCGCCTTGAGGAGCAGCAGGCGCTGCAGCCCGCTGGCCGGCAGCCACGGGAACACGTCGCTAGTGCAGCTCCGCTCAGTACCTGTATCCGCGGCAGCAGCTCGGGCGGGTGGAAGCGGCGCAGGTGCGGGTTGTTGTGCGCCTTGAGGTGCAGCAGGCGCTGCAGCCCGCTGGCCGGCAGCCACGGGAACACGTTGTTGCCCACGTTCCTGGTGCAAGTAATGCCGGCCGTATAATTTCAATTAATTATAACATTAAGCTAGGGCCATTATTGCAGCTTGAGCAGGTTGCAAGTTTTTTAGGAGATAAATAAATTAAATTTGCATTTAGGTATTACAACAAAGAGTAGATATAAAGTTCTGGACAATAGCTTTATTTCATACGTATTACTTACAGGTCTTCTAACTTAGATATTGGCACGAAGGTTTCCATGTCTATGTGTTCTATCTGATTCTCTTCGAGATTTCTGAAACAAATCAAGCACTATTGTATCTTGATCACGTGCGACTTTTATAAAGAATAATCCGAGTAACGTTGAGTGTGTAGTATAAGATAAAAGGTTTTTCAGATATCACTCTTATTCTGTATCCCACTCAGTGGAACTACGAGTAAAACTTATTACGTAACGTCCCGGCGGCGGACACTGCCCGCCCCTCTCGCGACATTCATGAAGTTTTTCCAATTAACTGGCTCGGGCTCTCCCTTTGCATGTCTAATTGCGAATTGTTCGGCGCTTAGGGAAGCGGATGGCTTTTTAATAACGCACCGAACTGCCGAATGATAAAGTTTTCCGAGTCCGAAATTTCAATATCTTGTAGGCCAGCGGAGGATCTTCCGAATTACCATCCGTAACAACGTTGAATTTAAATGGCCTCTTATAATTCCAATTTTAAGCAAAGCGGTATCTGTATTAATATAAATTTTATTGGAAAATTTACATTTCGTTACGATCGCTTCAGGCTTCATTACGTGTGTAGAGTTGTAATTTGCATCGGCAGAGTGTTGACATTATAATTTGGCGTCGATTGTTATCAAAGTAAACAACGGGAACAGGAGCTTTGTAGCGGATTACATAACGTGGAAATAGTAACACTCGTGCCCCATTAGGGGATACTGAATAAGCTATTGTAAATACGGATCGCAATCAAGAGATACGGAGCGATAAACTGTTGCATAAATTGACTTTGCCATTCCGCCTGGCTGTGTTAAATACCTACATAATTATGTTCAAACTCATAAAACCTTTACAAATTATATTATGGTAGCAATAGCTTCATAAAGGGTTTGAATCATGTCGCTACCGGAGCGTTGAGTAGCTTCGGTGAAACGAACTAACTGTATTATGTAGAGGGCAGAGTATCGATAAAACCCACTTTGAGTTACTGCTGATGACTATAGTATTCTTGTCTATTTGCACTTTCTTTCTATCATATTTGTCAGTCGCAATAGCGAACGGGTTTAACGCTGAAAACCAGTTTCAGGACATCATTATTACAAAGTCCCGGATAGAAATGAGGCGAGCTTCTGAAACATTTTTCATTGTTTAGTTTTTTTCCATTTGTAAAGTAGTTAAAATCAATGTACAGTCGCGGAATAAAAAGGTTCGTCACCTTAGTGTCGGTTTTCGCTAGGTACTGTAAGAGTCAAACCTGCCAACATAACCGTGCAAGAAACAGTGCTGCTAACATTTAAATAAATATGACGTTTGCTAACGAATAAAGTTTTGCTTGTTTATTTTTCTATCCCATCAGTGCAATAATGTTACAAAATGTAGTTTTTTTTATTTAATAGATAATGGCAGGTTGAACCAACAAGAAGGTTTTAGTTTATCAATCATAATAATCTTCTTGACAAGTTAAATCGTCAAACAACTTGATCTGAATAATTTTGAACTTTACTGACAAACAGTTAAAGATTATTTTCTCTAACTCGAGATTATTCTGTAACATAGTTTCAAAAGGTAATAATAATATGCGCTCGCGATTCGTTGAAGGAATCAATTTGAAAACTGACGAACCTTTTCATTCCGTGACTGTACATAATATAATGTATGTGTCAACGTGAAATTGTGAACTATGTCAGTTTATAATATAACGCGTTAGATTTTATTGTAATTTAACTACGTCAGATTATAATCTGACGGAATTCACAATTTAACGGTGACATATGTATCACTCACAGCACTTGCAGACGCGGCGTGTGCACGAAGGCGTCGGCGGGCAGGCGGCGCAGGCGGTTGCGCGCCAGCAGCAGGTCGTGCAGGCGCGCCAGCCCGCGCAGCGCGCCCGCGCCCAGCGACGCGATGTTGTTGTCCGACAGCTCGCTGCAACACACGACAGTCACCCAGTGCCACTTCTTCTTCTTCGTCGCTACAATCTTGCCAGAGTGGTCGTGGTCGTCACACCCGCTCCAGTAGCAAGCCTCACAATCCATCGCCATTCCTCCCGCACTGCAGCCGTTCGAGTGCCACACCGACACCAAAAGGCTGCATCAAGCTCTCTATCCCCAAAGCTTATGTTTCATAATCTACGATGACATTATTAATTAAAGGCTCAATCAGCAATTAATATTATAATTTTATTATATGTTTTCTTTCAAATCTAATCCTTGTAACAAGGTTGCCATTGCTGAATTCGAAAGCAATAAAATATTATGGCAATGAAAGATTTTATTACCCGAGATGCGAAAAATCTTAAGAGCTATAAAATTTAAATCAACCGCTTTATCATCACAATAAAACGCTTGAAATGGATCAAAAAATCACTTAATAAAACCGAGACGTAAAAACTATTCTGTGGGTTTATTAAGTTAAAATGAGGAATTCTAATGAATAAAGTAAAATTCTTACAGCACGCGCAGCTCGGCGCACTCGTGCAGCTCGGGCACGCTCTCCAGCTGGTTCGACTTCACGTCCCTGCAACATGAAGCTCACACTCACATAAAGTTCCAAGAGTACAGGGGCCGGCGGACGACCGGATTAGCCGTCCTCTCTACATAGGGAACTGAAGCTGAAAACTATTAATTGCTGAGATATATTTGTTAAAGGTCTGTTTTATTCATTATTATCAATATAAATGTATAAGCATAGCTGGGCACCGTTAATCAAATAGTTAACTTCGTTAATCGTTAAACCGTTAATAAAAAAATTAACTTCGTTAAACGTTAAAACGTTACATTTCGTAATATTTAACGGAAGTTAACGTTAATCGTTAATCCGTTAACACATTTTCATGATAATAAAACGAAATAAATAATTAAGCAAGGTTCTAATAATTTCGAAAGCTTGTATCGCGCATGGAATTTATTCCTCTTTTTATGTTTGCGCTACAAGCTTTCGAAATTATTTGAACCATGCATAATGTACAATTATTTTTTTCGTTTTAGCACAGGTTTTAGTACAACTGCATTTCAAAATAAAAGCTTGTTTTTAAAAAAGTTTTTTAATTATTATAATTTTATTTTACACTTTTTAGTAGTATCTAAATCTCAGAGCCTTGGTTCAATTACAATACAATTTAGCACTAAAATGCTCGAAAAGACAAATCCAGCAAACCCAAACTCGATAAGTTTCCACCGTTTCGTTTAGGAATTCCTATGGCCACCTCCTCACTCCATCATCAGGACCCTGGACATCATCTAGTACTAAAGTGCTCGAAAAGACAAATCCAACGAACCCAAATTGGATGCGATGCTGCCGTTTCATTTAAAAGTTCCTATGGCCACCTCATGACTCCATCATCAGACCAGCTCAATGGTACCATAACATTGCTTTGTCTTCGTACTTACATAAGTATACCAAATTTCAGCTCAATCGGTTCAGGAAAACTGGTCTTAAATTCAGTTGCAAGAGTTGTTGTCTCACACATACTAACAAAGTGTCGTTAGTGATCTGTGTGCCTACCATGAGTTTACGTTCAGTGGGTCTAGACAAAGTGCAATTTATTATCGCAAACCAGTCGAAAAGTGGTCGAAAAGCCCCTTTTTGTATGGAGTTTTGACGGATTCTATTTTCGATTCGATCAAAAAGTGCGATTTGTCTAGGAGGTCAGGTGTGCTCGCTAGCGACTCTAGCGAGTACGTCAAAAATGTCTATGAAGATTATGTTTCTTGAAAGTAGCCGCTAGGGGCGCTGCACAATATGTCATACAATAGTGCTGATAACCAAATTTCAATTAATAATAATTACGGACAAAAAATAATATATGTCCGTCAGACAGATAATAATTAGAAAATATTCGACTGATATTTTTTATTTTCTTTCATAATTAAATAATAACAGTGCTACATCGAGTTGAAATGGCGCGATACGTCATGCTTGAGTAGAATTTTTACTCAAAAGTGACGTCACGCGACATTTCAACTCAATATAATAAATACTGTAATTATTCGATTTTGGAAAAATTAAAAATATGAGTCTAATATTTTCTAATTATCTGTCTGAGGGACTAAATAGAATTTCGATTCCATTACCCAGTCATCATCCCTATTAATGTCATTTTCTTACGCAGTCGCTAGCGAGCACGCCTAACGTAAACTCATGGTAAGCACACTGGTTACAAAAACTGTTGTTTTGGCTTCTGGAAGTTCTGGAACCTCGAGCTTACTTGTCAGAACGCGTTTTTCTAACGTTTTTCAGCGTGCCTGCTGTATCTTTTTGGTAAATAGTAGGTACTGGATTAACGATTAACGGACTTAGGATAATTTAACGGAAGTTAACGAGTCCGTTAACATTTTTCAAAGTTAACTTAAAAGTTAATCCGTTAATAGAAATGTTAACTTCGTTAATTAACGATTAACGGATTAACGAGTTAACGCCCAGCTATGTGTATAAGATGGGATAAAGTAACATGATAAAATCTCTGTAACAAGTGACCAATTGTCTGGCTTACCCTAAGGAATGGTACGACAATTGAATACCGATCGGCCGTATCTAAGGTCGCGAGTTACGACCGGCCGCGCGCTCGCAGCGCGCCGCAATCGCGCCATCTGCGTCTACCCACCGTCCGCTATTTGTATTTGTCCGACCCGAACCCAACGGAATGAAATGAATTCTACTTATTTGCATTTATATTTATTTAAGTATGTCGACACGACGCACGGAACGCTTATCTACACTGGCATCCAATTGCGATAGTTTCAGTGAGAAGGGTGTAGCATAATAAGTGATATTGTTTCGGACTACATTGTGTATGTTATATTATAGCTATGGTGTACGGTTCTTAGCCACAAAACAAATGATACATCATCAGTTTCAGAAAAGACAGAACTGTAACTTATTCTGTAAACAACACCGTTACATTTCGCCGTTTTGTCGTAAAAACAAAAGAGACCCACAAACAATAACAGGATCGTGTTTTCTCGTTAGCAAATAGATCTTGTTCGGCTTCGGGTGAGGGCCCAAGATTTTCCACGGTAAGCTTGTGAGCGTAGGCGAGGCGGCGGCGGAATCCTGCAGCTCCGCTGGCGCCCGGGTTATGCAAAGCACGCGGCGCTGGCGGATTACCGCCCGTGTCGCGCGGTAATACCCCTCAGTGTGGATGTTTAGTTCACTCACACGACCTTGGTGTATAGGTACGTATACGTCCTTAAGGTTACTCACCTTGATAGCTAACGTACGAGTACAATCGCTCGATTCTATTTTCTATGAAAAGATAAGTTATTTTAGCAAGAGTATGATTGTATAATCATTTCGTTTTGTTGCGCCTTGCGGACTTGCGGCACAAATAACGACCACTCATCAACGGGATATAACCAATTTATGTTTAAAAACAATTTGTTTCTGTCAGTGCCATGTTCAATGATCAATGAAGGATAGGTCACCTTACTCGTTTAGTTTTTCGGATATTTTAAGTAAGTATCGAATAGTGGTACTGACAGCGTGCGCAGCTGCGGCGCCTCGGCGCACAGGCGCGGCGGCAGCGCGGCGAGGCGCGCCCGGTCCGCGCGCAGCGTGCGCAGGCGCGTGGTGCCGTTCAGCGACGGCAGCTCGCGCAGCCCGCGCGCCTCCGACAGGATGCTGTGGGGAGGGACCATTGGTTAGTGTATTGCGTGCACTATTTCTTATGAAAATCGTTCTCAGACCGCAGAGTAACAATAGTGACCTTATGAGATTCAATGGCAGCATGGAAGCAGAACGCGAAAGTCACCTAAGTTATGCATTAGTTTTAGACGCGGCGGCTGTCATCTTCGAAAGTATTCATACATGCATTGTGCAGTTGCCGCTGCGGTCCGCATCTGCGGCCTCGCGAGCTGCGACACTGTGCTCTACAGTCGGCATTCCGCGCTCAATACCCACATTATGTAAGTAAGGGATGGAAACACACCAGCATACTTTTTAACCAAAAGTTATAAGTTACCTACTGCATTTACTGATATTTTAGGACGTCAAGTTAACTGTCTAACTTTTGGCATAAAAATTAAACGATGGTGTAGCTGCCTCTAAAAATATTATTTTATGAGTTCCAAAAGTTAAAACGAACTGATTTCAACTTTCAACTGTAAGAAAGAATCAAAGATTCATTCTTACATATCGGAGATCTCCATCTTTACTACTTTTACGTATAAACCTGTTAATAACTTCCTTTTGGATTTTATGGCTACGATAACAAGGATAAAGGCAAGAGAGTTTGTTCATGATTATCTGAAACAGAAGTTCTTCATTTTATTGAATTGATGTTTATGCTTTCTAAGACTTGACAAATGTAAAATTGACTATCAAAACAATACTATAGTAGTTTAGAATACACAATGTTAATTAAATACTTATTCAAGAATTATTTTATTTAAGTATATAAAATTTTAAACAGAAAATTATAAAATATTAAGCAGCAAAAAAACATTTGTTGTCAGGAGGAGTGCTTTCTAAATTGTGTTAATTGAGGACACATTTGCCGGTGATTCGGAAGCTCAGTTGGCATAAACCGCCGGATCTGTTGTTATTTATTTTCGGGTCAGCGCGAGCGACTTCCCTCGCCTCGGAAATGAGATTACTCCGGACGAAGTAATCTCGGCGGCTGTCCACCCGATCGTGTACAACTGTACATCTGTAGGTTCGAAGAGAGCCGATGGCGGCTGCGAGGGCCGTGAAGGGCGCGGAGGTCGCCGCGATCACTCGCGCGACCTTGGCCCTTTATTTGCGGACGAAAATAAGAGAGTTCGCGCAACACTGGCAATAACAAGGACGATGACTTTTGTTGACGAAACGAAAGCGGATGCTGCTGTCATTTGGTGCTGATGGAGTCTCTACTATTATGCAACTTACGTAAGCTCACACTCAATTATTTTGTATAGAATAAAAAGGTTCTTTGTAATAAAATTCTGCGCCAGTTTTCCGTACATCTAAACAGGTTCCGTATATGTAAAAGGCTCATTGGATTTACGAGTAAAATTTGTTGTTGACTAAATATTAGGCACGAATTATCGTAATTTTTCATATTAAAACAAATAGGCTAGGCTTGTTTGTATGGAAAATCTGATGAATAGTCACTCGATTTTAGCTGAAATTAGACTCTCCCATAAAATTTAACTTGATGTTCATCCCGAACCCTATAAGTAATTACGTGGAGTATGGGGCAAGTACTACACATTATTCTGTGGCGATATATCGACGTCTCGGCTCTCTGGCGCAATCGTCGTAATTTTTTTGCAAGGGAGATGAAACGTTCTAAAATTATAAATAAACGTTTTGGATTTATTATCATCTTCCATCCTTCTTTATTACCAACTAGCTTTCCACCCGCGGCTTCGCCCGCGTGGAATTTTGTCTGTCACAGAAAAACAATATCGCGCGCGTATTTGCTCACCGTTTAGACCTACCCTGGACCACAAAAAACATTTTAAAACCAAAATCAGCTCAATCGGCCCAGCCGTTCTCGAGTTTTAATCAGACTAACGAACAACAATTCATTTTTATTTATATAGATTAAGATGCTGAGTTCCATCTCAGAGCCATTACATATAAATCAATTTGCAGACTCTATCTAATTATACCGTTGTAATAGGCCACGTGGAACGGCGCGCTTGGAATAGTCGGTAGGTGCGTTTGTATTAGGCATGAAATAAATTTATTAATATTATAGATAATGATGAGAATTATAATATCGTATTAAAGTTGCCACAGTGACAAAAAAAGCTGATTCTATTCATAACAACTTGTTTCTCTTTATCATGTAGGTAATCATATTTTTTAAGTTCACATGTACGAGGGGCGCATAACAGATGTAATAACCCATCTTAAAAAGGTGGAGGAAAGATGCGAAAAATAATAATAATAAATCATTTATTTGCCAGAATACGGTTACAAATGGTTATAAAAAGAGAAGTTACCAACATATTCTAACGTACATACGATGTGCAAATAGCCTAGTGTATTAAAAATGCCGATAGAAAAGTATAAAAATTATATTTTTCTATTTAGTCTCCTTCTACTACAACGGACTTCTTACATTTGTGTAAAAGAGCTTTTAACCCACTGAAAAAAAATTCACAATCTTTGCCTTCGAAATGAGCCTTTAACGCCGCCTTCATTTCTTTGTCACTCAAAAATCTTCGTTCCTGGAGGTCTTTTTTCCAATTTGAGAATTTAGACAAAATAGCTAGGGATTCGGACTATACTGTGTGGTGGGTGATTAATTTCTTGAAATTCAGTTTTACCCGAGGCAAGCCCTGCAACATGCGCGGTGTGCGCGGGCGAATTGTCTTGCAATAACAGATTTCCTTTCGCCAGTTTGCCTCTTAATATTTCAACAACCACTTGACGCACTCTTATCAGCAGTACAGCATAATAATCCCCGTTTATTGTTGTTTTTTTAAATAGGTAGTCAATTAATAAAATTCCTCCACAATCCCAAAAAAAGTGGCTATGAGCTTGGGTGTCGATCGCTCCACTTTGAATTTCCGCGGCGGCGTGTTCCCTTTTGAATCCATTGCATTGACTCTTATTTTGACTCTAAATCGTACTGCCGGATCTATTATTATCAATAGTGACAATGTGAGAAAAAAAATTGTTAGGGTTATGGCCAAAGATGTCCTAAAACTCCTGTGAAGTTGTGACTCGACGCTGGTTGTCGAGCGGCGTGAGCATTTTTGGCACCCATCGCGTGCTCCCCTATTTCATGTACAAATGAGTATGAAAAATATCGCTGATACGTTCCTTGCTAATGCCTATGGCTTCAGCTATCTGTTACAGCTTAATTCGCTGATCTCTAAAGCAAGATTCTATAAATTTTCATTATTTTATTCGTTAATGGCGAAATCTGGCCGCCCTGACTTGCGGTCATCTTTTAGCGACTCTCTGCCATGCTTGAACTATCGGATACAATCTTTCAAGTTGGAAAATGAAGGCCCAGACTCCCCATAAACTGTAGACATCTCTTCAAATGTTACCGTCAGCGTTTTGTTTCCCTTTTTGTGGAATTTTATGACAACTGTGTACTTCAATTTCGTACATTGCGCGGATGACTGAGACATGATGATGTTTACGGATTAATTACTAAAAGCGTGATGACGCTAATGAAATGAAACTTGGTACATATACTAAGGAGGTTATTGGCAAATTAATGAAATTTAGTGCGAGTCAATAATAGTTGAATAATAACACTTGAAGATACTTAGGCTCAAAACTTTTCAGCCGCCCCTCGTATGTATTAATTCTTGCTGTTTGTTTTCTCAATAAAGAAAAAAATGAATAGATAATACGCGTATACCGAATACCAATTTGTATGTAATGTACAACATTACAGAACAGTAACAGATGTCGACTTAGGCTTCACAGTCCCAAAGGTCTATGTTCATGTAATTCGCTCCGTTACAGGCTACGAGCGCGTATCGGCATCCAAATCTCTCGAGTGGCGATTGCTCCCAAAGGGTGCCGCCGCGACGAAGCCGAAAGCTTTCAATGTAGAGTCACCACCGCCCGTGACGTCAGACATCTGAGTACCGACATGCAAAACTGTGTACTTACTGTGACCGGATGATTCAGCACGTGTTTTATTATCTCTCTACGACTGCTGGTTCTTATAAAGACGTGTAAATTCTTGTATTTGATTGCCGTGTAATTTTGTATCATCTTTTTGGGAACATGTTCTTTGGCACACTTTTATTGAATGTTAATTTAACTACTAAGCTCTTGTTTTTAAACAGTACCTCTTGATCCTTTTACCAGTGCCTTTGTACGTAAAAGACGGCCCTAATTGGTTTAAAGACAATTTTGATTCTTCGTAGCTTATGGTCAGTTTTCATTACCCACAGGAAGGCGACCTAGAAAACATGGCTTTCGGTGACGCGTGTTTCTCAGTGCCATTGTGCCGGATTAGTTGGTCCACGCGTTGACCTCCCTCGTCTACGCTCGCGCCGTGTCGCGCTCGTGGGCCGGCGAATGAATGGGCTCGTAAGTTCGGCGACGAGGCGAGGTCGCGGCCGCCCGCTCCGGACGCCCGGCGCTGCGACTGGATCCACGGCTCACAACAATCATGCCTTAATAGGCAACGCAGATTGATGACTTGCCAAAAATAGAATACCTGTGTCGCATCACCATTTCTTTCCATCGTATGGGTTGTTGTAAACACAACAGTTTAACAAGATGTCGTTGTAGACTTTGCTTCTACAAGCTTACTTGAGCTTTAAGCTCTCAAAAAAGAGCCAATTTGAACATGTGAAACGTATTGTTCCTATAATATTCATAAACTTGCCTCATGACAAAGACAAGGAAAGTAGGTAGAAGTATAGCTTGTCACAAAATTTGAATAAGCCCACCGGCCAGATGTGCAGTCATGGCGAAACGCACGCGACGGCGGCCTGACGCGCCGCGACGGGAGCGTCCGGCCGCGGCCACCGCTCGCTCGCAGCCCTCGGGCGGTCTTACCATACTCATAAACTTTATAGTGTATTTAACTTTTTGCGAGGTTTATCACCGCTATAACTACTAGTGACCGGTTTTGCGTAATAGTATTTTTTTACCATGATTTTTTTGTCGAGCGGCTATTCTGGTTCAATGAACACCATTCATATTTACTATTTTTTTATATTCGTTGAAGTTATTGACTTAGATGTTGCTCATTTAGTTTGAAATACTCGTAGATGATATAAGTAATGAAGTTTATTGACGTGTGACGTTAGGCTCGCTCGTAGAGTACACCGGCTCGCAGAGCTTTTGATTGGAAAGATGCAACGGTAAAATGCGGAGTCAATGTTTTATGGTAAAGCTAAAAAGTCAATATAATAATATTGCAAAAGTGAGGATTTGAGGTACGAGCGGTACTCACAGCACGGAGAGGTGCGGCAGGCGCTGCAGCGCGAGCGCGTGCAGGCGCGACAGCGGGTTGGCGCGCAGCTCCAGCCGCGCCAGGCGCCGGCAGCCCGCCAGCGCGCCCGCCGCCACCACCTCCACGCGGTTGCTCGCCAGCGACCTGTCACAACATGCTTCATGGGGTCTGCAGGCAAGTGATAGCCCGTTCACCGCTTGCGACTGCGGCTGAGCGGCGCTGCTGGCGGAGCGGTTTGCTCTAGGCTCCAAATAGCGAGGGATGCCTAATACAGTATGCTATCTAATATAACAAACACAGCTTCCTACGTTTCAGCCAAATGATGTGTGACATATTATAATTTACACTTATAAATATTCATCACAGAGATAGAGGACCAAAAGGATCGCTTCATGAACATGGTATACGTATATTTTAAAACAAACATATAATGGTAGTGTATTTCTGTGAAATAAATGAATTGAATTGATACAGAGGTACATAATTGGATTCCACCTCGGTATTTTGTTCACGAATCTCTCGTCGGCGTGGAACGTGATAAATATCTTGGGCTTAATCTAAATAAACAAAAATAAATTATAATCTCGTTTCGAGAATCCAAAATATTTTTTGCACGCAATTCGGAGCCGAAACTTCAACATTTCCCTATTTAAGGTTAACATTGAGCGGCACTCACAGGTCTTCGAGCAGCGGCAGCAGCTGCACGGCCGGCGGCACCTCGGTCAGCAGGTTCTCTTCCAGGCGTCTGCGACAAACACACAAATTATGGCAACTTTAAAATTATGTTCACTTTAATGGGTACTTATAATGCGAAAGCTAACTACCTAGTACTCATTATCGCACTCGACAGTTAAAATTATACGACTGGCTATTATTTCTTTATCTAACAATGATAAAGGACAAAACCCAAAAAGACCATTTCAATGAACGATAATGTGGCAAAGTAGCCGAATAACGGTGGTATTTGCATAGAATTTGAACGTGTGGCGAAAACTGATTGATAAAGTGATATAAGCCGCCTAACTGTACATATTAGATGTAGCACGTTTTCGTCAGAGTGAAGCCGTTACTCCAATTTATAGCCTCCCGCATCGACAAGGCTAGGCGTCGACAATGCGTCGGGTTCGCACCGCAGTTCGCACGTAACAAATCGCAAGTGATCGCGGCCGCGTCGCGCGTCGCTGCGACCGGCGCTTGACGACGGGCAATTTGTTCGCCGCAGATAAGTGCCATCGAGGGACACGTTGATGGGTGCTTGCTACCTTTAGGGCTGGGGGAGTAGTGAATAACTATCAACGGACTGAGAATTCCTTACCTTCCTGTCTGTAAAACTATTACTTAAGACTCAGACTCAAAAGCCTATTTTTTGGGAACTTTTAAACATCAGGAGAAATTATAAAAAAGTAAACAATCTATAGCGGCCTTGGGATCTTGATTCATAGCGTTATAATTAACGTGGTCGTAAGGACCAGAGTGTCTATTAGGTAGGTATTCCGTGGTACAGTTATTAATTTTGAGCCATTTAAGCTTTTAAAGAAAACAAATACAATGTAAATAATCTTTGACTCGACGTTTTGTTTGATTTAGCTACAAGCTTAGTGAGTATATCATGGCACCTAACTAAGACGCCAACCCTACGGAGGATGAGCCTTCACCCGCGCCCGCAGTGATCACCCGCCAGATTTATGGCCGCTATCCGCCGCCGCCACGCGCCGCGATTGTTCCCGAACAGTGTGCCGCCCGCTAATGTTATTATGATCTACGACTACTTATGATCAACTCAAGTTGTTAGGAAGTGCGCAAAGAAATTTTCCCACATAACAGGCATTAATGTGAAACTAACGTTTAGGTATCATTCCAATTTAAACTAAGTGAATACTTACCACATTATAAGAAGTTTAATCTTATCTTCCTTTTAAGCCGTGGCTTTGCGTATATTTATATCGTTACTAAAGTAAATCGCATTTCATACATGTTTTACGTCGTAAAAAGTGAAGAAACGATAATCGTGAGCCGATAATTTTCTTGTCGCTTTTATAAATTCAGCGCGCGTGTGCTTTAAAAGCTTTCACATTTACCGTACATAATAAAATTAGCCAAGAATCTTGCTGACTGATTTAAGTATTTGAATTTGCGATGGCTTAATAAAAATATATCACTGTGTAGACATTTGTATTAATGTTCGCTTTATATTTTAAAAACAATTTTAATAAACTATATTGGGTACCTATATAAAAAGTGTAACTGACTGAAATACGTATTATGAAGGTAGGTGATTCTTATCCTTACGAGTAAAATGAATGGAAGTATCTAATCCCCAAGCAGATGGTGGCAATTTTCGTATATGCAGCTATCAGGTTTAATAATAACGCGATAAGCGTCGACAGTGTGATACCGCAGGAGTTCTGCAGCCCACGCGAGAGCTGGACGCGGCGGACGGACGGCAGTTGATGAGCACACGTGCGTGATACGTGTGACACTCTGTAGTAAGGTACTAATATGGAGCCTAAGTTATTAGCTTACGCTATTGTTGGTATGAGTTTAATATTATGATCTACATAATAAATGTTCTTCTTCAAGTACTTCTTCTACATAGTATAATAATTTAAATCATATTTATGACCATGTTATAATCTCATTAGAATTTATAAACAAGTAAAACAGCAGCAGTCTTAATGTTTTTATTAATCGATAAGTCAGTAAACCTACTAATTGTCCGGGCGTGGCACCGTGCGGCTGATCTGTGGCTGCGCCGGCGGCCGCGACGGAGACTAATAGCGCCACTTCCCTCTTATCGACGACTTCGAGGTTCCGTACCGCCTAAACGTTCTAGTTTAATTCCCTTTTAGTGAAATGACGGGCGTTTATCAGTTTTATTAATTTGTTTGTAAACAGGCAGCGATAGCGGAGCGTGGATGATTAGTGGCGCTCGCGCGGCGCTAACTAATAGGCCCACTTTTTGGCCGTTAAGGCTTCGCATAAGTAAGTACAGTCATGAATAAGCACATTTCTCAAAGCTTCAGAGCTCACTTATATTAAATGACATTGGTAGTCTCGATTAATGACTCCTTGAGCGGTGATCGTAGTGTAGTAACAAACGCGAGTGTGAATGGGACGTCGTTCTTTAGCCCGATAGACTAATATAAGTGGCTTTATAAGTCAGAGGACAATTGAGATGATGAGAGAACCTATACAAAGTTAAGTACCTACTCTATGGAGAGAATTGGTTGGGACGGGACGCCTAATGGGCAAACCTAGTTTTTAGCTCAGGGAGGGGACAGTTTGATCCGGGGGGGAACGTGCAAATCGAATATGTTGTGAGTGGAAATGCAAACTTAAAACCATAGTAAATATAAAAAAATGTAATTAATAACTTACGTAGGTAGGTAACTTGTGTTACCAACTGTACCTACTTATAATTTCATTCTCAAAACTTTTATCCATTAACCTTTTTGTCAGGCATCCCTTCACAGTGAATAATTTGTAAATAAACGAGGAGATAATGGCACCGCTGTGATTTGTTTGAGCCGCGCCTGATCACCGCCTCATTAACATAATCGATAATTTTAAGCAATTACGTAATATTTTAGCTGTAGGTTGACTTGAGAATCAAGAAGGGGCAGAAACGTAGTATTTTAAAGTCATAGGTTCCAGGATTTCATTATTTTTTAAATTTCAAATGGCTCGAGCTTTGCATTGATGAGAAGTCTGTAATGATCTAATCTAACACGAATCTGATAATGTTTTGTTGTTAAAGATTATCACATAGCTATTATTTAGAAGTCAACTTCCCCTTGTGGAAATGAAACAAAACAAATTGGGCATTAGGTAATATTATATACGTTATTTCACGGTTACCGATTTGCATATACATAATAGTATTGATAACGTATTACAGTTAATGGTTAAATAGTTGTTTTTGAAGAGTTTTGTCGAAAGGATTTTTTTTACAAAGAGCGCCAGTTCAAAGTCTCGCAGAATTCATCTTACTTTATTGACAAAGTTAGCGCTGCTAACTTTCGTTATCGTAGAATTATGCTGTAGGTAGGCTCAAGTCTGACTGTCTATCGTACATTGCTTTAAATTATGATTTGATTAAGTTGTATGTATGGCGTATAAGTATAAATATGTAAAGTACCTACGTAGGATATTAATCCTTCAAGCTCCGCGAATCTAGACACAATAGATAATCAATTATTATGACATTAATTAATGCCGTCTGGGACTCAATCGGTTAAAAGCCAACCTAATATTCCGGTAAGCAATCCTACTAGGTTCGGTTAGGTCGTATCAAACAAATCTATCAGCTAAATACGTTTTCACAGACTACACGATGGATGAGGAAACATGTGTGCAACACGACACTTGTGCGAGCGGTCGTATGTCAAGTCGCGCGCTCGTTAGCCGCTAACTGGCCGACCAGCGCAAAAGCAATTAACTGCTCACCGGGTTTATGTGCCCTGGCTCTGAGGGCCTGAACACTCCACTGCATCCGTTTGCATGGGCGGACGCATGCGACAACGAGCATGTGATGCTGAATAAATGGTTACCAACCTCTTGTTTAAAACATATTAATGTTTATGATGCCGATCTGTTGTTTTTTTAGATGTTATTATCTACTGAAAGTTTTGTGTAAGGTTTCTAGGTTAACTCTAAAAAATGTAGGATAAACACGGAAATCTCTTTTAAACATGAACTCGATTAGGCCCCATTATGCTGACAAAGGCGACTGAGTATCTTCTTCTCAAGTGGTGATAGGGAAAGCTATGGGCCTATGTACCAAATATAAACTAAGTATTTGATTTGATTGGCTCTGAGAAGTTGTAAACAAAATAACCATTAGGTATGAACGATTCCGGTAGGTACATAAACTTAATAATAAATCTCTAGCCCTATCACTATAACTATCACACGTAACTTTTATGACAAATTAAGTGAGCTATTCATAAATCATAATTGATTCACCGCTCGTGTCCGTACAACTTTTTCAATCAAGATATTAAGTTCTTGGGAAACTTGGAGTACCTATCAGATAGATTTGTTCCAATAAACGTTTATAAGTTATTGCGAACTTGTACCAAATAATTGATTGTTATTGACTTATTCGTTTGTATACCACAGTCGGAAAACTCGGAGATGGACACTTGAACGTTCACGAAGAACACACAACTAGATTAAACTAATGACGTCCACTACAAAATGTAGTGTACTAACTGCTGTAATGTAGTAGACAGTATTTAAACAGGAAGAGGTTTGGAAAGTAAGGAGGAGTCGAGTACTCACAGCACGCGGATGTTGGGCGCGTTGGCGAAGGCGCGGTCGTCAATGTGCGTGATGCGGTTCCTCTTCAGTATTCTGCAACAAACTTTGGCAGTTAGTATTTTCATTGAATAACATTAAATATGGAGACTGCGGACTTACTTAAAATAGATAGTCTTATCAAAAATGCAGTAGCTGCGTAATAAATATGTTTTTATTATAACATCATTAAAGTTAGATACCTTTTTTCATAGTTATTTTACGCATTTTTATTGAGGAAGCTCAATTTTATTTAACTATTTTGGAAAATAGGAGATTGTTTGTTTATTTACGAATAACTCTGCTTTAGCACACCATTCGTTTGATTAGCTCTTTAACTAATTGCGTCTGAATTAGGTCACCGTAGGTGAATTTGGTTTAGATACAAAGAATAAGATGTGCAATAAATAGGTCTTGAGGGCACTATATTTAGCCTTAGCGGTTCGATGGGCGCGATTCCGCCTCGCGCGACCACCTGTTTGCCATTTCCCTAGCATTCTTCGAGATCAAAGGCCGCATTCTTCGCAGGTACAAATTAATGGCGGCCTGTAAATCATCGCAGACGCTCCCAAAAATGTTAAACGAGCAAAGCTAACAAAGACTTTACTAGGAGCACCTAAAATTAATTCAATTGAAGCTGGTCCCTGTAAATAAAAAAAATGTCTTCTTCACGGACAACTTATTTATATTTTGTTGGTGGTGTTAACCTTTCGGTAGGTATAATACATTTCAGTCTTCGAATATGGTTCATTTAAGTATCCGGCCTAGAGAATAATAAAACGACAACATTAAACCCAATTCTGTTACGAACTAGTCGTAGATTAAGTTTAATCGTCTCAAAACAATCAGAAGAGTCCATAAACAGGAGGAGGATGAGCCGCGCTCGTTAATGTAATGGATGGCGAGTCCGCGCTGAGCCGCGTGTCACGGCGCCCGAGTGCTGCGCGTAAACATGAGGGGGACCGACTATAGATGAGGGATGGTGTTATGAAATGGATTTATAATCTGGTGAGCGCAGTTATTCGTTTCTATAGAAGCTCTAGCACGATTTTTGACATGCTTTTTGTTATCTATGACAGTCGAATAGCATCAAATCGACTGAAAATTTATTTCACATTGAAACTTTGAGATCACCATCAATATTGCGTTTTTTTTTTCAACTGTGAAAGGTATTGAAGTGATATGTCTTGTAAGTTAACTTTTACCATCCCACAGTAATATTCTAGCCGAGTATAGAGATGCTAGACGTAGACGCTATTATGGCCCATTACAGGCGAGCGCGACGGTCTGCCGAGTGCCATACCGGGAGCATCGCTTGCACCGCCTCATTGGCCCCAGACTGGGACAGGCCAGCTGCAGCGTGATCCACAGCGCAGACGTAACGTTGACGTTGACGCAAAGCACATTTTGTTACCAGAAAACCCCGATTCAAATCTCGTATCGTACGCAGCGATTCTAGCTCTTTCAAAAGAAGCAATTATGTAGGCATATTATTCATGAAAATGAACGTGTATGCAGATGAACGTGTAAAACACATGAAAAACACATAGTCCAGTCAAATTAGACATGAACCCTGCAATAATTCGCATACAGCTGAAAATTGGTACGAATGTTTGGAGCACCATTATGAATTAACTGTGAAAAGTCCCCATCGATCCGACATGTGCTAAAAAAAATCAAGGTAATTCAAGAACAATGTTACGGAATAGTTACACAAAAAACCTTTCAGTATTTTTTCGTATCACAATACAAACACGCCGAATCTCTTTCTAAAATAAATCTTTTATGTTTCGAAACGAGAGCGACACAGGATTCCCTTTTGCCTCGTCTTTTAAGGTTCACTCGATAAATACAGATAACAATGGGATGAGACAATACTGCGAGACGAATAACTAATGCGATCGCTTGCGGGAGTGAACGTACGAGGAGCGGGCGCTGCTGGTGCGGTGAATCACTTCGGAGTGATTATGCGTGATTCGCTCGCGCGCTGTAAATCAAGCGCCCGCGTCGCTGCCCATACATTATGTATGCTGAAGAGTTCGCTTCATAATACGCACGCGAGATTTATAGGCCGGAACACCAGCCGCCGCTATTGATCGCTTCTTTATTACGCTCCGCTCTCGATAGATAACAAATTTGTTTGCTTTTATACACTGGAGAAGTGAACATAATTAAAAATAGTTTATGGAGGTGCCCGATGTAAATAATCTCGATGCTAATAAAACACAAAAGATGTATAGTGGGAGTAGTTTCACCGTGGCCATCCTTCACTGGCCGTAATAAAATCTCTGAATGGCCGCTAAAACTGTCACAATGTTTATCGGACATCGCGTAATGAATGACGCCAATAAATTTCTAATTTTCCTTTCCAGTTAGTTACTATCTTGAGACATTCTCGGAGGGCGGCGCGCTTGGGCGGGCGGGGTCGACGACCTGCGGGCGCGCGGCCGCCGCGCTCGATCCGGCGGCCGGCCGCCTGGGCGCCGCGCGCGGCCGCGGCGGACCTCCGGCACTGTGCACTCCTCCTGCGAGCGCACTGTCATCTCCTGTTCGTGATGGATATCGCTGAGAACTGCCTAAACTGATTTTGTCATTAACCCTGGGCGTGTAGAACTGTAGAGCCAATAAAACTTTAACGAGATGAAAATTACGGACCACCAAAGTTTAAATAATACTGTAGCTTGCGGCCATGTTAGGCTTGTAAATAAAAACATGAATTTGCTCAGTGGATTTCTTTGTAAGGAAAAGTCAAGGACGCCTCGCAAGAAATTGATAACCCTCGTAAAAATCGGATTTTCCACTTGACTGGTTAATTCCATATAGTCCCATTTTATGTTCTGGCGATGTGGTTCCATTCGATGTATTTCGAGACGCGATCAAATGTATAATTTCGCATTACTCGAATCTGTACGCGATGTTTACGACGTGGTTATTGCCGCGCGCGGCGCCCGGAGCGGTCGCCAGTGAGCTTGCCCACGTGTCGCGCTCAGCTTAATGAACTTCATGAACTTCACTGACTCAACTTACGGGCTAAAAATATCTGACCTACAACTCAAATTACTTTGGTAAATAATTTAGTTTAAACCTTTGCTTTAGGTCCTCATCGTTAATTTGTTGAAATGCCTATTAGTTACCGTCACAAAGCAATTAGGGCTTGTTCCCACGGAGATATTTTTTGCAGGATCCCGTTTAGTAGTATCATCATCATCATTATCTATCATCCCGTTTGTATCCCGCTAAATACCGATCCGTTCGAATTTGTAATTCGAAATTCAAACACACGTGATTATATTGTGTGTGTTCTCACGACAGTCCTGTTTTGCTGTTTCTGCATTACTAGGTTGCCATGAAAACGAGCCCTTACACTTTAATCAATGTATAGGACGAGCAAACTACCCATAATAATTATTAAAGTTTTGTAAAATCACTTTTCCAATAGGCTCTAGGCATTTTCATAATATTAAGACGTAGGTATTTCCTCTGTGAGTTGCCCTGATCAGTCAGACTCATAAACAAGTTAATATGAAGTTGCAAGTTAGTTGGGCCGTTGTATTGATAAACATCGTTTGACACGGGCGCGAATTGGGCTGCGTCCCGCGGGACCGCGCTAACACGTCCGGAACAACGATAACTCACTCGGAGGAAAACATGAAATACACCGTGATTTATACTTCTTTTGCTATGATGCCTAACTTTGACCAATAGGCTAGTAGACATTTTTGTTATTTAATTTAATTTTAAATTAGGACTTAGGTGGTTACCTAAAGATGGTTAATTAATAGGCCTGTCTTATCTAACTGATCAAAGTAAGAGGAGATGTAATTTCCTACACTAAAGAAAATCACATGAACGAAGAGCTTATGAAATAGGTTTAGGTTTTACTCGTAGACTCGTAGTTTTATTTAGTTTATCTGAGGAACGAAATGGAGGCGTATTTCTAGTTTATTTATCAGCGTATCTGGCTGAGCTTGCCAGTCCTTAGTCCGCAGGACATCCGGCGACACATCCGAGCCCGACCCGCCCGCGGCGGAGCGCCGGCCGAGCGCACTGGGCCGAGGCGATTTGTCTGTCGCAAATGGCATTTGTGCTAAATATTTGTGTACGGCTATCATGAACATAGACGTTGTCATATAAACATACCCTACATGCAGCCCCTATCCGATGAAGGCCCTTCATTCAAGGGACGAAATCTCATTTGTTTATTTAAAGGTTACTCGCTCAGGAATTTTGCTATTACTGTTTTAAATGGACTCTTGGCAAACTAACAACACAAAGTTAGGTTTCAAATGATTAAAACTGAACTAGTTGCATATTTGTTTTTCTTTTTTAATTTATTTATTTATTTATTTATTTAAAACTTATATGCACATAGAACGGTGTACATAAGGCGGACTTAATGCCTTTCGGCATTTTCTGCCAGTCAACCTTAGGGCCAAACTGAGAATAAAGTAGGCGGTATAGAATTAATTAAATGTCAATTAATTACCTTTATCTTTATTTTATACAAAATTAATTATAGTATGTACATAGTAAAGTTAATTTCGAAGCATGTTTTAATTTGCAAATCTGGACACGTGTTTCCTACTCTCAGGCGACAGTGATTGGCATCTCTATTATCTTCGCAGTTTACGCTGCGGTTTCAATTTGTTTGCCTTTCGGACGCTGCTCGAGCATCAACGGTCCAAGCTTGATTGTTATGTCAGGGCAGCGGAATATTTTATGCTCTAGATAGAGTAGGGGACGTCTATTACCGGTACACATACTCCGGTTCTATATTTGCGTCGATTTTATCTTTGCAATTCTCCGAATGACTCTACGTCCTAATACGCGTATTGAACGGTGCGGAGTCGGTGACCTTGCGGCCACCGAGCGGCCTTATTACAGCTTGGATACTTTTAATTACATGATGATTAAAATTAATCCATATAGTAAGTATTACAGCGTTAAAAGTTTTCCAAGTGGTAGTTAATTTGCATTATTATTGGGAGATATGAACGTTATTAAGCAACACGTTATTAAAGTAGGTATGTAGAGCTAACTATAAACTCTCCTTTGCTTGAATTAATATTTGCGATTAATCATTTGGATGGTGGAAGGATTATATGTATAGATTTCAAGTACGAGTATGTCAAGCATTTTGGACGAAGCAAGGAAATAAGGAAATAGGTTTCCCAAACGTTGTTGTTGTCTTTTGAGGATGAAGCACATAGATTTTCGTAATCACGCAGAATCAAGGAAATAGGTAGTCTTTCTACAATGAACGAATCCGACAGGGACCTTGCGTGCGCTGGCGCATGCGTGGACGAGTTATGCGACGTGCACTGTGCAGGCAGTCAAACCACAGCATAAATTTATCCGGAATTCCGGTCTCCGGATGCTGTTTGAAACTCCTGTCTGCCAATAAACCTTTCGAGTTGACATAATAATATTTTGTGCAAGAAGTCTAATCTGTAACTTTTAAGTAGTGCGCATTTGTTTATTTATGCATTTATTTATACAAACGGCGCGCAAACATTTGAACGTCAATTTGTTGACATGCGTTTCGCACGTCCGCGCGCTGCGCCTGCGTCGTGACCGGGCCCGTTTGCCTTCGCGCGCCGGGCTGCGGCCGCGCAGTGTCGCCAACCACTCCAATTACTATTTGAAACGTAGATGCGAAACTGATTATAAAGAACAAAGTAGCATAATAGGTAGAGCACTTTTCACTTTACCTAATGCAGGAGGTACCATGTGTTGGTTCAAGTGTTTGCGTGTAACAACAACGTGTCTAGGTAGAATGGCGGCGCACGCGACAAGTTATCTTTCTCCGATCTCGATCGGCGGCCTCGGCCCGCGCATCGCCCATTGAAGCGGCCCGGTGCTCGGTGCTCGGTGCGCACTTCATGTTGCACAATGACGCATTATTGAAATTCAAATAAGATATACGTACTGCTACCTAAATATGTACAACGTAGATCGATGATCTCTGTAAAGTATTTGTTTGCTATGTCTTCACTAATATACGAGCAGCTGCAGCTCCAATACGTCATGAACCACACAAGGCAAATCACCGCACCCATGAGCCCAGCCAGGCTCTGGTTTGCTCATTAGCATATGAATTGTACTCACAGCGTGTGCAGCGCCGACAGGGGCGGCAGGCTCGCGTCCGACAGCTCGCTGATCAGGTTGCCCGACAGGTCACTGCAAGGAAAAGAACTGCTTACTTCTGTTATAATTATTTTCTATAGAAACCAGTGCAATAGTACAGAATGTTATGTTGTCTACTTAATATAAAATGCGTCTGGACTATAAAATTACGCGTGACAGACAGACCGAGTTGATTTTTGCAATTCCTATAAATTTTTGTCGGCTCGCCTTTTGGCTGATAATTTTTAAAATTGTCATTGAAACAAATTAATATGTAGAGCGCAGTGCGTAGGCAGTAGGCACGTTTATACGCCATCCATCTGTATGCAATATTTGTCGTAATAATACTCTGTTTGTGTTAGTCGTTTATTTCACGACTGTTGCACTTATCCAGCCTCTGAAATGCATTTGTAACAAGTATAAATAGAACGCAAAGCTTGATGCTCTTATAGATAACATTGGTGGTTGCTAGCAAGAAATATTAACTATATAAAATATATTACTGTCTTCTTATTCTTACTACTTCACCAAAGTATTAACATAAACAACTTATCGATAGATTTTGAGAAAAATATCGTGACAACGTAAATACAAAGAATCATGATAAAAGGTCCGATAATAGGTGATTACTTTGACATATGGGACTTATTTTTGGCGTCGATCTGAAAGTGATAGTAGATTTGTATATAAATAGGCACTAGATTTGTAATAAATTACATTGCTTATAGCGTAATAAATATTCTGATACGAGTACTAAAAATATTATGATGGGCTATCCGCATCTCTAGACGTGAAGTAGGTATAAGCAGATGTTATCCGCGCGTTGTTCGATGTTTGCTCACATCCGAGCGCGCAATTTTCCTCGACTGTTATGGCTCGAATAGTTTATTAGTGGCACTTCGCAGTGATCTACACATTGGGGTGACCCGACTCTACCAACACGCATAAATAAAGCGGCTAGATATAATAAATAATGACAAATATTCAGCAAAGCTGGCGTTTCCATCAAGATGTCAAAATTATAATGTTATTCACGCGTGCGTGTCCACATCAAAGAGTTCAGAATAACTCGTTCCCATTCCGCTTCCTGCGCGGCGCGTGCGCGTGCGCCGGCCGCGCTGCTCGTCAATGGCCGCCGCGACGCGCGCCTACATCAATGGCACCGCCACGGGAATGCCTGTGACAGCCAGACATCACGACATAAAAAGAACCCCTCTTTCTTGTTAGTCTCGGTGGTACTTCATCTTGTCGGTTGAAGTTCTTGTTTATTTTAATTAGTTGCAAAGAAAATAGTCAAAGAAATGATCCGCGTAAAACTTTCATCATAAAACATCAAAAGCATGAACTCTTCATTACGAATTTACTTTTTTATGTAGATAATGTTTTTCTCGCTTTTAGAAAAGTATGTTTTTTTAATTACTTGTAGCTTTTTACTATTAATAATATGTATAATTATTGCTCGTGGCTTCATTCGCATGAAATTCAGTGTTCACAGCAAGACCGACCTACTTGAACTTGATGCTATAACGTTAACCGGTGTTTTTTTATAGAGTTTGACAGATTTTTAACATTTGTCAAAATTAAAGTAAGATGGTGCAACCCAGCTTTACAGTTGTAACATAGTATATACTACTGTGGTTGTAATTTGGCCAATTAAATATGTACATCCAATCTAATACGTAATATGAAATTCTCGTGTGACAATCAGCTGGACAGCTGGACCAATTCTTAAGTAATCATGTAGGTAATTAGAATCGTATCTAATTCGAGTAAAAAGAATTAACATATTACCGATGCGTGTAAAAGCCATGAGTCCTGAATAAATAAATACAGGAAATATTGGTTTTCATTGGATTTTTAGCGAGCTTTTGTATTGAGAGAATAATGAGAGTGAACGTCGAAAGCGCCCGTTCCGCTAAGTGTTTGGCAATTAAATTGAAAGGTGCGGGAGGGCTGTTTGCCTACTACCGCGTGTATTGATAGGGATTACCCCCCCCCCCCCCCCCGTAATAACTATTAATATTTAATGTTATGTTCTTGTGTGGCATTTATTTGATTATAACAATTAGATACACGGACTTGTCCCACTAATCAAACGTAAAACATGTCTTTCAAAACCTGACAAGGACAACCGACAACAGAGTCTACATAATATAATGTGCCAGCACCAGCATCCCAGACCATAATAATAAGTGAGTGTATTAATAACTTAGTAACAGCTCAATAGAAGCTTTCCCACGCGCGTGGAACAATGTGAAGACAAATATCTTCATAGCGAGATCGACGTGACAATTCTTTTGTGCATCGTGATGTAGAGCTGATGGTCTTCTTTTATACTGTGAATATGAAGAGATAAACAGCAAGTTTACCGTTCATATTTTTAAATGAAATGTTGCAAAGATTCAGGTTAGAATCAACATATCTCAAAAAGCTCTATTTAAAAGCTTTATTTATGAAGCGATATGTTTGATGATAAGTTTGCAGAATTATTATAGTTGGATTGAGTTTTTTTTAATTGGGTCTGAGTTGACGTTGGTTTAATTTATAACAACATGCGCTTCTTACTACTTGTTATCGATAAAAACTTGTAGGAGCGAGGTCCGAGACGGCACCGGCAAGTGGGTCGCCGCCGCCGCGCGCTCGCCGGGCAGCTCTCGCCGACTCGTTCGCTAATAATGTCGTCGTAAATTAATTCCTGGCGGTCTAAGAAATGGCAAACTGTAATCCATCTGTTAAAACTATTGACGGTAGGTGGCTTCATTTTTGTGTATTTTTTTCGAACACCTATAGTATAAATATTGTAATCTTACTAATTTTATAAATGCGAAAGTTTGGATGTAAAAAATAAATAACACAATTAAATAGGCTATAATTTATTTATGACGATTTGTGACAACTGAATTTCACGCGGGTGAAGCCGCGGGCAAAGCTAGTAGAATAATTTGTCTTACTATGAAATTAGTGAATGTGTGACAATATACCTACTATGTATCCTTTTGTTATACCTTATTTATGTTGATGTATATTACTTCGTGGAATGCTTGCCTTATAATTCAAATTGTGTATTACTGAATTTCATAATAATTCTGTTACAATTACTACGTACCTAGCACTATTTTCTCTCAGCGTATTGTGTGGGTGACACAAAAAATCCACATGTTACAAAAAAGTTCTTCAATTTTACAGTAAGAATCCAGTTACAAAACAGCTTCTAGCGTCAGCTGTTCAGGTTATTGAAACAACTGTTTGCTTGCAGCTTGCAAATAAAATTATTAAACACAGTTTCACCTGAACTGGTTTCGTCCAGGCACTTGAATGATATCAAATAATTATCTTGACATCGTTATCTCGTTGGCGGCAGTTATTGACATGAGGTGAAGCAGCGCGCTAATGATCGCTGTTGTCCAGCTCGAGAGCACTTGTGCAACGTCGAGGCGTCCATCCATCACCTGGCGGGGCTTGGATTACACTCTGAGGTCCATATTACATAACAAAACAACTTCAAAAATCTTTTCAATCTCAGTCAATTCTGTTATATGCATGTTCTGGTCTTGACCCATTGAGCATGAAAAGGCTTACATTATTTATTATTCATCATAATTTGATCTCGGCAGGGCTCGCTTCTATTGACGTTCATACAATTGTAGTTTCATTCACACGTTTAATTAATCTTGCCTACCCCCGCTACTATTAATCCTGGCTGTCAGTCGCGAGTGTTTCGCCAACAATTAGCACACCCTGAAGTTTGAGCCTTAATTTTCGCACTGACTTTTCCGTGTGTTTGTCCCTGATACCTGTTTATCGTTCTCTGTGCGAATAATTATCCAAAACAGAGAATCCATATCAGAGACTTATTTATACTTGACTGTTGTATTAAACGTATTGCATTTTTTTATTTAGGTAGGTCAATCCATCGCAGAAAAATCGGTCTCAACATAGAATAATGACACCCCCACGTTCAATGATAAGTAGTCCCACGATTTGTCTAATATGAATGACGACCCAGAGGTATTAGATTTGGTAAGTTTTTGGATTCGCTGCTAAAGCAGTTATCGAAATGCAGAAAACAGCAACCGTAAGTAGATAAATGTTTCGTAGTCCCGACATGAAAAGAGATGTATTTAAAGTTTGACAGGTTTTCTGTTTGTTTTTGCTAGGTAATGCGAAGTGCAACAGTCGTTTCGGGTAGCACTCACAGGGCCTGCAGGCGGTGCAGCGGCGCGAGCGCGTGCGCGGGCACGTCGCGCAGCTGGTTGCGCGCCAGCCGCAGCGTGCGCAGCGCGCGCGCGCCCGACAGCGCGCCCGCCTCCACCGACGACAGGTAGTTGTCCTCTGCCGACCTGCACATTAAACTCCATAATTTTACCAGGTTGAAAAATTTACTTTCGGCAATAGGTTTTAATTTCTATATGACAACATGTAATATCTCTCTCTCATTATGCTATACATAGTAAACCAACTAAAGATTCATATTGTATTGAATCCGTTTTCAGTATTATTCCTATAATGGTTTGTGTTGTGATTACTATTTTTACAACTACACTCGGCATCAAATATATCGCACCTCCCGCAACAAGCACTTCTCAAACGTATGCATCCCCACTTCCCATCAACATTGGTTCCATTTGAAAGCCTGGTTCTAAACTTCATTTCATTAGGTATAGGATAGGTTTTTACCCCAAAAATGTGTTTTTAGAAGGATCTAGAGTCACTTCTACAAAAAATAGGTACTTTCATTAAAATGTTCTATCTACAGTATTAAGAGTACTTTCCTTCCAGGTGGCATTACAAAATTCCACCCTGTATATCAATATCAATTACATACAACTGTGACTATTAAAGAGCATACTACCACTGAATCAATACACATGGCCTGCTACCCGAAACGGAAAAGTTGCTGGCACCAGACCACGTGGAGACAGCAATGAGATGTACAGACTATAACTATCAATTCCGCTACTACTTAGTTGTGGCACCGAGCACTTGCTCGGTTAACGAATGTTCGGAAAACTGCAGTCTGCGAAGAATGGCATCGTATTGCAACGATCATCACTCATCGCGATGCACAATGATGATGAGCACGATTATTCTGACAAGAGTGTACCGACTAAGAAGAACCGTAACCGAACCGTAACCGTAACCGCAGTGATACGCCGTATTCGGTGGTAGTTCACCACCGAATACGGCGTATCACTGCGGTTAGAACTGTTAGAACCGTAATAATTGACCCATGATAATATTATCATAATATTATGATAATGTTATCTTCATAAATGTTAATCATAAGAGTATAATATATATGTTGTTGGTATGCCATATAAATAAATAAAATAAAATAAAATAAAATGATAATACTAATTGAATAATGAAATCATTGCTAGCATTACCACCAGTCAGCACCAACAACACTTAATACTTTAATATTAATTACAGTATTTGATCAACGACCACCGTCAATCGACAGATTAATCAATCAACGAGTATTGAATCGACAGCGCCCGAGTAGGCCTTCACCTTTATCTCAACAGCAAGCATAGGTTTTCGAGATTTATAAATGACTGTTAATATTTTAATACAGGCTTTCATTTTTTTACATGCTTTGTTATTCACTTTAAACTACCTACTTAAAAAAAGCTATAAAAATATAAAATTTTCAGATAGGTAGGCTATGTCAACATTAGTGTGGAAAGAGTTTCTTATTTCGACCTCGTTCGTAGCTAATCGTTGCCGGCTTGAATAGTATTTATTTACGCGGCGTCCGTTAACCCCTTGCAAATATCTCAGACATTGGGAGCCGAGCGCGGCCATTAGCGAATAATAGCAGATCGAGCGCCTTTGTAGCGCCCTACGTGAGCCGCAGCCGAACGCGCCGCCATCGCGCCAGAACCTGGCGAGAACAGATTCAATGGGGTCTATCATTTTCGTTTTGATATGTATCCAAAATTCTGTAGTTAATTATGAATAATTGCAGATAACTGTGCAAGGTAATTATAGTAATTTAATTTCAGATATCATTATTACATTTGGTCTTGTGGAAGGTCTAGTATTTTTGGGCTTTTTGTTTTGATTAAGCTTTGGCAGCATTAGCCCTTGTGCGAAACATGTGACGCGCAGACACGCGACCTCGGTTATTGCGGTTGCGAGGAGCTGCTCGCGAAACGTTCGCGGTTGCGACACGCGCCTCTAGGATCCGCGGAGCCCGCGCCGGTCCGCGAATGTTGCGCAAGTGGCGTGCGAAAGCTGCGCGCGCGCCGATCGCACGCCCCCGCTCTCCGCTGTCACACGTCCAACGATTAACTAAATATTACGACTACATATTTACTTTTATTGGCAACTAGGTCTAATAAAATGTATGTCAAATATTTGATGTTGACTGCCTTCGCACTTAATGCACTTATGTCTTCGTCTATTTGTGGAAAGCTTTCGTAGCTGATGTAAGTACCTATACACTAATTAGATTACTGTGAGCTTTATTGTGTAACTGTAAAGTTAAGATGCATAAAAAATTACGGTATTTTATGTTCGTCCTTATTATTTATGAAAGAGTGTAAATTAGAAGACTCTACATTTTACTGCATTCACGATTTTTTTAAATTCTGATTCTAGGTACCTAATCTATGTAATAGAACGCGTTCTAAGCGTTGGAGAAATCACATAACATACATGACAAACTAACCAGTATTTCTTGCACAACTTGCATTCCTCGGAGGGAAGCGTTTAGTTCGTTACAAACTTCGGCGGTCATCTCCCGCGAGCGCTCTTGCGGGGATAATTAATTTACTTGCACATGCGGCTAGTGTGCTAGTGTAATGCGGCCGGAGCTGGACTAAATCGAGCGGCTCCTGGATGCATCTCTACGGAGCTGCGGCACCATCCACATACATACCGGCTGCTGAAACTTGCCTGTTATTTAACTATTTTGTAATACGAGTAGGATCTTAGATTTACTAAAATTACTAACAACAAAAAATAATATTCAACTTTACTCGTTACTTGTACAAATTTTTTTTAAATCTGGAAATTATTTGGGAGGCATGTTCAGTTCAGCCCGTGACAAAATGATGACGGTGATGAATTTTTTACAAGTTTTTATTTTGGTTACTAGCTGATTAAACTCGACCAAAGAAAATAATTTCCAAGCTAAAACTCAATAGGATTGCAATTGAAGCCTTTCTAATATATTTTAAGGGGATTACAGGGAGTTCAAACCTCAAATAAATGTTAGGCAATAGGAGTACCCACACTGCCCACGGGTGAGAGACATACGCGCTCGATACGAGAGCTAGATACGGAGCGACGTACGGGAGCGATCGTCGCGGCGATGCGACGCGGGTCTGAATCGACTCTGACACCATGACGTGAGTGATTTCTGCTGACTCACTGCGACACTCGAGATACGAGGATAATAGCCGAATATTGAGGGCGCTGCCGATTTGCCGACGCTTACCGATGCCTTATATTACCCTGTAGTGGGTATGACGACCAATATCTATGACTTGTCTACCTTGAAGCATATAGAGTGGCTAAATCGTATAATTTTATGAAAGTTATCTATTACTTGCTATCTCAGATCATAGAATGGATCCATTCTATTATCTGAGCTTGCTATTATAATGAGGGCGGAGAGAGACAGGATAGGATAGACCTTGTAAATGATAAAATAATAAAATTATTATCTCTTCTGATGCGTAACTAGAAGTGAGGACTAAGATGAAACTCTAAGTCCTTTTCAGATTGTCGCTCAGTCTATAAGAACGTACGAGGCCAGATTCTGAAACAAAACAACAAAACATGGCGTTTTAAGCAATATGTTAAGAGAGATAGTGCACCCGAGTTGCGATTGCACGGTCCATTACGCGTGTGTCGATCGATACGCGGCCGCTGCACCGCGTCACCGCGACCGACACCGCGCGGCGCCCGCGGGCCACAGTGCTCACCTGCCGGCCCGCCTGCCAGGACTTGCCTTGTTCGTGAATTTTCAATTTTGGATAAACCAATCGATCAACATGGAAAGCATTGGGGGAGGCCTATGTTCAGCAGTGGACGTCCTATGGCTGAAATGATGATGATGATGGATAAACCAACGAGATTAGATAAAAAATACGAAAAGTCATTATAACTTTCTGGACATAAAACGTCGGGCAAGCATTATATTGCATGCGCGCAAGTTTCTCGATTGAAGAAAACACGATCAAAGTTTAATAGTTGCCGGCCGCTGACGTCACCGCCCGCCCGAGCGCAGCAAACTCTCACGCTAATATTTTCCCCGGAGAAAACTCAACTCGACAACGGATGCTTTCATTATTAATGCGAAAGAGAATGAACTCGTGACTATATGGTCCCTCGATGTGAATTTTTTCTAGGCTATTTGGACAGAAATTTATAACATTAGCCCGATGAGAATATTTACTACGGTCCCATTGAACGTCGTGGATGGAGCGCAGTGATCCTGGCGGAGAGGCCGCGAGCGCGCCCGCGGGCGACCGCGTTGTTTACCATCACTTTGCCGGCGACGACGCGAAATATGGGACTTTCTGTTTACCATCCCTTTATTCAATGTACCGTAGTTATTTATTATCGTCTCTTTAATACGAAGCTCCCATAGAAGTTCTTTTGTTAAATCAATATTTATGTCGACGAAGTTAATGCATCGTCTAGTTGGTTTCTCTATCTATACCAATAGGCTCTTTATTAAAATCTTGCGCTCGAATAATAATTAATGTCTCCATCTCAGTCTTAAGACTATGCTCATGACAGAAAATAATGAACGTTAATGCTTTCATGAATTGAGCCGGTTGTTTAAACACACGCGTGCCCGCCGCCTCCTCTCGCTATTCATTACCGCCCGTTAAATTATGCGTAGTGTGCGGTGCGAGTGCGAGGATGAGCTTTAATAATACATTGTCTCACTTATTGAACACTTATTGAACACCATATCTATGATCAAAAAGAACCAATGCTAAAAAACAAATTCCATTTATATCTATCAGGATTCTTATTTTTGTCAAACTTCCTATAACCTTAGAAAAAGAGTAACCTAAGTACATAGCTATCTCCACGCTACAACTTTGATAACTCAAACGTGATTGTTGTGCGGCTCACGCTTAAATAAAAGGAAAACATATGCCGACGAGGGGATATACAACGGTGTAGTCAAAGTTTGCCCCTCACTCATGTTTCGCAATAAAAGTGTTCGGCGAATAATAGATAAGGTTTTCCTCGTATAAATGTACGAAAGCATGCTGTACATTTTTAGGCGTTTTTTTCCAATGTTCTGTTAATTTTTACTAAATTATCCCATGTAAATAGGGGTTTAAGGGAAATCCCCATCACTCCAACTCGTGTGTAAGCAGTGTACCTCGGACGTGGCTGGGCCGCAGCCCGCAGTACTCACAGGAAGTGCAGGTGGTGCAGGTCGCGCAGCGCGTGCGCCGGCAGCCGCCGCAGCGCGCAGCGGTCCAGCCACAGCCGCGCCAGCGCCGCGCCGCTCAGCGCCCCCGACGAGATCGACTCCAGGCGGTTGGAAGAAAGGTTCCTGCCGGAAACACTAGCGCGTACATTTCTACTTTCTTTGTGCCAGACTTTCCAAGGTCAGAAAGCATGTGGCATATCCGTTCACATCGTTCGCAATTTTTGTGAAATATATTAATTATTCTTGCCAGGTCCGACCGGACCGGGCCCTGTGACGAGGAATCCTTTGGCATCATTGGGACAGTGTTGTGTGTAATGGTGGCGCCGTGCGAAGTGGCGACCTGCGGGCCGCATCGGAATTAGCCACATTTGCATCGCCCCCGCCCCCGCCCCCGCCGCGTGCACCGCGCCGCCTTCGCAGACGCTGATTGCCCGTGCGATCGCGATCTGTATTGGGGTCACGATCGCGAAAGTGATACAGCATCGGGCTGGCTTGCTTGTTGTGCTTCGGATGGCGTAATTTCAAAAACAATACTTATACTTATTTGCAATTAGGGTCGACTCTGCCGCGGCGTCGTGTGTTTAAAATGCATGCAGGCAACTTATCCAGTAGGCGACGAATGCCCGTTAAAAGTGCAAGTCGACGAATTAACTTTTTAAACTTTGACAACTCGGCTGTTTGTAATTCTTATTTTACATTTTCAACCCAATGTAAAATGTGGTTGTCGTTTTATATCTTTGTTGGAAAACCGTCTGACGTTATCATGAAACAAGTTCCTCGAACAAGTCGGCGTGCACTCACAGGTCCCGCAGGCCGGCGGCGGGCTGCAGCGCGTCCCTCGGCAGCGTGCTGATGTTGTTGTTGGACACGTCCCTGCAACAAAACACGACGTCACTTAATGAACTGGACCTTGTTATAAACTAACATTTTTACATAATTTAATTACTATTTTCGTAAAAAACTATTGCTATATCGCAGTATTACTATTCAATAAAAAAAAAACTATGATAATTGTGACACTGAAGAACGTTTAAGTGGCGAGGAAAACAGCGCAGTCAGCGACGGCGGTGATTCGAGAGCCCATAAAACGGTTATAACGCAAAAAATATCGCGTCGGGGCGAGAACTGTCGCGACCGCGCCTGTACCAGCACCACGCTTTGATAATTTGTAGCAATCTAATAGCTGCTTACAAGCGCTTTTTTCAAACCTTGCATGGAAAAAAGAGAGGGGTGAGGAGTGCGAGACCCGCAGAATAAGACAGTTTTAATGTTTCTTATAACATAACTTTTATCTCAGTGTGACATATCACATCACGCCAACTGCCTGTGGGATATTAACATACGCTGCTGTTAGCAAAATCCTCACACTAAAAAGGGTGGCTCTTATGAAGCTCCATTATTATTCACGAATAATAAAATATCCTGCTCTATATTATAATGTTTTAATAAATGCTCACTCGTATTCTTATTCGTATATGTTCTTGGTTTCTTTTGGTTGTTTATGACTTTATAAGGTGTGCCGGAGTATTTTAAAAGTTTCTTCAGGTCGGTACGTATCGTATATTTTACTGAAGTTATCAAGCTGCTTATTATTCTCGATGTTCCAGTCTAGGTCACGTTGTAGTTGTTAAATTAAAATGCAAAACAGCTGCCTGAAGACGGATGGCGTTTCGTATTCGCGTGCCATTGTGCTGCTAAAATACAGTGTACCGCGAAAAGGAATTTCCTCGCGCAGTGGAAGGCGTCCACGGGCCGTGACACATTGGCTGTAGAATTGATTACGCTGAGGACATATTTTTATTTGAAAGACCATTTAGGTAAGTAGAATTTTGTAACGTTTTTTATCAGGAACCGACTCTACATAATATAATAAAACATAAATACATTAATATCAAAAAAATCGGTTTAAAAATCAAATGACTAAGACGTTAAGACAGAATATTATGCCTGTCACTTTTATTGAAGATTCCATGAAATTGATGCTGATTTTTCAATCAATGGATATAACTTTTTAATGAGAAATAAAATTGGACCAACGATCTGGTGAGGGTCACGGAAAGTACTAAATTGTGGAAATCCTTGGGAGGCCTTTATTCAGCCCCAATGTCCCAAGGCTATTTTGAAAATATTACTTAATTTTTCATGGATTCTGCGGAAACAAGTGTTCCCGTAAGCAGGTTTCAAGACGCCACGCGCCATCGAGCTCAAAAGCAGGTTGTTCTACGACTTTGAAGTCGGTTTAAACGCCGCAAACGGGAACGTAGAGATACAGCACTAGAACATTTTTCAGATCTCAAGTAAGTAATTGACTTGAACTCGGTGTTGTGTTGCCAACTGGATCCAAATATCATTCATGGCAAGTTGCCTTTTGGCCCGAACATGGTTCGACGCGCGGCTCAGCAGAGATTGTATCGGAGCCATGTCAGGCGCGAGGCTGCGGAGTGTTGACGCTCACCGCCGGCCGTAACGAGCGGCCGTCGTTATTGCCGCCATCCATCATCGCGGTCGCCGACTCCGCAGACACCACCCACCCGCACCCACCCGCACCCCCGCCCCGCGCGCACACGCGCCGTCTGCTCCTACTCGCACCTCATTCACGGACCGCCTTTCACGGTGATCGCGATATCCTTAACGAATGATTGACACTTTTGCGCAAGGAAATTAATAGCTTCTGTAAGTTTTTTATGTACCGAATAAGCGAAAATTGCCTCCCTTGTCCGTTTATTGGCGTGGGTCAGCCTTCGAAGTACGAGTAAATGGCCGAAAGTTTCCTTGTCATTCGACTTGAGATTCAAATTGCGTACCTTCCTATCCAATACAAATATTTAAATACACCAAGTGCTTATGCAAGGTTTGTTAGTATGTTTGGGTTTATACATTCAATGATGAAACATTGTGATCATCGGGTAACCGTGAGGCTCGCGATGTCGGCCGAGTGTCGCGGCGTGCACTGTCGATAACCTGCTCGGGCTGCAGCCGGCCGAGGTCGCCGGGGCGCCGACCCCGTGTCAAACGCGCCTACCCCTAATTAATTCATTCACGCCCGCCCGTGGACCCGATTGTGTGGAGCTACTCGCCGTAATTAAGCGATAATAAATTACCGCCTAAGCAGCGTGATAACAAATCAAGTTACTTTTTGAATGAATCCCTGAAATGGAAGTCTATGTCCGGTGATGATTTATGAAAAATGAATAAGTACGAGTACGAATCACAAAGAAGCAAATTGTACCTATTCCCAGAATGAGAAGGGTTTTTTTAAAGTGGAAACAATCACATTAGGTACAAGTACACAGTTACGGTAAAAAAAAGTTATAATGTCATCTTTCATCATGATCACTTTATCGCATTACTGCCAGTGGTTTTGTAAGGAAACCGTTTACGAGGCGCATACAATTTATTCAGTAACGTGCAATGTTTTCGAGTGCGTCTGCCAAAGTATCAGCTATATCAGTTTTGTCACTGCGCTATGTTGCAATCGTGTTGCAATCACAGGCGATATACGAGTAGCACAGCGAGTGGCCGAGCGAGCTGGCGCGCACCCAAGTCCTGCCGGCGCGCATCCCGGCGCGCGCGCACTCCATGGGCGCCCGGCGCCTCATACACTATTGTAGATAGATAATACATAGTACATACGCCTGTTTTCACCATTGGTGGTTTTGGAAACCCAGAAAATCGTGATTTATTTATATTTTATCGGGTACTTCTTTATTTTTTGTGCTTTTGGTGTTGCTTAAAAATAAATAGGGTGGTGTATCCTAATAAAATATATTATATCCTATCACTAACAGTCTTGGTGTTATCAGTGAGATTTTAGCGCGTGTGTTACAAAATAATAAGTATGTAATAAATGACGCATGCCACGCGACGATTACAGTTAGCTTACTTATTTGTACTCGTATTTTCAAGCCAACTCCGTGGGACACGGTGGGACTGGTAAAACTGACTGACCACAAATAATCCAATTATCGCGGCTATTCAGTAAACATTGCCTCGAGATGTAAATATGTACTTATTTATTTTCGATGCGCGCGTGGCTACGGTTGCCGCAGCCCGCGCCAGCCTCCACTCGCTCGCTGAAAGCCTTATTTATGACCGAGCGGAGTACCGACCGAGTGTAAGCGACACAATATTTGCTGTGTTATCGCTACACGACACTTTGGTGAGTGGGATGTGTGTACCTACCTTACGGTCAACTACCTCTGTGTTGATATAGCCACCTAAAAGAGAGTTGAGTATTATACTTACAAATAAAATCACTTGTCTAATGAAAATGAATCTACATAATTTATGAAATGAAATTTCTAAAATACAATAAAACATTTATGCAAAAAGCGTCGAAGTCGTGCAATAATTCGCGGTCAAATGTTATGAAATTCAACATAGAGCCCCATGTAAAGTAATAAAATACTAAAACAGCGGCCGTCTGATATAGTGTTTTGTACAGGACTAAGCCAGAGGTCGCGGGTTCGATACCGCACACTACAAACATTTGTGTGCATGAACATACTCGTATCTGTTTGTATTGGTCTGGGTATATAATTTTGTTTATATCCATAATTAAAACTAGCAACATTTGGTTCTTTATTCCCCTCCCAGCACTTGAGCTCGCGTCCACTGCAGCTGCGGTTCAATATTTGCGGCCGGGCGCCGGGCGGCCCGGGACGCGCCCGCATCCCGGCGGTGATCATCCGCAAACAACTAAACGCTCCCGACATTTGTTTGTCCAGCAAATTCCGATTACGAAAGTAAATGATTTCATTGGAAAATTTATTCCTCACTTGATACTACAATTTAATTTGATGTAAACGAGATAATCAAAATATAAATATCCAAGTCACTGAATTAAATTTTTAGTAACTACAACACTAATTCCAAAACAGTCGTAGGTACCTACGTAGCCTACCTATATTTAATTAATTGTAAATATTTTTTAAATCTTAATTAAATAAAAAAGTTTCTTATGTGACTCTGTGTCCAAGATTCTGTCTAAAATCTCTCAAGATAAGTGTCACCTATTACAAAACAGGCATGAGTAAGTGCTCTGAACACTGTGTGAGATTGTGAATAATTTCGGGAAATAATGCGCATGGTGTGGATGTAATGTTCGGAGCGAGAGCTGCTCGCAGCACTCCGCGCCCGCGGTAATAGCGCGCCATTATTCCGCGCGGGTAGCGGAAGCGCGGGCCGCGGGCCGCGGGCCGCAAACACGTAGGATTTATATGAATCATTTTCTTTTGTGCGACAAAGATAAGGGACTACAATTCCTGGGTTGAACTTATACTCGTACCTAGGTTCGTACCTATGTCACTTGCCCTAAGATCTCTACCATATTCACGGTAATGTAAGTAATAAGGTACCAACAAATATGTACCATTATTTAAAAACAAAATTATACCTATATCTACTTTACTCGTATGTATTTAAAGTAATATACATATATCATTACCTACCTAGTTTGTGAAAAATAATAAATTGGACTTTATATTACAGATATCAGACTTTTAATTCACGTATCCCTGTACATTAGTTGAAAGAGGGCTCCCTATCCTTTAAGTTTAGTTGACATCTCAGTAACAAAAATACATAGTTTTGTAGACATCTAGGCTGCAGGATGTAGACCAGTCTCGGCGAAAATGCATCCTATAGGAGACTCTTATAATTATATGAATAGATTTATGTTGTAAATCATAAACCAACGAGGATATAAGGATACCATTCTTGCTCTACATGTTGCGTTATGGGCTTGGAATAAAAAATCAAGGTAAAACAAGTCACAAAACATTTTCAGACTAATTACTCGCAAAAAAGTTCATAAATGAAAGGTCGCGTTTTGATTATTTAGAAGTACTTTACTAGTTTGTTTACATTTTGTTGAATCGCAATAAAATTAGTAACATCATCCACGTAATCGACCAAGGCTTTCCTCGCAACAGGAAAATTGTGAGAGCACCGGAACAGCGCGACCTCTGCAACCTGGCGCGTGACGCAGCGGGCGCGCGGCCGGCCCTCGCGGTGCAGCGTGCAGCACACATCGCAAGTTATTTATATCATATAAATTATATGTATTATAATAATATTATACTCGTTTATTGGAATGTTCCAAGCATGAAATTAAGTTACAAAGCAAAAATTTAAGAATAAAGGCTCGTATCAATCCTGTATTGTAATATTTAACATTCTGAATACAGTATCTTTGTGTCACCCACCACATAGTCTGTGTAATACCGATGCGGTTTTATGTTGTTATGTCGAATAACAAAGGCGACAATAGCCCAGTAGTGGTCGGTGTCATACTAGTCGACTCGAGGTCCAAGAAACGAATTCGGTTCGCCGCATCAGCCGTACATTTTAACTAGGTTTAGTTAGGGCGTGTAGAGTTCTCACTACATAAATGAATAAATAAAAATCTTACTCGGATATAAATTATCTATAACGACCTCTGAGCTCTTGTCAAGAACCTAATTGGAGCCTAAACTATATTTGTTTATAAAGTTTAAGTATGAGATATAACGTGTGTTAAATACTGATTAACTGCATACTCGTTTAAAAATAAACAGAGATGATGCATCGCCTGCATGCAATTTCCCAGATAAGCTCAGGCACATTCCAATATGTATTCCAGTATTCAGCATCCTTCGGGCGCATTACATCTACTGACGTCATTGATAATATCTCACAGCACATCTGCATTAATTATGTCAAGGCTGCGGCTTCTCCTATTTACTTGAGAAAACGAGAACTGAGGGCGAGTCTATTTCTGCACCAAAGTATAAATCAGTAGCACTATCAACAGTATCTCGTTGCAAGCGAACGGGCCGTCCCCGGACTCCCCGGGGCCCGCGGCGTAATCCCGGCGCGGCGCGGGGCGTTCGATGCGACTAATTGCCTCGTCCTCGCATCCAGTTTCTATAAATAGTGCCTCGCTCCCCCGCGCCCGCTGCACGCGACCCCGGCACCCCGCTCTATCGAACTCGATGCCTCTCTGTTGTTCCAGCATTTCCCGCGACCCTCGACGCCCGCGCCCGCTACAATAAACACGTTTAATAACAGCTCCATAATTCACATTACAGGGAATTATCGTATAATTGATTTACTCGGTGCGAAAGACCACGATATTGTTAGCATGGCTATAAAGCTGCGTGTTGATTTACGCGGCCGCCCGACGGCGCAGGGCGGGCTGATGCCGCCCAGGGCTGTCCACGGGATTTTGTTGATCTAAACAAGAATATCAGCTGATGTGAAGTTTAGTGAATATACATAATATTTTTCGGAACAGAGTCAATTTTTAAAAAATCAACGTACTTATTTAAGTAAATTACCTAAATGTAAGAGCCTCCCTATCAGTTACAAAAGTTATTTGTTTATTGTTAACATATTCAGTACACTTTGTTGACCACAACTTCTTTTATGTAGGTAATCTAGTTATGTACTTCATTTTCATAATTCTGTAACTTCATAATTATTATCTTTTGGTTGGATTATATTATACATCCTAGACTACATCTTACTTAACAGCAGGTGCGATTGCGGTCAAATACCTGCCTGGTCTTGCATAAAAAAAACATATTATTATGTTGAATACTCATTCAGTATTGATACTCAATTACCCATCTATACTAATATTATAAATCTATACTTCTATACTATAATTATAAATGCGAAAGTAACTCTGTCTATCCGTCTGTCTGTCTGTCTTGCTTTCACGCCTAAATCACTGAAACGATTTTGATTAAATTTGGCATATAGATAGTTTGAATCCCGGGAAAGGATGTAGGATAGTTTTTATCCCAGTTTTTGAAACAGGGACGCGCGCGATAATATTTTTCTGTGACAGACAAAATTCCACGCGGGCGAAGCCGCGGGCGGAAAGCTAGTATTTTAGTACATATTATTATGTATAACTTAATAAGGAATTGAAAATGTTGGCGGCCCTGGTAACACAATAACAATTAGTGGCGGCGCCCGCGGATTAGCGCGACGGGTTTATGTTCGGGGAGCACTCGGCGCCGCGTCGCGCGTGCGCCGGCGCCGGCCACAGCTGAGCCGCCGCGTCATGAATTCATGATACGAGTAGGTACATTCCATTTCAAGTTCAGTTTTAGTTCTGTGCTAAAACACGGATTTTGATGCAACTTGTACAAAACATTTTTTACAATAAGATTTATGGTTTTTGTGATAATTTTATTTATTTTTACGTAACTTATATTTTACTAATATTACAATTATATATTTTATCACTCCTAAAATATTAACTAAAACATAGAAATTTTATTCCGAATCGAGCCACTTCTTGTAAACACTGAGCGCACTTTGAATCTATATCCGTGATCGAAGTTTGTTTTGTGCCTGACCATTTTGGTTCTAGCCACAACTCCTACGATTTTCTTTAAATTCCATTTGTTATTATGTTCTTATAGTAAGGTTTTTGTATTTCATAATCAGAACAATGATCTTAAACCATCTCTATATATATAAAAGAAAGTCGTGTTAGTTACTTCGCTTATAACTCAAGAACGGCTGAACCGATTTAGCTGAAAATTGTCAGGGAGGTAGTTTAGAGCCAGGAGAAGGACATAGGATACTTTTTATCCCGTTCGAAATTTAAAAAAAAGTCTGCATATTTATTGCCATTAAGGCGGAACAAAGTTCGCCGGGTCAGCTATCCCGTTCGAAATTTTTAAAAAAGTCTGCTTATTTATTGCCATTAAGGCGGAACAAAGTTCGCCGGGTCAGCTAGTTATTTATAAAATTTAGTATAATGGACTCTACATAATTTAATTATACGCATTTCTCTATTTCCAGACTGATGTTTGAATAGGTTTAGAACTTTAGACGCATAATGTCAAAAGAGCAAAATGTTAAATCGAACGTAACGAACAACGAACGGAAAATGAAACGGTTAATAGGTACTTATGTCTAGTGTAATAAAAATGGCAAAGTGTCGCCTTAATTAAAAGAATACGATACGAGAGCAACCGCGAATGTTCCTCGCGGGCCCTCTGGGGGGCGCGGGGAGAGGGCGCGGGGAGGGGGGCGTCATCAATCACGCGACAGCCGCAGACGCCGCGCGAACTGCTGCCGAGGCGACACATCTCATTTTGACCCCTAAAGTCAAGGTTAAGCAGAAGCTGTTAGAAAACAAATAATTACTCATGACTAAAACTATTTATGTCTGTCAAATTTTCACCAAAGCCTTCCGAAGGGGCTGATATCCCAGCAGACTTACCCACCCGACAGTTTTAATACTGTATTTTAACAACGAGTATAGGTAGCTACCATACCAGACGTAATAAAATTGATTATTTTACTTCAATGCACAGCACACCGACACTTATCTTGAAATATTTGCGTTGAGCTCGAGAGCCTGCCGCGCTCCTTGACCGCGAACTTTAACTTCTCGTTCGACGCTTTCGAGAAAGCTCGCGAACTGTGCGGCTGCAACTTTTAACGTAACCATTGTGTCAATGAGTCTCGAGTTCTAACTTATTCGGAGGGAACAATTTACACTCTTTACACGGCCGTTCATGTAGGTACTATATGTATCGCTGTAATGGTTACTGAAGATTCTGATCGTAATTTTTAATAAAGTTTCAGGCTGGTTGAGGGAGTTAGATTTTGTCCTCATTAACTATTCTTAGTGCCGGAAAAAGCATCTGAAAAACTGATTCCCGCTCTATCGGGTGCAATGATGAATCAGTCAGTCAAACACTTTTAACTAGTCAAGGACCACTTGATGTATTTATTTTTCTATATTAATATGATTGGATAATATAATTAGTTAAAATGGTCAAATCATGGTCAGTGCAAAAGACATCAACGCGTCGTCATCACTCGTCAAGATTCTTGAATTACTACGAGTTACGAACTCACTTGTTTGTCACTTGATCAGTCGATCGTTGTTCTCGATCAATTTTGTTTGTTTATTTGTTTATTCAATCGATGCAATTTATTTAATTAAAAACCAGTGACAGTAATGTTTAGAAATTATAATGATATGTATTCGTAAAAGACAAAAAGTATGGCAATATAACATAGGTTTCCCTTATTATATTATTTAAACATTTGTTGGGATGATTTTATTACATATTTTAATGTATTGTCATGTATTAAGGGTGTGACATGCAGTCTACTACTTACAGCGCCAGCAAGTTCTCATGCAGTGGAGGTATCCGGCGTAGTCCCGCGCTGCGACAGTCCAGCCGCGCGCCGCCGTCGCCGCACGCGCATCCCGGCGCCGCGCCGCCGCCCGGCGCCGGACACAGCGCCGCCGCCGCCGCCGCCAGCGCCGCCACCAGCAGCAGCACTGCTGGACAAAGGCCTCTCCCAAGGTTTTCCATAATTAATGCATACTTACCTACATACGTAACTCATTACAAATAAGTAGATTAATATTTTTTCACTAGACAGCAACCCTAACAGCGTAAGAAGAGTTCAGAGGCACGCGATAGAAAGAGACAAAACTTGTAGGTGAATAAAATTGTAGGTACGTAGTGCTGTGCGAGCTGAATTCCACTGTATCGCGTCGTAGCAAGACTCGCATTTATTTAAATCGTCTTGCGGAGTAATCCTTCTGTACCTGTACTATTACTTATTCTGTGCACTAGTCTACGAACTGACGTAGCTGACTCCGGACGCCGTCGCGCCGCACCGAGTCACCGCTTCTTATTTTGTGAAGTGCGCTTTGTACATATTATGTAATTATTATCCCCGTTGCCTTCATTGACTGAGTCGAGCCTGGTCCTTCTTCATCTTCCATCTTCGAGGGCAGACAAGAGATTGGGAACCGCGGTTCATGCTGATTCTGGTTGATTGCAGAACGGGTGAGTACGCTGTTTGTTTGTAGTTGTAGAATGCAGCAATCTTCCCTCTCTTTATCTCTGTTCTGAAATTACTAAGACCTATATAATAGTGAATATTAACCCACACCCGCTGTGTGAGAAGAACTTACGAATCTTTGGATTTATCGTTCGTACAGTAACCTTTATAATATTTTTGTGAACCAATAATTTTTGCTTTATATGTGCAATGTGAGTAGTTCTTTGTAAAAGAAATCCCACCAAAAACATTCTGTAAAAAACTAGCCAAGTCTCGATGGAGCTGCTTGTTTATTTCTAAAAAGTAATGAAATCTAGACAAAGTCGTGCCAAGTCTATGGTTCCTTACTGCGATTTCTTTATTATTATAGTTAATGTTGTGTGACTTGGCCGTTGAAGGGTGACCAAACCAGGTGCTCCATGACACCATTGCACCAATCTGTCGCCAGAACCGCTACCCATTGACGATGGAAAATTGCCACTTGGAAAACGTTGATTCAACAATAACCAGTTAATTGTGGGTTCAGTAAAGCTGCGTATTTATAATGTATGATTATCTTAATAAAGATTGTTCAACGGCCAAGTCACACAACATTAACTATAATAATAAAGAAATCGCAGTAAGGAACCATAGACTTGGCACGACTTTGTCTAGATTTCATTACTTTTTAGAAATAAACAAGCAGCTCCATCGAGACTTGGCTAGTTTTTTACAGAATGTTTTTGGTGGGATTTCACTTCTTTTTGTAGAACGTGGCAAATTTATTTAACGTCGTCGTTTTATCGACATTTTTTTACGATATTAAACACAAATAAACTCAACGACCTTCAAAATGGACAACGAATCAGAATTGTTTTAATAACATAACCTAAGCGAACCTTATAGTTAGTATAATAAACNCGCCCGCGCGCGCCCTCAGCTCGTGCGCGCGCCGCCGCCGCTCCGGCCCCGCTCGCGCGCGCACAGCATCGCGCCCGCAACACGCCGCACGCACCGGCCGGCACCGCTTATTTGTATACAAACCTACCCTCTCCTCGATATTATTTTATGTTTTACACAAAAAGTGAACACAACAGCGAGAACTTCCAGTGAACGGTTGGCGCACTTCGATGATGTTATCTGAATGCTGTGTCACTGTAACTGTCACTCGGCCACCGGTAGATCGGAACTCTCGTCGCGCGCGCGTCGAGCGAGTGGCAGCGTGTTCCCGCGAGCACAGCGCGGGGCGGACTGGCGGCGCGGCGGCGCTCGGCAGCAGGAGCGCGGCACAGGCGGCGGCGGCGCGGGCCCGCTCCGCTCGCGCTCGCGGCTTAACGCGGAGCGACGTCAGAGGTGCCGAACAGTCTACCCGATACATTTATTCTGTGCCGATACCCATGCCCGATATATTTTGTGCCGATACCAGGCCTGGATCACTCCGCGCGGTACATCCGATAATTACCTACAGCGAAGCGCCCCGCCGGCGGGTATTATATCAGTCGAGTGTCACGCGCGCGCTCCTCAGGACGCTGGCGTGCGTTGTAGTATGATTATAATTCTATGATCGAAGTATTATTTAAAAATGGACATAAAGAGAAAGAAATATTGTGCGGCGTTCGGGTGTTTAAATTCGAAAAGTAATCTACCGGATTCATCTTTTTTTTCGCTTCCCAAAGATGCTGAAAGGTATGTTGGCCAAGTATAATAAACGAAATCAACGAAATGCAAATTACACAACATTCAACTTAATCGACGACTTTCTCTAGAAAGAATAAAAATCTGGACACCGCTTGCTAGTGCTAGCGCCATCTAGCGGTGAGCGATACAGGCGAACACCACGGTGTCGGAGTAGTATTGATTATGAATGTGGTTACTCCAGATCTACGTTTTTCCTAGTTTTTATAGTTTTCCCTTTATGTGGCCATTAAACCCTAACTCTGTACCAAATTTCAGCTCTCTGAGTTAATGGGAAGTACTAGTTCTATTTTGATGATCATCAGTGAGTGAGTGAGTGAGTGAGTGAGTGAGTGAGTGTCGTAAATGCGAAACTTTGCTTTCGCTTAACTTCGGAACTAAATGACCTACAGACTTGAAATTTTGGATTTTAAGTATGTGATTATAGCTTACTAGATGACGAAAATTTCTGCGTTCTGGTCTTATCCAGAGGTTCTCAAATAGGGGCCTGAAAATGCAGCGAAATGGTTCGAGTAAAGGATGGTACGGCAGTGTTTGCTTCGCGCTCGACTTGGCGGGGGCACGACCGTGCCCCCAGATGTAAGTGTAACCACAGAATAATAATAAGTTGGTGTAACCTATAGAATTCAAGTCGTATTTTCTCACTTAAATTATAGCCTACGTTATTCTGATGTGTGTAAAATGTGCAATGTGAGTAGTTCTTTGTAAAAGAAATGTAAGTGTAACCACAGAATAATAATAAGTTGGTGTAACCTATAGAATTCAAGTCGTATTTTCTCACTTAAATTATAGCCTACGTTATTCTGATGTGTGTAAAATAATACTGAAAAGTTTCATCAAAATCAGTTCAGTAGTTTTATCGTGACAGAGAATCAACATGTAACCTTTCATAGAAACTTTCGCATTAATAATATTAGTAGGTTATGTTATTACTTTTATAGTATTATTGTATAAAATTTTAATGTTTTTGTTTAAATAATGTATTTTAAATATTAAAGTAAAAATATAATAAATAGTAATAATACTTTTAAAGCTACTTGACATACCTACATTTTGTTATTTTAAATATCCATTTTATCACAATGCCACAATTTAAAAAATAAACTCCCACACAAAATAAAATGCTTTGAAGGAAAATAAAGGCCCCGTGACAAACGAGAATCGCTCCGTGCATGCGCACGCGCGGGTGCGGGGCTGCGGGGGGCGCGCTGCCTGGCATGATAAAAATCACCCAATCACCCGAAACGCTCGCGCGTGCTGCGCACGCACTCGCGCGTGGGTTAGGTTCNGATAGCCCGACGACCTCATAAAGGTAGCAGGAAGGCGCTGGATGCAGGGCAACACCAAGCGGCCATTTGGAAATCATTGGGGGAGGCCTATGTTCAGCAGTGGACGTTCTATGGTTGAAATGATGATGGATGATGAATAATGTGTAGAAGAGGGTTACGGATATTTCCATTTATGATGGAATTATTTGACTAACTGAATGGAGAGCCATAAAAATGTATTGTTTACTATATGGGTTGAAACCCTTACTGAACTACTACCTACTGTAATCGATTATGACAGTCAAAATGATTTAAGGATCTATTCAGGACTACTCTAGAAAGTTAAAAAATCTTTCATAACCATTGAAGTCAAGGGTTCTTGTTTGAAGACTTTTTTTAATCATGTATGTCGGTATTATAAGTGCCAAGAAGTAGGTATATACCTAGGTAAAGGGTTGATATCTACNATAGTACATAAATAGTTGATTTCCAATAAAAACTACCCAAAAAACGCAACTCAACCTCAAAATTTCATTTTCAGTTTTTTCAGAAACTAAGTTTCTGATCTCCCCCATTCACAAGGGAGTTCCCTTACCCCCCTCTCTCCCTCCACCTCATCCCTACAACCCTTAATAATGCGATAGGAGAATAAACATTTTACCTTTAATAGTATGCCAAAAGACGATTCTGACTCAGAACTTTCTGCGATGTGATGGTTCTGCTATTTAATTATTCGGGATATTAAAGTTATGCCTAAAGATGATTCTGCCTTACAAAATTATTAGTTTTAAATGTATACCAAATGAGTGTATGCCTAACGAATTTCTGCGTAAAGAAGATTATGCCATCAGTTGTTATGCATAGTAAAATATGATTAAAAAAGTTCTGCGAAAAAAGGTAGAACCGTATCGGCGCACTCACATATAAACCGCGCTCGGTGCGTTTCTATGAAGCTTGGATTAATAAAGCCTATGAAGATAACCTGCTCATTTGTATAAATACTTTGGTTTTAGGTAAGGTATGTAAGAATACTTAACAAAAACAAGTTTTCAAACTGTGTCCATTTATTTATTTCTCTCAATTACATGGGCAATGATAATATACATAAAAGTAGTAAACCGAGCTGATCAAAAGCTTTGAAATTGGTTCCGATTCAAAATTGTTAATTAATGACAAAATTTTAAATAAAATCAATTTATTTTCTTTTCATTCCCGATCTAAGTAGTAGACGTTTCCTATATTACTAACATACATAATTAACAATTTAGAAATCGAGCTCAATAAGTAGCTTATTAATATTATTATCCGGATAACCTTGATCACATTAAGTTATGCTTTTATCACAGCCATTTAAAAAAATGAATTTATTTTATCGATATAATGTAAAGCACCTTTATTGCATCAGTTTTTATATATTTTTAGCAGACGGTTTAAACACTGTCACTGAAGTTAAAATAAAATACCAGTCACCGAATATTTTCCCATTTACCAAGGTACCTACACAAAACTACGAATGGTAGGTACAACTTATTTTTGGGTCATTCCACAAAAATATGTCAACTCTTAGTCCGCGCCACATTTCACATGGAATATTTGTTAATATTTTATTCCAAAATGGTTAAATAACAGCTCGCAATGTGTTTTATTCATCACCTATTTATATTTTTTTAAACTATTTTTCAAACATCTTAAATTCCTTTTAAATGACCCAAATCGTCATTCCCTAGGCATGTCCGTACTCCAAAAGTTTGTATTTTGGAACCCATATTAACAGAAACATCAACTTCATCCTTTGTTTTAAGTAACGAATAACACCAAATTCTATTAATATTTTGCAGTTTCAATAAACAATAATTTGATTTTCTTTAGTTAAAAAAGAGTCCACAGTTTTTAGCGTCATTCCCTCGCCACGCACTGATTTTATAATTTTGCGCTTTTATATGTATTTAGAGTGAATGACATTTAGTTGAGTTTAAAGTACGATACGAAGTTATACTCAGACCATACTGGCTTTGCGGCAGCCGTTTTTTGAATTAGTGCAAACGTGCCAGTTGTTGCGGAAACATGTGTTGATCCAGTCACTTCGTCAGTCCCTAGTTGAGTACCTTTATTGATTACAATAGGAAATTGTATATAATTTAATGGTATTTACGTGTGGTTTTTCGGCTATTTTCGGCACATCGTATTAAGCATCTTATATTATAAAGTTAATCTGCATTTGTGTTAAGTTTTACTCCAAATCGTCAGTCCCTAGACCGTCAGGCTCTAGCTTTAAACGGCGCTAGGGACTAAGTTACTAGTTAGGGAATGACATTTTTTATATAGCGATAATAACAAAACAACTATATGAAGTATTTAACTTATCTATAAATGTTAAGGTTATAAGTTTTATACTTTATTAAAAGTCATATAGTTAGGAGTAATGTAGTATGAAAAAATTAAAAATTATAATTTCTCCTAAAATAAAGCATAAAGTGACTGGCCCTTTTAGACATAACATAATTAATAAATAAACTATAATTTACACTAATAAAGTATTCAAAAGCATCTTAAAAAAGTTTGGGACAAAATGACGTCGAAAATATACAGATTTTCATGGAATGACCCTTTTATCTTTTAGTGTTCTTATAGACTTTTAATAAAGTATAAAACTTGTTAGCGACGTCGACCAAGGAAATACGCTAACTTATTAATTAGAATTGATTAGCAACGTTAACAGTCAGAAAATGTTGTAAAATAATCAATTAGAGTCGATTAGGTATAAATAACATTCCATCTCTTTCTCACATTATCTCTCATCTCGCTTGCACATCAAATACTCTTCCACACACTTCTGGAATATTCGAGAGAAAAAGAAACAGGACGGCAATATCGGACCTCTCGCTTCGAACATTCCAGAACTATGGTCCAGAACATGAGAGACAGAGACAGGAATATCGGGAGAGAAAGGGATGGATATAGCCCGGGGCCCTATAAATACGGAGCGAGGCGCTCCGGGAGACAAGTTTATTTTATGTTGTGTTCAGATGTTATGTTCAGTTCAGAGAACAAGTGCTCCAAGCAACAAGTGATCTGAAGAAGCAAGAACTGAGAAAAGGAAGCGAATAATAAACGCGAGAAGTCTCAGCAAGTGAAANCGACGGCTGCCATCGACAGCTGCCGCCAAAAGGTGGCAAAAGCTGCCGTTGCCACTGCCGGTCGGCTATGAGCCGCTCGTGTTTAAGAAGCCTTACTCGTTATAGAAGATTGTTTCGATCGTCGGAAAGAAACCTGAATGGTAGTAAATAAATGATATCTGGTAAATAAAGTTACCTAATGGTTAATCAACCATACACATTATTTAGTCGAATAAACACAAATTTTAGAAAAAATAAAAATTCTGAACATAACGCTTCCCTTTCCCATCGAGAAGTTAAATATGAGTGTCCCAAAATTAGCAAGTTACACTTACACCAAAGGTAAGCAGTGTTGCCACCTCGGATTTTATTAAATCGCTAGATTAAAAGCAAAATTCGACCAGATTCCAGATTTGGACCTAAAAAAACCACCATATTCCGCTAACATATTCAGTGCCGGATTATGACTAAGACTAAGTGCTTCCTTGATGATGCCGTAAGCAAGACCTACCCCCGATTAAAAACTGGTTCCTACTGACCGTGAAAGTGCTTCACGAGCTCTATCAAACAGTATCAATAATATCTTGCTTGCAGATCTATCCGAAAATTAAATGTTTTCAGCTTCTTTATACATTTACTAGCTGTGCCCGCGACTTCGTACGCGTGAAAACCCGTTTTCGCAACATTTTTCATTATTGCTCGGCTCCTATTGATCGTAGCGTGATGTTGTATAGCCTATAGCCTTCCTCGATAAATGGGCTATCTAACACTGAAATAATTTTTCAAATCGGACCAGTAGTTCCGGAGATTTGCGCGTTCAAGTAAACAAACAAACTCTTCAGCTTTATAATATTAGTAGGTATAGATACAGGCCAGTGTGTGCCACCGGCAGTGTCAGTGTGACGTGCTAATTTTGGAACATCATTACATTTTGTGTGCTTACCATGAGTTTACGTTAGGTATGCTCGCTAGCGAGTACGTCAAAAAATTATTTGAATTTTAGTTCTTGAAATTAGCCGCTAGGGGCCTAGGCGCAGTATAGATGGCCGATAGTTGCACAGATGAGACTGGATAGTTGGGCCCGATTTTAATTTGTATGAAGAATCGGCCGATACCAAAATTACCAAATCGGTGTAAACAGGGTGTTGGCGGAAGGTTAGACAAACTTCGTAGGTGTATACGCGAGAAAAAATTGAAGCAGTTTTTAGGTCAAATTTCAGAAAAAAATAAATAAAAACAAAAATATCAATGAAAAAAATGTAGCCCACTTAGAGACAAATGGGCGAACTTGTATTCTTAAAATGACCTTACACCCACGAAGTTTGTCTAACCTTCCACCAAACACCCTGTATATTACCGAAAGTCATGTCTCGAAAGCTAGTGAAGAATTTTCTTCCAGATATTTATAAGTAATTTGTAAAACAAATATTAATCTAAATACCTAATTATTGCATTACTTGGTTATTTTTATTTTCCCATAGAAAGTGAGTGATCGTGTGAATTCACGTTGCATGACCTAAGTAATTATTATTCTAACTTAGTCTGTCAGCAAAATAGAGAAGGTACGTATTTTTAGACTGAGTTGCACCACTTTAATCGTAACTAGGTATAACCTTAATCGGTGTTTTTGTATGGAATTTGTCAGTTTTGACGTTTGTAAAAGTAAGATGATAACAACCCAGCCAAAATTTGGTAATATGTATTACCATGTGGACAGGATGTTTCATAATTATTATGGTACAGCGTTGGTCTTATTTGAAGAACTTAAAGATTGATAACCTTTGACAGTCTTCTGATGTTACGAGTAAGGACCTATCCCCAGTAAGTATTATGTGCAAATTTTTAGAAAAGCAAACGCATTAACTTAAGGATTATTATCTAACTAGGTAGGTACCACCTTGAAATTGCAATGGAAATAACAAAAATAAATCAAGCCTGGTTATAGGCTGTTTAGTGATAATATCATACGTAATCTCAAATACTGACGTCAAGTAAGTTACCATATTATAAAACCTTGTATCCACTTGAGCAGACTCAAGCCAGGCAGATTGAAGGCAGACTGTAGCTGCTCAACGGGATACGAGGCATTAGAGCGCGCGCAAAAACCGACAACATCTGGCTCGGTCCGCGGTGACAGTCTCTGCCTCGCGCCTCGTGGCAAGTCGTGCCTCTGGTTGAGGCAGGGTCTCCGTTTGAGCGGCCGCTCTACTTAAAATAGAGATTCGTCATCCAACCGTATCCATGATTGCGTCTCTTACCCAATTGAATCTTATAGGTTTCTCAAAAAGCCAATCGCATACCTATAGATCTTTCTGCGATAACTTTAGTTTTATCCATCCTGTCTCCATCAGGTTGGCGGTCAACCCGGTTACCAGAGACCATTTATGTAAGACCTGCTACCTTGAACGTCATTAGCCTCGCCTACGCAACTAAAATTCAAATTTCAATCCCTGCTTATTTGCAGGTTCTAAGAGTTTCACGTCATAAAATCAATAAAGAACTAGAACTTGATCCCGTACAAAATAAAATAAAAGTTTCATCTGTTTTACAATTAATTGTAACTTCAAACTAAATTATCCAAATACCTGCTGTAGGACTTACTAGACATCAGATGTAAGACTCGCTATTATTAGGCCAGTAGAATTAGATTTTAAATCGGAAATAATTCCTACAAAAGATTTTATTGCTTTAATGGCTTTATTGGTTGCCCATTATGACTCTCCTAGGTTTTCGACTTCGACGGAGTTGTGCTTAAGTGGTGGGGGGGTATTTTCACGCGTACGAAGTTGATTTTGCGGCGTCGAACCTTGGACCAGGTATACGGCTAAGCAATGCAGTCTTAAAGGAGGGTACAAGGAAGAGGCAGCCATAGTAGATAACACATAGTCGTACAGGAGAGTGCAAGTAAGAGGTGCAGCAACCGTAGTTAAGGAACGGCTGGGCCGAACAAGGAGCCTATCCTTGTTCGGCCCAGCCGCATCCAGCTCGTAAGCCTTGATAGGGTTACACTGGTTGAAGCGGCCCCTTTCAAGACTTGGAAGCCTGCGGGTAACGAGCCATTGGACGTGGAGAGGGTCATTAATTATACTTACATTTTCTACTTTGTCGAAGATAAGCACGAGAACGGTTTGTCCGAGACATGAATTTCATCAAATCCTGCAGGATTTAAGTGCCCTTCAATCGTCATGAAGACTAGTTTTCGATAGGGTAAGTCCTTTACGCGGTATATATGTATAACCGGAAAACCCAAAAAACGCTCCTTTCGGGGCCCCCACCACTAAGCACAACTCCGTCGAAGTCGAAAACCTAGGAAAGTCTTAGCGGGCAACCAATGAAGCCATTAAAGCAATAAAATCTTTTGTTGGAATCATTTCCGATTTGATCAATTTTTGTGTTTAATTCTGGCCTATATTTCGTTCTAAAGATCTATAAAAGGTACAGTAATTTGTGTAAACCCTAAGAAATATAATATTATCATTATTATTGTAATATGCACCTGTAGATAATATGAAAATAACGTGTTATAACGGGTATATTAATTACACAATAATATTCACTTACTTACATATTAACTGTATAAAATCCATGTAGGTAGTAACTTAGATTCTACCTATTTCTAATAGTGACCATTAATTTTATTTATTTGTAAGTACAGTCAGCTCCATAGTCACTAAATAAAGGAGTATAAAACATGTCATGTAATAAGCGTCCATCTATACTATATGGTATTATTACGCGGGGAGCTATCGGTTAACCCCAAATGTGCTCGGTGGTGAAGCATACGCGGCGTGGTGCGGTCGGCAACAAGCGCCGTCTCGAAAGTTTTATACGTTTGAACAAGGTTTTTACTGATAAAGAAATAGTTAAATATTTATTTATATTTTTCTTCTACTTACTTTCATGTGTACTACCTCATTGATAATGAATTTTAGTTGCTGATAGGGGTAACCCCTAAGATGGGCGTTGTTTTACAAAACCACACTCTGTATAGCTTATTATATTAGTAAAACAGAGCTGTCTTAATAAATGCATGACATATCTCAGCGTTGCTAAAGTTCATTATCAATGAGTAATAATGATAAGTATTGATAATTGAAGCTAACTGTACTTACTTACAAACTTTGCAGCTTATTGTAAATTAGAATTGTGACAAGAATGCAATAAAATGTTTCAAGAAATACCTAAGTAATAAAATATTATATTGCTTAGCAATAATTCGTAAATAAGCAATAGCAATATAAAATTCACAAATGCTAAAATTGACAGCTGGTATCAACCATTTTGTACCTTTTTTAAAGGTTATTTTGTACCAAAGTCAAAATACTATGGTTTTATTCGACCACGACTCTTAACTTACCGGCGGGCAGGAGCGATAAGCAGGCCACTGCTTTAGTTTTATCACGTCTTGTCTGCGTGGCGTTCGTCATGCATCATACAAGGGCCAATTGTCATCCGTTTATAAAGCCCGCCACTATCTAGGTATAAGCTAAGATGCTCCTGATAGCCGTGGTCGAACGAATAGTAAGGCAGATTATGTTCTAGGATCGTTTCTGCGCCCACTTCATGTCATCAGCACGGGGTTTACATCCCGTTAGGGCCTCAATTATGAACTCTAATGTAGACCAAAAGTGGAGTTTCTCCAGTGGCCAGTTTAACCAGCCAGTGGTGATGCAGAAGTAAGTCTCGTGCGGCGCTACGTGGTGTATCCGGTGGTGGCGGCGAGGCAGCACCACGTGCCATTCTTGCAGACACACTACCCAAGTTGGTAACCCAAAATACGTGTGAGACCATTTGTGGATCTGAAATAGAAAAGTTATTGGGCATGATATTAAGTATTCATTTACAATGCAGAGCTGATGGGAGTGCGATCACCTTTACTTAATTGTTGCGAAGATAAATATGTACTACTATTAAACAAAATAAAAGTACCTATGTCTAGTTAATTTTGTAACCAAGCTTAAGTAGGTACTTCAAAAATTCACCAGTGGGCTGAGTGTGAGCGTTTAAAAATTGTATGAAAATTTTAGTTTTTGAACGTTTCCGCTAGGGGCGCTGTGCAATCCGTCATCAATTCAATTTATTGAGCCCTCAGCTCATTATAATCTCAAGAGAGACAATATTTGTACTAAATGCAGCACAGACCATGAGAATCAATGATATTTATTTATTTTACATGATGTATAACCATACTTATTATTGTTCTGTGGTGTAACAAACAGGGCAAGTAACAGTATCAGTATTCGCAAGTCTTTATTATACAACGTGTCCCAAAATTCAAGGATAAGCCGACGCCACAGGACGGACATAGTCTTGACTACTTTAGGAACAATAAGGAAAAAATCTATCTCAATTATTTTTTTACTTACACAATAAATTATGAAATTACTTAAGTTGCCGATACAAACAAAAAAACAGAAATATTTGAAAAATGGTAGGTAGTCGTGGTAATGTAAAATATCATAAGGGGTGTCAATTTTCGAAGAATTTCGTAATTTATTGTGTAACTTAAAAAATACTACCTTTACATTTAAGTTTCTTGTATTTAGGCTAAGTCTTTATTCAATAAATTTATCTTATCTTATCTTATCTTATCTTAATAATTGAGATATATTTTTTTCCTTATTTTTCCTAAAGTAGTCATGACTATGTCCATCCTGCGGCGCCGGCTTATCCTTGAATTTTGGGACACGTTGTATATTTTTTTCTCTTTCTTTCTTTACATAATTTATTTTGAGTTTTGTCGAATAAGGACATCATGGCAGTTTACCTACTCACCTGGTTGGTCATTGCTACAAATATACAGCATAAGTACCAATAGGCTATCCAGTGAAATTGCTTGTTGATGTTTATGTCATCATAAGTTGTTAGTTGCCATACAATTCGAGCCAGCACGGGTATGGTAATAGCAAAGTTGTCGCCATTTGTTTCTATGAAGTCGTGACGAGTAATTGAAGTAGGATCAATATGGTGTTCACGAAACGGCCGAAGGAAATTCTGGAAAAACCAAGTTTTAATTATAAAATGTATTAAACGGCGAAATTTTACAGACACTTTAATAATATAGCCGTTAGAATAAAGCAATGGACACCTGAATGATATACTTTATTTATATGATCAGATGTAATGCTAAAAATGTGTGTTTGTGTGTGTGCACTAAATCACACCAGCTAATTTGCGTGAAAGACTGAGGCTTTAGTTTATAAAGTGTAATAATAACAATATAATAAATCTAGAAGAGAAATAAAAAATACAGGCATTGCCCTTTCTTCAGCTCGGTTAATTTTCCAAATACAGGGGCATTATTTGGAGAAATTTATCAAATAACCAAAAAAACACGAATTAAAATGCAGATTTTTCTCAAATTGTATCATTTTTTATTATTTGTTGCCATTTTCTGAGTATTTTATGTATTTTTTTAGTATTGCCTGTTATTTAGCACTATTATTGTTTTTATTTTATCAGGATATACCTCTTAGTTTAAAAGTTATTACGTTTTCTTTACAATAAGTAATTGGATAAAAAAAAATCTATAAAAAAAATAAAAAAATCTCAATAAAAATTTGACCTCTTTTTGTCGATAAAAATAGGTCTAGTTTCATCTATTTTCATATGTACACTTTATCGTGACTCACACTGTATAAAAATTCCAAACTTAGTAGGTAGGTACCAAGATATCGATAAGCATTGAATAATAAAATTGTAATAAAATTGATAACTTTGTCAATAAATTATTTATATTCTTTATCAAACAATTCAAATGCCAGCATACATACTATGTTCCGCATATTATAAATCAAATCAAATCAAATCAAATCATTTATTTGTAAAACATAGGTAAATGTATAAATCAGGTGGTACATAATAATGGGTAGAGCTCTATGTTTGGCCTATGAGTGGCATACAAATTATAAGTCCCATATAAAGATACAAAAAAAATAATAGTTACATAATGTCAATTTTTAGAATTTAAATTTAATGCTTACAAAACTATCATGTCAAAATTATATTACAAATTAGTATCAGTCAAATATTCAGTTAATGTATAATATGATTTTCTTATGTGTAATACATACTGTTAACCCAAAATTCAACGATAAGCCGGCGCCGTAGGGTGAACATGGTCATGACTATTTAATAGGAAAAATAAGTAAAAAAAATAATTAAGATACATTTTTGAGAAAAAGTTTGGATGTCTGGATGTTTGTTACTCTTTCACGCAAAAACTACTGAACGGATTTTGATGAAACTTTACAATATTATTGTTTAAAACCCAGAATAACATAAATAGGCTATAATTTATGAAAATCTGTGACAAACGAAAGTTCACGCGGGTGAAGCCGCGGGCAAAAGCTAGTTTTTTCTAAAGTTTAACTAGTAAGTTTTCCTAAACCGTAGGAAAAGTAAGAAAAAAATTGAGATGCATTTTTTTCTTGCTTCTGACCTGCCCTTTCGTTGGGCTACTGATTTGAAGATGATATTTGATAGTACTAAACTAACTTTTTAAGGTTCCGTAGTCCTGACAAGGAACCCTTAATATGGTTTCGATATGTCTGTCTGTTTGTCCGAGGTTTTGCTTGGAAACTATTGGCAATAGAGAGTTGTAATTTGGTGGAGGTATGCCGAGGTGGCCGACAAAACGGTAAAGTAAAATTTTGAAAAAAAAAAAAAAAACACTTTTTTAGGGTAGCTCCCCTACATGTAAAGTGGGGATGATTTTTTTTTCATCTTCTACCCCATCGGGTAGGGTTTCGTTGGATAGGTCTTTTAAAATAACTTGCAAATTATTAAAGTTTAAAGTGCCAATCCCCTTTCGTTGGGCTACTGATTTGAAGATGAATGAAGACGAACCATAGCCTGAGGCAGAGTTACGAATATAATTATAAAGAGGAAAGATTTGTATATTTGTATAGGTAGAATAAGCTCAGAAACTACTGGACCGATTTGAAAAAAAAAGGCACAATTCGATGGCTCCTACGTATAAGGGCGAAACTGCCGCTTACGCCTTTTTCCAATTATTTAAGCAATTATTTCACTTTGCTCTAATCTATAACATCAGTAAGAAAAAAAAATTTTTTTTCCATTAGATACAAAATAAAATTTTAGGCAAATAGGCGTATGTGCAAAACTACGCCACGTATAAAGCCCAATCATACGATTCGTCAATCTATACGAGTAGTTGCTTACATAAACATATATTTTTTATAATCCAAATCTTAAATAAAGCCATGAAAATATTTAGCAAATTGTTTTATTTATAAATTATGACACATTATATAGTTATTTAATTTTTAGCGTTAAGAGTCGCATCTCAAACTAATTTGAAAATTATAAATAACTTGAAAAAATCGAACTGCCTAAGGCATCGTGGGTTCAATTCCCGCCTTAGGCAATTCGATTTTTTCAAGTTATTTATATTTTTTAAAAATATGACACATTATGTTAAAAGACCTAACTAAATCTCGAGCACAGTATATGGGCGTATTTGCGTTAAAACGTAAAACGGTACATTAAACGACTTTTTCTAACTGATTTATTATTGATATAGCACATGATAACAATTAAAATAATTACATGCATAAATAAAGAGAGTAATCGCTTAAAATATTATATTTACGTTGTCATTTAAGTCTCTTTACGTTGAACAATATACATGAAATTATAGAAATATGCCGACGTAAAAGGGCAATGCGTAAAATCTCAAAATATATAAGAAAAATATAAAAATTGATAACAGCAGTAGCAAAAGCATTACATGTTAAGGCTAAATGTGAAATTTCATTAAATTCGTTTTAGTAGGTCAGAAGATATGACCCAAAAATATGGTTCTGGCCACTAAAATGGCTCTCCTGTAAAATTTACTTTTTTCACTTACGCCAGTATACGTAGGAGCCATCGAATTAGATTTAGAATCCTATTTTGTTCCTAACATAGTCATAATAAGACCAACTTATATTTTTTTTATTTGTATTTTTTAAATTTATTGTTAAATACCTCCATCTTTTATCTACCCTCAGTTGGACTTGTTGGTGTTTAAGATTGCCACAGCCTAAGCTTTCAAAATTTTGCTGTGATAATAAGACAGCTAATGGTGCAGGTGCAGGTGCAGGTCATAACAGATACATGTGAATAAATCAAAGTATAAATCCCATTGTAATCTGTCTCGATAGAGCAGTGGTTCTTAACCTTTAAGTGACGAGGGACCATTTTATCAAATTTCTGTCTTGTCAGGGACCACTTATATTTTTTTCAAAATCCTATGAAAGGAGAGGTCCATTTCTCGCCCACTGTGCGCCGTTTGCGTTGTGTTGACTCGACTCATCACGTCACGTCACTTGTTTATTACGATGTCTTCGTGGACCACTTGCAATGCCTCCAGGGACCACCAGTGGTCCGCGGACCACCGGTTAAGAACCACTGAGATAGAGAATTGAATTGATAGAGAGAGGTAGTTACCTACATAAAAAAATTCAGCAGGACTTGTTTGTCGAACTTTAAACAATGACATGATAAGTAAATACTTAAGTCTAAGGCTCTTGCTATATGCTCAATTACTGGATTTTAAGTTTAGTTGTCCACTTCAACCTAAGTAGATCAAAATATCCCGATAAGTACTACCCGTTCGCGCTAAGTTTGCGCCGCACAGTAGTTTGATTTTAAAAATAGGTGGACATACGATCGAAAGTCATAATTTCACCGAAACAAAAATTGTTTTGGATAGCATTTTGAATGCTGATCAACATTTGTCATTATGCATTTTTCGATAAAACGAGCCTTTCATGCTTAAAAAAAATATGACAAGAAAATTTGTATGGAGAAAAATCTTTTTTATTTTTTTTCTGGCTACTGTTGCAAACTGTAGCGGTCAAACCTTATATAGTCGTAAGTACCTATGGTGCCTAACATTACTACATAAATACTTTTTGCGGGCACGCGCGGCGAAGCGAGTAATGGACATGCAAAATTTTAAATATTTTTATTTATTCATTATTAATTTAAATGCACTTAAAGTAATTATTAATAGATAAATATACTTAGTCTAACTTACTACAGCCCCCTATTACCTCATTTCACGCTAAAACCTTTCAAACTAGAACCTAAGTTTGTAGGTGCTAGGTAGTCTAAGTTGTCTTTATTGTCATTATAATATTCACTACTGGTCTACTGGTTATCGTGTAAGATAGATTAGATTTATATCAACCCTGTACCTAGGTATATACCTTCTTGGCACTTATAATACCGACATACACGATTAAAAAAAGTCTTCAAACAAGAACCCTTGACTTCAATGGTTATGAAAGATTTTTTAACTTTCTAGAGTAGTCCTGACTGAATAGATCGTTAAATCATTTTGACTGTCATAATCGATTACAGTAGGTAGCGGGATAGTTTCAATTTTGATAGAACTGTAATTTCCAGTTCTTCTGTTGAATAGTCTTATACTTTCGCAAAAATATTCTTTTTTTTTGGCTCCTTTAAAGAGGTGTAAGTTTCTTTCCCTTCGTCTTAAAAGATAACGTACATAACACCTTTATAAGTAGCTTCAAACATAAAGCATACCTTTACCCAATCATCTAACTGAGAAAAATCTGAAATCCGACATTTTTCACCTTCTTCCATTCATGTCTTCAATTATTATTATCTTCGTTCAAAAAACAATCAAAAAAAGATATTTTAGCCTATTCACTTATCTTGATCAGAGTGTTAAAAATAATCAAAGTCACTCACATACTTAGTTTTTCCGAAAGAATCCAATAAGCAGGTTTGCAGTACACCAAAATGTTATCACATTATCTGCACCATGTATCAGCAGTTTTTGTGTACGTTAGCTGGCATATAAAACTATAGGTAGAGGTGTACATAATGGATCTGCAATAATGTGTGGCAATACGGCTCGGAAACGTGGCCTCTCAATATAGGCCTTATAAATAAGCTCAAAATTGCACAACGTGCTATGGAGAGGGCTATGCTCGGTGTTTCTTTACAAGATCGAATCAGAAATGAGGAGGAGATCCGTAAACGAACCAAAGTCGTTGACATAGCCCAACGGATTATAGCCCGACGACCTCATAAAGGTAGCAGGAAGGCGCTGGATGCAGGGCAACACCAAGCGGCCATTTGGAAATCATTGGGGGAGGCCTATGTTCAGCAGTGGACGTTCTATGGTTGAAATGATGATGGATGATGAATAATGTGTAGAAGAGGGTTACGGATATTTCCATTTATGATGGAATTATTTGACTAACTGAATGGAGAGCCATAAAAATGTATTGTTTACTATATGGGTTGAAACCCTTACTGAACCCACTACCTACTGTAATCGATTATGACAGTCAAAATGATTTAAGGATCTATTCAGGACTACTCTAGAAAGTTAAAAAATCTTTCATAACCATTGAAGTCAAGGGTTCTTGCTTGAAGACTTTTTTTAATCATGTATGTCGGTATTATAAGTGCCAAGAAGTAGGTATATACCTAGGTAAAGGGTAGATATCTACCTAATCTATCTTACGCGATAACCAGTAGACCAGTAGTGAATATTATAATGACAATAAAAACAACTTAGACTACCTGGTACCTACAAACTTATGTTTTAGTTTGAAAGGTTTTAGCGTGAAATGAGGTAATAGGGGGCTGTAGTAAGTTAGACTAAGTATATTTATCTATTAATAATTACTTTAAGTGCATTAAAATCAATAATGAATAAATAAAAATATTTAAAATTTTGCATGTCCATTACTCGCTTCGCCGCGCGTGCCCGCAAAAAGTATTTATGTAGTAATGTTAGGCACCATAGGTACTTACGACTACATAAGGTTTGACCGCTACAGTTTGCAACAGTAGCCAGAAAAAAAATAAAAAAGATTTTTCTCCATACAAATTTTCTTGTCATATTTTTTTTAAGCATGAAAGGCTCGTTTTATCGAAAAATGCATAATGACAAATGATGATCAGCATTCAAAATGCTATCCAAAACAATTTTTGTTTCGATGAAATTATGACTTTCGATCGTATGTCCACCTTTTTTTTAAATCAAACTACTGTGCGCCGGTCCGTGGAATGCGCGTCCCCTTCCCCAACCGCAATTAATGTGTCTTATTTTACGCAAATACACATTTTTTATCAATAAAAACTATTTTACATGTAGTTTGATAAAGTTATACATAGATGCTTCCTTTCGAGTGACGTCATATCGCCAGCGGCAAACTTACAGCGAAACGAATAGTACTGCTCATAGTTTTTTCATCGAACTCCCACGGGATAGGCAAGTAATATTTTCAGGCATTATAGATAATTATATCATGCATCAATATTAATTAAGAATGGATGCCAATTTTCTAGGACAACGGAGAAAAAATGTTTTCTGAAAATCATAAATTATTAAATAATTCCTAAATTACTGCAGCAATAACCATTTATTTTTGCATAAAGGTAGACGTTATAGTGATAGGTAAAATTTACAAAATTCTGACTTAATGCAATTTTTTTAGAAAATATGCTTCTAAAACTGTTTTTTTATAAAATCACAAAATCGAATATTTCTTCGAAACTAAGCAAATACAACTACTAGTTCCTTCATCAATTTTATACATAATAGTAATATCTAACGATTGAATTAATAAAACAGGGATGTCCGCTTCTAAGCCAAAATAAAACACTGTGCAGGGGTGGTAAGTATTGTGGTTGAAACTTGAATAGGTGGCGTGACGTCACAGTACCGCCTATGTTTGAGTTCCACGCGAAAATAATTATGGAGGTAATTTAAATAATTAATCAGCCATTTCTTGATGGATTTAAAAAAGAACATCACTGTCTTTCTAGTTTTGGTCTATATTTTAATCCCATTCAGTGAAATACACTCGCGAGCAAAACTATGGAATCACTTCCATGAAGTTGTTTCCACGCGATCTTGTGTACGAGTAGTAACGAATTTGTTAGTAACAAAAAAAGTAGCACCATTTTTAAGATTAAACTTTTAACTTTAAATTGATACCAAATTCATTTAAATCACACCAGTATTTAAAAAGATATCCCGGCTGATGTGAAGAAGTAAGGAAAAAGACATGTATCAACTGTTTGATACGTCGCGAGTTGCGGCCTATTTACCCCCTATAAAAGCACGTGTTTTAGGATTTCTTCTTTCACACGTTGATCCATACACATCTCCGCTTCTTTTGACACTTTACCTGGGATTCTACACCTTCAGAAGCAGCATAAATCGTTGCACTATTGCAAGAAGGGCTCAGCCAGCGGGCTGCTGTCGCACGTAAGCTCCACATAAGCCAGTCCTGGGTTTCGAAAGTTTTAAGACGTTTTCGGGAGACTAGTGGCTTTATCCCGAGACCAAGTTCTGAACAGCACCGGTGCACATCGCAGAGAGATGACTGTTTTTTCATGTCAACCTCTCTATGAAATCGTCATTTGACTGGTATCGACGTCCACTAAGAGCTCAGAAATGTTCGTAGGATAGCTGTTAGCGAGTGGACAGTTCGTCTAAGATATAAGCAATAGAATTTGACTCCAAAAAGGCCTGCCACAGGCTCGAAACTGATGGCAGGTCAGCGAAAAGCACGCTTTCAATTTGCTAGTACACATCTCGATGGGAAGTCGAGCAACCCACCCCCATTAGCCACTGTTTCAGTGAACCAGCACTGCACTAATCGCTCCCCAGGCCGCCTATAGACCCGACCTCTTCGACTACTGCACATTCATTGGAGAACAAAACTCGCCTATTACTCACCTTCCCATCAAAATAAGTGCGAGCTAATTGAAAGCGTGCTTGTCGGTGACCTGCCGTCAGTTTCGAGCCTGTTGCAGGCCTTTTTGGAGTCAAATTCTATTGCTTATATCTTAGACGAACTGTCCACTTGCTAACAGCTATCCTACGAATTTTTCTGAGCTCTTACTGGACGTCGATACCAGTCAAATGACGATTTCATAGAGAGGTTGACATGAAAAAACAGTCATCTCTCTGCGATGTGCACCGGCGCTGTTCAGAACTTGGTCTCGGGATAAAGCCACTAGTCTCCCGAAAACGTCTTAAAACTTTACTTTCGAAACCCAGGACTGGCTTCTGTGGAGCTGACGTGCGACAGCCCGCTGGCTGAGCCCTTCTTGCAATAGTGCAACGATTTATGCTGCTTCTGAAGGTGTAGAATCCCAGGTAAAGTGTCAAAAGAAGCGAAGATGTGTTTGGATCAACGTGTGGAAGAAGAAATCCTAAAACACGTGCTTTCATACGTAAATAGGCCGCAACTCGCGACGTATCAAACAGTTGATATTATGTCTTTTTCCTTACTTCTTCACATCAGCCGGGATATCTTTTTAAATACTGGTGTGACTTAAATGAATTTGGTATCAATTTAAAGTTAAAAGTTTAATCTTTAAAATGGTGTCACTTTTTTGTTACTAATAAAATCGTTAGTACACAAGATCGCATGGAAACAACTTCATGTAAGTGATTCCATACTTTTGCTCGCGAGTGTATAATGTTTTCAACATCACGAAATGTCAAACACAGCACCAGTAGGTAAGCAACGATCGCGGCGTTCGACTGGGTAGCGATTTTTTTACTAAATTATTCTAATTATTTATTTTTTATTCATTCTTATTCAAGTTTATGTAATAGTAGCACGAAAGCCTCTTCAATTGAAACTATTATAAAATTAAAAATGCTTATGATTAACAAGCAACCCAGCTATGCATGGTTGTAGAGTAAAGCTTTAGAAAAATTTCATTCAAACAACACATAAAACGTGCCTAGATGATTTGTGGAAGAAAGATCATTTAATTATATTATGCACAAGCACTTTATTATTATTATCGTTTCATTTTTGTCTGAATAATTACTGCCACAGGACATTTTATTGCTAAACATAGACCTCCCCAATGTTTTCCAGATTGGCCAGTTGATAGAGGCCAAAATTGTGTGGAATTTTACAAAGACTAGCTCTAAAATACCAAACAACAAAAACAGTTATCAGTGTATCAGTCTTCAAGCCTAAACATAAAACAAAAATCTTGTGTTTTTAGTATAGAAGATTAATATGTTATCACAGCAATGTAACACTATTAATTTATCTTGAGAAGTTATAGAAAAATAAGATATACAGGATCATTGAAGAATAGAAGGCAAAGCAGACACGCATGTGGCATGATGACAACTTATGGATTGCATTATCAAAAATATTATGATTACTTTGCCTATGAGAGGTAAGTCAACAGTGCCCCAAGTGTCTGCAGCCCAGTGTACCACGCCTGAAGCAAAATCTGCTGTTAAAACACCGGCAACTGCTGCAAATAATAGCGACACATCGGCACATATGTGTCTGGCCATGAGGATTCCAGCACAAATACATAATGTGCAACAAACCACCACACACACCCATTCCTGGAGCCTTTTGCCTGTTGAAAAAAATTGTTATATACCAAACCGAAACCACTACGAATATTGCCATTTTTATCTTGAAATCATATCATACAGCTAGTTATGTACCTACTGAACATGTGTTATGCACACGTCAACACATATTCAGTAGGTGTAGGTAGGAATCAGTATATCAACAACTTACATCAGTAACACAACACCCTTGGTATACATGTCTATATGTTTATTTATGATTTCTGTTCAATAACTATATGACATACTACAAAGTTAGTACTTAATAGGTACATTGTTTTATACAGTATGTTGTGCTTAAAAATTGCATTAAAACTGGCAAATGTATAGCTATAATATGCCTAGTGTTTATAATCGGAAATTTTGCATGTACTGAAATGTTTTATACATTCAAATAAGTTTGACTTTGACGTGACATCAATACCTCCTAAAAAACTCTTTTTAATTTATCTAATTATTACTCACCTGGACTATAAAGTTCGGCCAATTCTTGTGCGCCACGGTGCCGTGGACCCCAGCGTGGCTGAGTGCCTACTTCACTTGATGATTGAGTATTCGCATTAGGATCATCCTCTGACATGGAATGCTCAAGAATTTGTCTTTCCGTTTTTACTGGCGCAAGTAATGTTGTTGCCATGGTGCTGGCGTATTCAAAACGTTCACAACCAAGTCCAGTAAGGCCATCCCTTTTAGAACAAGGGGGAATAGGCAAAGGTAAAGCCATTATTCAATAATAACCTATAACAACACTTCAAATGGCTTATCTGTTCTTATCTTATTGACGATGATTTTTGGTAGAAATTACATATCAATCAATCAAAAGATTAACTCGTAAAACACGGTTCGCAAACACTGACCAAACAATGAATGAAAGAGGAGGGATCGCTAACGTATGATCGTAATCAATCGTAATCGTAATCAATACAAAAAAAAATAGTAGGTAATTAGGTATATTGAATGACATTTATTAAACGTTCCGAAACCCAAAAATCCTTTTCTTCAATGACATACCTAATAACTTTTGGAATATTTTTTCCGCAATTTTTTCCAGCCGCTAGAAAGCTCAATAAATAAAAATAATTCATGGTTATAACAAATAGCAAACTAAGAGACAAAATTTCTTGTCCTAAAACGATAAAAAAGGCAACAATGATGTAAAGAAAACAAAAATGAAATCTAAAAAATCTAAATAAATAATATGATAGAAGGCGAAACTACGCAAATCGGAACGTATATAGTTTATTTGTCAAAAGGACGGTACCACGCTCTCAGTGTTAGCGGTTTTTTAAACTGTCACCAAACGTCAATGCCACAATTGGCCATTATTCTTATTAATGAACACTTAGACGTTTTTCATTGGCCAAAAGAGCGATATTTGTTCGATAACTTCAATAGAATCGTTTGCAATAGAAGCGTAGTACCTACTAGTAATAAAAAAAAAAATAATGAATTTGATGTGATGATGTGTAATGTGTGTGAAATCCGTCATTTTCGCAGATAATTATTTATATTAAAATTTTTAATACGAATTATCGTCAACTGTAGATGTTAAATGATTTATATTTGATAAAAGATGGACATGAGAGCAGCAAAACTAGAATTAGCCAGAAAAAAGGTAAGGAATTTTTGATTACCTACACTTCGGCAGAATGCTATGATGTTGTCTCATCCTTTGCCCCACTAAAGCTAACACAAGTATCCGTCACTGTACGACTGGATATTTAAAGATAAGTCTGTAGTAGGTACCTAGTTTGAATTATAAAAAAACATAATAGATATTTCTGATCATCCCATATAGATGGGATGATCAGAAATACGTAGATAAGTAGATACGGTAGGTAACCTTCCAATTGTAGGTGCCACAATAGAAATCCACATACAAACTCCCACTGAATTCTATTAGGCTCAGCAGGTTGTGAGTTGACAACTGATAAATAAATATAATTATTCTTACTAGTTAGTTATCAAAGAATTTTATTTATTATACTAGTTATGATGTACAGTTACCGTAAAATTTTGAATTTCGTCAAATTATAATCTGCCGTACTTGGATTACAATCTAGAACCTTTTTTTTTTACGGGGAAAAAATGCGTTGAATCGCATACCTACCCTGCGGGGACAGGGGGTTATGTGGGGCTCACCACGTCAGAAGGACGAGGCATACCCACTAAAAAGACCCCGGTGCTCCGTCACTCGCCATAAGTGGGAGGAGACTGTGGGTTTCCGGACATAGCCTTCTCTACCACAGCCCCTCCCGGCACAATCTAGAACCTAACCTAACCTGTTAGTTTACAATCTCATGCATTATTTATAAACTGACGGGAGTTCACAATTTCATGTTGACAACATTGACATCGTATAAATAAGTGTCTAGTTTATTACATTGCTTTTCATTTTGAGATTAACATACCTTTTGGTCAATGCTATTTTGAAATTATTGACTTTAGAATGTGTTAATTGTGGCTTAAAACTTAATTAAGTACTTTTTATTTTCTGCATTATTTTAGCTCAGGGATCATCAAGAAAAAAAATTAATTACTACACATAAATCCGAAGTGGATACCATTGATAGTACTAGTTTGTCACAGAACCCTAGTGCTCTTGATAACAGTGAACTTACTGAAGGCAATAAAAATGTTGATAATAATGCTGCTAAGATATTTGATCAATCTGAACCTTTAGATTTGAATGTAAATGTTACGCAAATACTTGTTGCCAATAAAAGGAACTTAGAAGAACAGGTAGCAGAATTACAATTAAAATGTGACCAACTAGATTCAGATTATAAGGCTGAAATCAACAATCATAATAATGCTAGACAACAAGTGTTATTTTTGCAAAACGAATTAAAAGATTTGATGGATAAGTATGGGGCTGCCACGGAAAACAGTTTATTAATGAGTGAACATATTAAAGAGTTAAATAATTTAAAAACATCCCTTACTGATGATAATAACAATTTGACTGAACAACTAGAATTCACCAAATCAATTTTGACTTCAAAAGAGACAGAAAACACCAGTCTACTTAATCAACTCCATTTTCTTCAAAATGAATTAGATTGTACAAAATTACAATTGCAGCAACTTACAAGTGGATCAAATGTTTTAATTGCTCATAATGATGCTAAAGTTGATAATCAAGAATTGATACAAAAAATAAAGAATTTGGAGGAACTTTTAAAAGGAACACAAAAAGAGAAAGACCAAATTAATACTCATTATGAGCACTATGTTGCAGAATTAAATCAGCAGTTAAAGACTACTATGTTAAAAAATGAAGAATTTTCAAAAGAAATTTGTAATCTTTCTAACAGGGAAAGTAGTCTCATTGATCAAATTAGTGAGATGGAAATAAGGTTACAAAGTGTTCAAGGAAATCACGATAAAACTGTTGAAATCACTACTATAGACAATGGAGAATTAAAAGAACTTCATGATAAATGTACAAAAGCTCAGGTAAGTTCTCCTTCTGCTTGTCACAACCATGGTAATGATTTCAGTTTAGATTATGCATCTTAGATTTTGGGTAGCTACCTCCCCCCTCCATCATACCCCTTCGCCCTTTCAGCATCATCATCATTTCAGCCATAGGACGTCTACTGCTGACAGGGTTCGAAATTATCAAGATAATTCCGCTTCATAATAATTATCGGATAATTATCAGATAATTATCGGATAATTATCAACAGTATAAGATACATTTGTTTCATAAGAAATTCAGATTGCGAATGTTGCTTTATGTTTTTGGTTGCTGATTGTTGTCAAGTTACCTATTGCTAGTCGCATAAAGCTTGGAAAATAGATAAATATTTTGACGCTAGATAACTTACTGATCATTCTGATCATTGTGGAGCTAAATAGATACGTTTTGTAACTATCAATGTTGATTAACACCCACCACTAGACGCAAGTGCGGAATACACGTTCGAAAACTTCGAATACAGTTCATTTTCATGAGCGCATTTTTTTGTTATAATCAACCGATAATTATCCATCTGTTATTATCACGATAATTATCCTTTCGAACCCTGACTGCGGAACATAGGCCTCCCGAGGAGGCCCTCCCCCAATGAATTTCATAATTACTGGTAATAACCGCGTCTAAGCGGCCTGCATCCAGCGCCCTCCTGTAGTTTGTCGGTCCACCTTGTGGGTGGACGTCCCACGCTGCACTTTCCGGTACGTGGCATCTTCTCCAAAACCTTGCTTGGAAATGTTTGATTTAGGGGATATCAAATTCTGTCTCTGTTTCTCTGTGTCGCTTTCACGCCTAGACCGATTTTGATTTGGCATAGAGATCATTTGAGTCCCAGGAAAGGACAGGATAGTTTTTATCTAGGGTTATTTTAAAGGGGGGGGGGTAGTATCATATAGCTCATCTCATGACTGCCGCCCCGACGTGCCACCCCGGCCCCCCCGCTATGCCCTGCGATAAAGTTTTTCTGTGTCAGACAAACTAAGAAAGAAATATGAATAAAGTAAATAATAATAATAAATCTTTAATCTAGGTAATAACTTAACTATTTTTCTACTGTTTAGTGCACTTTTTTTGGAGTCGGTTTAATTTCACTCAGCATTACCGAGAGGGGGAGGACTATTAGGGGCAGTGTTGGCAAAAAGTTAATCTGATTAATGATTAAAATCATTAATTAATCATTAACCAAAAATTTTGATTAAGATTAATTAATCATAATCATTAATCGTTAATTTGATTATTTGATTAACTATCTACTATTTTCATAAGAAAAGGGTTGGGGGTGTATGAAAAGGTACTTATATAATGTCTAGCAAAGGGGGGATCTGGAGTTGTACTGTCGTTTTCCCAAAAAACTGCGTCAATTTTCACTACTCAAAACCATCAAAACACATCGCACTAGTTTTGTTTCTCACAATTCCTTCTACTCTTCCGGTATCCTCCAGCAAAAATGGGTCAGGAAAGAAGTTAAGCGGGCTGGCTGACTATAGGGGAGAAGTCCCCTATCGTCAGCCAGCCCCTAAGAAGTGCTAAACTAGGAGGTTTTGCGTGTTGGGGAGGTGCAGGAGACTTCGTACCAGAAGTTTCAGGGGAGGCTAGGGGTGGGGGGCAGGTGGTGGGAGTGTGGGGTTGCAAGTAAGTGCTGGAACGGTGAAATTAAAGTGGACTGATATCCTCCTACGGGAGGTCGGAAGACTGCACCGGAAGTTTCAGCGAGGGAAGGGGGCGGGGGGCAGTCTAGGTTACCTTATATTTATCTAGGTATGACCTGTCATAGAATTGTAACCTAAAACCAAACATCTAATATTAGAATTCAATGTTTTATTTAACATTGTTTTCGATTTTAAGAAGTTAATCAAGTTAATCAAATTAATGATTATTGATTAATGATTAACAAATTAATCATGATTATGATTACTTTTTTAATCATGATTATTTTAATCAGGATAATTTAATCATGATTAAAATTAATCAAATTAATTAATTGATTAAAAAATTAATTGATTAGTGCCAACACTGATTAGGGGGTAGCTTCTATCCTCCCAACCCCTACCCTTCCCTAAAATCGTGGACGCTAAAGCTGAGGGAAATAATAAGTAAACCTACTTTTGAATTTATACTTTTAGTAAAGCCCGGTTTCCACTAAAGCGAGCGGTTGAAGTGTTTGCGATCATTTGCATTTTTGTTACTATGTAAGACCCGCAATACCTAAGGTTCTATCTATAAGTATTTAATTAACCTTTTTTTTTTTCAGAATGAACTGCAAGATTGTATGAGAAAATACGAAGAACTTTTTGACTTATACAAAAAAAGTGAACTCAGAGTTCAGGAGCTACAAGAGGAAATCAACTCCAACAAGGCCCACGATAATCTAAGCTTGACGAAATTAACAGCTGATATTGCCAGTGATAAAATTGCTGCGCAGAGAGCTACTGAACAAAACAAAAAATTAAAAACCAGTATACAAGAACTTGAGGAATCATTTGTTAAAATGGTTAGTAATTTTAAAACTGAACCTGAATAAATACGCCTATCGGTCGTTTGGCCGAGTGGTTCGTGTATTATGCAAAGGTTTTAGATTAATATAATAATACTCTTGTAATACCTCACATAAACGTGTGTCATTTTGTATACACGAACTTATTGCTCTGGGTGTGTCCTATGCATATTTATTTTATTTAAAAACTATTGCACACAACAAAATTTGGAGCACCTACAATTAAATATTAAAATACCTACATTTTTATAAAGTGATATAATTAAATGATCAGCCGTAATAACATTTCGTTAGCCACTAAAAACAGCATCAAAATCATTTGGTTACCGTTAGCCAACAAATATTTGATTTGTAAAAAAAAGATCGTTCAGAAATCCTTGTGTCGCAAATAATCTTGATATTGTTCAGCAATTTAATCGTAAAATAGGCAGCATAAAATAATATGGGTTTGCGTAATAAATAGTCAATCCGTAAAATAACTACTTGGTCAGAAGAATTAATAAATTGGTCAGCAGCATAATTAATTGAATTGCATTTTCCATGCATGTGCGGGCGCACCGCACGCTGTGGGTGTCCGCCACGTGTCCGCAATGGGCAGATTTTTATACCAATTAAAACAATGTGTATTATCGTTTTAACTTGAATACTTGATTATAACGGTTTTTAGGAATGTTATAAAAGTATAACAAATAACAATATTATCAATTTTAATTTTCAAAAAGTTTACTTATTATAAATGTATTCACATGAACATTTTTACAGAGTCAAGATAAATTGGAGTTGACTGAAAAGCTAGCTGCCGAGAAATTTTTAAATAGAGAATTAACGATTAAGTTGGCTGACATTGAGGAAAGGAGTAAAGACCTTCATGTGAAACTAAGAGCTAAGGATGAAGAAATGATTCGATTGCAAATGAACTATCGGGAAATGGAGAAAGAATTAGAAAACAAGTTTAATGATGTTAAGAAAACTTATGAAACAACTACGCATTGCGATTCTCATGGACAGAAAGAAAGCTTAAAAGAGGCAAATTCCTTATTAGAAGCTAATTTCGACAACTCTATATTGGACACAGCTAATAACAATGCAAGTTTAGATGAGATAATAAAAAAAACTGAAAAACTAAACATTCCTAAAGAAGATGCCATGATAAAATTACAAGAACGTTTTTTGAAAATAATGGGAGAAGTAGCCGACCTATCAGACGAAAAGCATAATTTGGAACATATTATTCTTCAGTTACAGAATGAAACAGATACTATATGTGAATATGTTGCTTTGTATCAACAGCAAAGAAGTTTATTAAAAAAACGCGATGAAGAAAGAAACGCTCAAATTAAATTGTTTCAAATCGAATGTGATAGACTGAAAACACAATTAGAAGAGTTGAGCAGAATCATATTGAAATTTGCAGAAGACAAAGAATTGTTTGCATACTTTCAAGTGGAACATAGAAAAAATGACATGGAAAAAATTAGGAACTTACTTGTTAACTTAAAAAATAACACATTAATCGATCCGAAAAGCAGTTTAGAATTAAGTAATGTATATCCATGTAATTGTTGCTCTGGTAATCTAATTGATGTATAACTCTAATTTATCGTTGGAACACGTTTTTGAGACGGAGCTGTGTTCACTTAATGTTATGGATGTACCTACACGTTTTCTTACGATTTGTGGTCATGGAAATGTACATGGGCGATGAAACGATAAAAGTAATGAAAATCATTCAATTGAAAATACTAAACTAAATATGCTAGTGTTACGATTTGGTTCACTACAACAGGCGAGTGGCGGGACTTAAACCAGCATTCCTCGGATCTCGAATCGGCCTGACCGACACTATTGTGTCAGTGCTCACAAATAGCTTTAGACGCATGTTACTTTATGCAAACGTACCATCCCCATGACACAACAACACTCTACTTCCCTTAATTAAGATGTGACATTTTAATGAGACTTCCATCTCACCTTGCTTCTTATGAAAATGAGATGTTGATTGAACTTGCATACGTACCTTTTATTTATTCGTATAGTATTATTTATCTATCGCGACAGAGTAAGTCCGGCACGTGCTCGAAAATAATTCACAAAGCAATATAAAATATGTGCAATATTATTGCAATTAACTTGGAACTAATTTATTTATTTAAGGACAACCAACAAAACATACACCATACATTCACAGTTTCCTTATAAATAAATTAAGCTAAGGTGTTGCCTTAATTAAAGGTTGCCACGACATGCACAGAATGTTGGATAACAATAACGTTGCCAAAGTGACAGAAAACAATGAATTATATTAACTAACTGTCGGAGTATACAATTCAGAAATAATCTGGGTAAACCCACCCTACAGCCCCTACAAATATACGGCCCATACTTAGTTTAGTTAAAATAAGTTACTTTAACTTTAACAAACGTCAAAAATCTATCAAAATCTTTACAAAATACACTGGTTATCGTAAAGGTGCGTACGGATTGCGCGTACTCTGGTACTCGTACTCTCCATGTATGTATGGACTAGGCGTTCCGGATACGCGTAAACTGAGTACGAGTACCAGGGTACGCGCAATCCGTACGCACCTTAATAGTTACTGTTAAAGTTGGGTGGTGCGGTGCAACGTGCCTAAGAATTAAACACGTAACGCCGCTGCTACCAGTACTACTACTAGAACCACAGATATGGATTAGAGTAGATACAGCAAGTTGATCGTCAAAGCGTGCCATTCCGATATGTCCAAATGGACATACATGGTCGAGTGATGTTCATGTAATCCGATTACAACAATCGGTTACGATGATTTTACGAGGACAGTAGTACGAACACGGTAGAAAGAAGAAATTATTTACGGATTGAGAATTGTAATTAACAGCACAAGTAACAAATAATTAATTAGAATAAAGTAGCAGTAGAAGAAGTGTAAAGTAGCATTGTTTTTAATACATATCCTGCGATGTACTCTTAAGAGTTAAAACCATGGTCCCTGTATGTGGTGCACTCATACCGATCCCAAGGAACCGTACTTACTCATAACAATAAGACACACACTGATGCTTGTCTGTATTCATGCACTTGACAAATGTATGTCTTGAAACGCTGGTAGGGTAAAAAAAATAACGAGATTTGACGATTTGTAAGAATTAATTTATTTTAAAAAGGTAAATAAAGATGTTTTTGATTTTGTATTTAACAAATTATCAGTTTTATCGGAATTAATTAATTTTCGAATCGAGTCACACGATATCATTCGATGACTTTGCAAATGCAGTACGATGATACGATTACTTTTACGTTGCGGCAATCACTAAAATTCGCTAAAATGACACTAATGACGTTTAAAAAGTGGCACGCTCGGCTTCATACAATTTTTGACACATGCTGCATCTATCCTTATCTGTGACTAGAAGTGAAGTGAGACAGATGCGCGGCGGACTTACGCCTCAGAGGATTGTCAATATAAACTGTCACACCTACACTCGAGTTGTACGTTACATAATTATTATTAATTGTATAAATAAATGCTGTTATTTTCTATTCATATTTTTATTGCTAACTTACCTCTCAGGCAACAGTGGCATTTCCATGGTCAAGCAGCGACATTTGTGCCCCCCGTACTTTTTGAGAAATTGTTAATGTCGCTGCGGTAACGTTTCGCAGATTTCCATATCTTCGGAACGACTTGATGGACAGATACGATTTTTTGTTAGCAGATGGTATGTGATTAGTGCCATAGTCATTATTAAAAAAAAAAACGCAAGGCATATGAATTAGATGGGTTTCTGTGAAAATCGAAAATAGCCTCTAGCTCTTTAACCGCATAAGAAAGGCGCTCTGTGATTGCAGTTGGCAGATGTCTGTTAGAAATATGAATCGTCTGTCTAATCGTCTGTGAAAATTTTGAAACCCTCTGTCTAATTTTAGATTAAATAAATTAATTTTAGAACTGTAAATGGCTCACTTATTTCGAGCCTCAAATAAGGCAATATTTAAGAAGATAACTGCTTTTCATGGTAATCAATCTGCAGTGCTTACATGCAAATAAATGTATACCGAATTTCAGCCTTATGGCCTTCCGTATTTGGTCGTATAATAGTCGAAAAGCTCTCGTTGCGTTGTTTTATTGATTATATTATCGGTTAATTACAAACCGTAGAAGGCTGAAATTCGGTATGCATTTATTTGAATATAAGCACTGCAGATTGATTACCATGAAAAACAGTTATCTTCTTAAATATTGCCTTTTTTGAGGCTTGAAATAAGTGAGCCATTTTTAGTTGTAATATTGATTTATTTCATCGAAAATTAGACATAGGGTTTCAAAATTTTCACAGAAGGTACATATTTCTAATAGACATCTGCCACTGCAATCACAGAGCGCTTTTCTTATGCGGTTGAAGAGCTAGAGGCTATTTTCGATTTTCACATCTACCTAATTCATAATATGATGCCTATTATAATATGAATTTAAGCCTTACGTTTTTTTTTTGGAATAATGACTATGGCACTAATCACATGCCACCTGCTGACAAAAAATCGTATTATGTATGTCCATCAAGTCGTTCCGAAGATATGGAAATCTGCGAAACGTTACCGCAGCGACATTTACAATTTCTCAAAATTTAATTTAGTACTAAACATGTTGTGTACGCTGATTTTGGATCTCTGTTTAGTTATTTAATATTTTGTTAATTTCATGGCTATATAATTGAAAGTGATCTGTTTGTGTACCTATTTTAAATAAATAAATAAGGGGGGCACAAATAATGTCGCTGCTTGACCATGGAAAGTCACAAATATAAGCTACCTATTGAGATACTTTAAATCTGGCTAAGGCTAATAGGTAAAAATCATGTCGCTGCAGTAACGTTTTCAAGCATTACTACAGCGCAATCTTATTTTCTCCATTTACTCCGAAACCTTATTGGGCACAAATGCAAGATTCTCGGCACATTTACAGGATATAAGGCACTAACTTTTCCACAGATGCACATCTTGATTAGCGTCACCATGTCGCTGAGGTAACGCACACAGATTAACTCATTTAAGTTGCAATTATGCATTTTTAAATCTCACGTGAGATTAGGTGGAGGGGGTTGAGCAAAATCTCACGGAATCTCACCAAAAATAGCCAAAATTGTCTCCCGTAACCCGTAATTAATGGATACCCTCCTACCATCTTGTTATGACACTGGTAGGTACTAGATACCTACCTATACAACTAGCTTTTACCCGAAAACGCTGGATTATTTTCGCATGCGTGTTGACGCTTCTGTTCGATCAAATTACCTCAGTTAACTCAGTTACCTTTTAATGGTAGGTATCGACGTTGAAGTGACATTACCTTCTATCATTTTTAGGGTTCCGTAGCCAAATGGCAAAAAACGGAACCCTTATAGATTCGTCATGTCTGTCTGTCCGTCCGTATGTCACAGCCATATTTTCCCGAAACTATAAGAGCTATACTGTTGAAACTTGGTAGGTAGATGTATTCTGTGAACCGCATTAAGATTTTGATGCAAAAATTAAAAAATAATAATAAATATTGAGGACTCGGGGTTACTAAGAACTGAAACTCAAAAATTTTTTTTTGATCAAACGTACGTGTGGGGTATCTATGGATAGGTCTTCAAAAATGATATCGAGGTTTCTAAAAAAATTTTTTTCTAAACCGAATAGTTAAGCGAGACAGACGCTTCCAAAGTGGAAAAAAGTTGGTCCCCCCCCCCCCCTCTAACTTCTAAAATAAGAAAATGAAAAATCTAAAAAAACATAGGTATTTTATGATGTACATTACTATAAAAACTACCAACGAAAATTGTTTTGAACGAGATCTAGTAAGTAGTTTTTTTTAATACCTCGTAAACCGCTGATTACCGCGTAATCTTTCATACAAATGTAATGATTTTAGAATTAATATTGTATTTTATACGATTATTAGTTGCTTATAAATAGTTATTGTAATAATTTTGGTAGAATTTAAAAACCCATTATTAAAATTAAATACTTTACTTGATTACTTCCTGGAAATTGTTGCAGATATTAGAGTGGTTTTAGAATTTATTCTATATTATATTCAATTACATATTTCATGTTTATTATTTAATGTAATTATTTTAGAATTTTTATTGTATACGATTTAGTAATTTAGAATAAATTGTTATTTAAGTATTGATTTGAGGACTTCCGGGGGCTGCCTGCGATAAGGCGGTTTGAAAATAAAGTTGGTTTCATGGGCTTGTTAAATAATGTGTATGATATTATGAACACGTAAGTGATTATGGTGTAATTGTGTATGAAAATGTTTGTTTACATCTCTGCTGGATTCTAAAAAATCAAGGTATAGGAGAGATGTACATAATGGATCTGCAATAATGTGTGGCAATACGGCTCGGAAACGTGGCCTCTCAATATAGGCCTTATAAATAAGCTCAAAATTGCACAACGTGCTATGGAGAGGGCTATGCTCGGTGTTTCTTTACAAGATCGAATCAGTATTAATGAGGAGGAGATCCGTAAACGAACCAAAGTCGTTGACATAGCCCAACGGATTATCATAAAGGTAGCAGGAAGGCGCTGGATGCAGGGCACCACCAAGCGGCCATTGTGGAAATCATTGGGGGAGGCCTATGTTCAGCAGCAGTGGACGTTATATGGTTGAAATGATGATGGATGATGAATAATGTGTAGAAAAGGGTTACGGATATTTCCATTTATGATGGAATTATTTGACTAACTGAATGGAGAGCCATAAAAATGTATTGTTTACTATATGGTTTGAAACCCTTACTGAACCCATTACCTACTGTAATCGATTATGACAGTCAAAATGATTTAAGGATCTATTCAGGACTACTCTAGAAAGTTAAAAAATCTTTCATAAGCATTGAAGTCAAGGGTTCTTGCTTGAAGACTTTTTTTAATCATGTATGTCGGTATTATAAGTGCCAAGAAGTAGGTATATGCCTAGGTAAAGGGTAGATATCTACCTCATCTATCTTACGCGATAACCAGTAGACCAGTAGTGAATATTATAATGACAATAAAAACAACTTAGACTACCTGGTACCTACAAACTTATGTTTTAGTTTGAAAGGTTTTAGCGTGAAATGAGGTAATAGGGGGCTGTAGTAAGTTAGACTTAGTATATTTATCTAT